TATTTAATTTAATATCTTTTTTTTATGTCAATAGGACTCCAGTACCAACCAAGCGCCAGGGAACATTTTCCCCACAAAGGACTCTACAGGTAGGCAAAATATCTCCTTGTTTTTCCAAGGTGGAAGTTGTTTCTTATCTCGTTCAAAACTTAACAATGCTCAGAAAAATGAGAAGTGTCGTCCCCAAACCTTTGACTTATCATTTCTTTTATTTCTGCAATAACAGCTCAAGTCCGAGCTCTGCTTGTTGGTGCTTTGGATGGAACTCTGGGCTCGTATAGTCCATCAGCCCGTAATTTACTTGAAACGCTTCTTGAGGAGCTTGATTTCAGTACCCTTGAAATGCAGGAGAATCCATCAACCACTTCTATGGTAAGACATCATGTGATCTTCCGTGTGTGAGTTGATTGATCAGTATGGTGGGTGAACTAAGATAATTCAGATCAGGGAGGTTAGTTATCCCTTAAACGCACCAGCCGGTTAGATGTCGATTAGAGAGTATCTGCAAGTTAGAGGAATGTATCCTAATTATGGCTTCAAGCATCAGGTTCTCCTTCGATTTTTAAATGAAAAGTGAGAGAAAACTCTTATCAGTTCTTGTACTGATTCAATGGTTTGCTTCTGTTTTAAATATAACTATTTTGAAATATTTTATACACCATAACTTGATCTAACTTAGACTCTTTGTTCCCTTATTAGACTTTTGGTATTGATTTTGGAAATTCATTATAACTGATTGTGTGAACCAACATTTCATGTAAATGTTACCAACCATTTGCCATGTCTAGAAATTCTGTAAATAGATACTGTTTGGGGTTTGATTGGCCGTGCAATGTAAGGATTGTGCTGTCAGGCAAAGGTGTGGAGATCACTCCATGTTTTTATGCGGATGTAATGAAAGTTTAAAATTGTGATAAATTTGTCTGGAAATACTTTGCAAGCATCAGAGGGATTGACAGAGGTTGACTCCGTGTCAACAACTAAAACCTCTCTGAAAAAGTCCCACATTTTGGGAATGAATGCAAATTTTTGGAAATATTTCTAGGGCAACTTTGGCTAACTTTCACAGGCCCTAAGTACCTGGTTTTCCTTTGGATATTGACTAAAAGAAGAAACGCAACTCCAGCTGATATCTCAAAAATTTCCAACAACATCTGTTGAAGTTCAACCTCCCATCAGATCCTAGCTGACATGGTTCTACCAATAAGAAGTCCTCCAGTTACTTAAGGGAATTGTTGATTTTGTGTATTGTAGGTTGCACAGTTATTAGAGCTTGTTTGGGTTTAAAATATATAAAGGCACTGTTACAAGAAAAGCTTTGAAGGGTTGTTGCATGATAAAAACAGTTAAACAATTGCATTTCAAAATTTTATCTCTTATTACATACAACATGGCATTTACATTTCTCAAACTTTACAATTTTGTGGTTTGTTAGGGTGGATCATTTCTATCTGGAAAGGCTGATGAAATCAGTTCCTGTGAGAATTTACCAACTGGAACAAACCCAGGTCAGTACTAATTTCTGTTTTTGCACAACACATGCAAAACAATATTGAACAGCTAATTCTTAAAAGCCATCAAGTATAATGAGTACCATGCTAAATTCATGTGTAAAGAAAAATTACCTATTGTAAAAACCCTGTTTATGGATTGAAAGTGATAGCATATGAAGAGATAACAAATGTCTCTTGTTTTTTGATCTGTTAAACATAGGTGTGTCCCCCATGTTTGCTTCAACTATAGTTCAGGGATCCCAACACCACAATGTTAATGAGACCAATATGCAGTTTGAGTCAGTTGGATGCTTTGTAAGTAATACCAGTTGTGATGGAGAGGTACCAGATGAGATGGAAAGTCCCTGCAAGAAGACTCAAGTCTCAGTAACATCCCTGGATGTTACTACAAATCCATCAGAGACCAATATGCAGTTGGAGTCAGCTGGATACATGTTAAGTAATACCAGTTGTGATGGAGAGGTACCGGATGAGATAGAAAGTCCCAGCAAGAAGCAGACTCAAGTCTCAATAACATCCCTGGATGTGGCTACAAATCCATCAGAGTCCAATATGCAGTTTGAGTCAGTTGGATGCTTCGTAAGTAATACCAGTTGTGATGGAGAGTTACCAGATGAGATGGAAAGTCCCTGCAAGAAGACTCAAGTCTCAGTAACATCCCTGGATGTTACTACACATTCATCAGAGACCAATATGCAGTTGGAGTCAGCTGGATACATGTTAAGTAATACCAGTTGTGATGGAGAGGTACCAGATGAGATGGAAAGTCCCAGCAAGAAGCAGACTCAAGTCTCAATAACATCCCTGGATGTCACTACAAATCCATCAGAGTCCACTATGCAGTTAGAGTCAGTTAGATGCTCCTTAAGTAATACCAGTTTTGATGGAGGGGTAGTGGATGAGATGGAAAGTCCCTGCAAGAAGAAGACTCATGTGTCAATAACATCCCTGGATGTTGCTACAAATCCATTAGAGACACAAATGTCCATGTTTGAGGTAAGCTCACAGAAGAAGAGGTCATTAACTACTAGTAAGACACTGAGGGATCTGTTTTGTCTCAGTTGACTCAGTGGTGTTTATTCCATCAACAAAACACATTTTTAGCATGGATAATTTATGATATACCATCACTTGTACTTGTTGCCCTTTGACCACAATTTTTATTTAGATTTCAAAGTCCATCGGAATAACAATTTAATCCTACTTCTAATGAAAATGTAGTTTGGCAATATTTGCCAACAATTTGCCATTATACCTATTACTCTGATAAAGTCACATCCCAGAACTCATGCCTTTCTCCAGAGTGCCATTAACCATTTTGAGCAGAAAAGTTTTTCCTGGTGCTGGTTAGTTTTGTAGTGCAGTGGTGTGTTGTTTAGAGCAACTTTTGGCCCTTGGTGTATTGACAAAAATTATAAAAAACCAAACTACAATTTTTATCTACAAGTAAGTTTGAGAAGGAATTAACATTAAAAATTAAGCTCTTTTTGTTTGGTATATTAGGGTGGATCATTGGCATCAAAGGCCGATGGAATTATTACCGGGAGCAAGTTACCAACTGAAATTAAGGAAGGTCAGTACTTCTCTCATTTTGTTGTGCAACATCATTCAATTTCTTGCAACTTAATTTCAGTTTTTGCAAAGTATATGCACAACATCATTGGAAAGCTGATTCTTATAATCCATCAAATATACAGAGTTCATGAAAAATAAATATTCTGATTGCAAAATTCCAGGGATTGGGAGGGTCATGCACCATGTGCATATGATGCAGAAAATGGGCATTAATAAAATACTAAGGGGCTCTAAGGTGTGCCCAAGCCACAGCTAATGAAAAAATATTTTTATTTTACCTACAAAAGAGCTTATATTCAGAGTACCATGGAAATTGATGATCCAATGGGGAATTTTGAAACGTTAAAACCCTGTTTAAAACCCCTAACAAACAACTATTGAATTTTTGATCTGGCCAATATAGGTGTATCTGCCATTTGTGCTTCAAATATGTCACAAGGATCCCTACATGCTGATGTTCCTGAGACTAATATGCAGTTGGAGTCAGTTGAATGCATCCTAAGTAATACCAGTTGTGATGGAGAGGTACAAGATGAGATGGAAAGTCCCTGCCAGGAGACGACTCAAGTCTCAATACCATCTCTGGGTGTGGCTAAAAATCCATCAGAGGCCAGTATGCAGGTGGAGTCAGTTGAATGCATGCTAAGTAATACCAGTTGTGATGGAGAGGTACCAAATGAGATGGAACATCCCTACCAGGAGATGACTGAAGTCTCAATAACACCCCTGGGTGAGGCTAAAAATCCATCAGAGACCAATGTGCAGTTGGAGTCTGTTGCATGCTCCTTAAGTAATACCAGTTGTGATGGAGAGGTGCCAGATGAGACGGAAAGTCCCTGCAAAAAGCAGACTCAAGTCTCAAAAACATCCCTTGATGTTGCTACAAATTCATCAGAGACTAATATGCAGTTGGAGTGGGTTGAATGCATGCTAAGTAATACCAGTTGTGATGGAGAGGTACAAGTTGAGATGGAACGTCCCTGCCAGGAGACAACTCAAGTCTCAGTAACATCCCTGGGTGTGGCTACAAATCCACCAGAGACCAATATGCAGTTGGAGTCAGTTGGATGCTCCTTAAGTAATACCAGTTGTGATGGAGAGGTACCAGATGAGATGGAAAGTCCATGCAAGGAGACGACTCAAGTCTCAATAACATCCCTGGGTGTGGCTACAAATCCACCAGAGGCCAGTATGCAGTTGGAGTCAGTTGAATGCATCCTAAGTAATACCAGTTGTGATGGAGAGGTACAAGATGAGATGGAAAGTCCCTGCCAGGAGACGACTCAAGTCTCAATACCATCCCTGGGTGTGGCTAAAAATCCATCAGAGGCCAGTATGCAGGTGGAGTCAGTTGAATGCATGCTAAGTAATACCAGTTGTGATGGAGAGGTACCAAATGAGATGGAACATCCCTACCAGGAGATGACTGAAGTCTCAATAACACCCCTGGGTGTGGCTAAAAATCCATCAGAGACCAATGTGCAGTTGGAGTCTGTTGCATGCTCCTTAAGTAATACCAGTTGTGATGGAGAGGTACCAGATGAGACGGAAAGTCCCTGCAAAAAGCAGACTCAAGTCTCAAAAACATCCCTTGATGTTGCTACAAATTCATCAGAGACTAATATGCAGTTGGAGTGGGTTGAATGCATGCTAAGTAATACCAGTTGTGATGGAGAGGTACAAGTTGAGATGGAACGTCCCTGCCAGGAGACAACTCAAGTCTCAGTAACATCCCTGGGTGTGGCTACAAATCCACCAGAGACCAATATGCAGTTGGAGTCAGTTGGATGCTCCTTAAGTAATACCAGTTGTGATGGAGAGGTACCAGATGAGATGGAAAGTCCATGCAAGGAGACGACTCAAGTCTCAATAACATCCCTGGGTGTGGCTACAAATCCACCAGAGGCCAGTATGCAGTTGGAGTCAGTTGAATGCATGCTAAGCAATACCAGTTGTGATGGAGAGGTACCAAATGAGATGGAAAGTCCCTGCCAGGAGACTGTTCAAGTCTCAATAACATCCCTGGGTGTGGCTACAAATCCATCAGAGACCAATATGCAGTTGGAGTCTGTTGGATGCTCCTTAAGTAATATCAGTTGTGATAGAGAGGTACCAGATGAGATGGAAAGTCCTTGCAAGAAGAAGACTCAAGTCTCAATAACATCCCTTGATGTTGCCACAAATTCATCAGAGACCAATATGCAGTTGGAGTCAGTTGGATGCTCCTTAAGTAATACCAGTTGTGATGGAGAGGTACCAGATGAGATGGAAAGTCCATGCAAGGAGACGACTCAAGTCTCAATAACATCCCTGGGTGTGGCTACAAATCCACCAGAGGCCAGTATGCAGTTGGAGTCAGTTGAATGCATGCTAAGCAATACCAGTTGTGATGGAGAGGAATCAGATGAGATGGAAAGTCCCTGCAAGAAGACTCAAGTCTCAATAACATCCCTGGATGTTGCTATGAATCCATTAGAGACACAAATGTCCATGCTTGAGGTAAGCTTTCTGAGGAAGAGTCCATCTACCACTGGTTAGACACTAAGGGTTCTGTTTTGTCTCAGTTGACTCAATAGTTTTTATTCCATCCTACAAAACTCTTTTTTATTGTTAATTTATGATATACCATCACTTGTACTTGTTGCATTTTTACTGCACTTCTTATTTAGAATTCTAGAAGTCTGTTGAAATAGTGATCAAAATCAAATTCTAACAAAAGTTCTATTACCAATATGGTATGTTTAGAAATTATGTTAATGTCACACACCAGAACTTATGCGTATTTACTTAAGTTTGTGGCTCTCAAGTGCCATTGGCCATTTTGGGCTGAAAACGTTTTTCCTGTTGCAGTTTAGTAGCATATAAAGTGTTTTAGCATGGAACAGCTTTTGGTGCTTGGTGTACTGAGAACAATTATAGAAAAATTTCACTGCAAACTTTATCTCCAAGAAAGTTAAGTGAGAAGGACTTAAATGTAAGAAAAAACTAATTTTTGTTTGATCCAATAGGGTGGATCATTGGTGTCAAAGTCCAGTGATATTATGTACTGGAGCACGTCACCAGCTGAAATAACCGAAGGTTGGTAGTTTGTTCTGAATCATCTTAAGATTTCTTGCCATTTTATTTCCATTTTTGTAAAATGTGCACACATCAGCATTAAATAGCTGATGTTTGTAATTCATTAAGTGTAAAGAGTACAATGGAAAATTGCTGTTCCAACAGAAAATTTTGTAACATAAGAACTCTCTCTATGGATTGATACTGGTTGCATTTGAATAGCTAACAGAAGTCAATTTGTTTAATTTGTGAAATACAGGTGTATCCCCCAGGTTTGCCTCAATTGTGTATCAAGGTTCGCCACGCTCTGATACTAACGAGAACAATATGCAGCTGGAGGCAGTTGGATGCCCCTTAAGTAATACCAGTTGCAATGACGATGTGCCAGATGAGAATGATAGTTCCAGGAAGAACAAGACTCAATTCTCGTCAACATCTCTCATCAACATCCCCAAATTGTCCATGTTTGAGGTGAGGTTCCTGAGCGGGAGTCCATCAACCACTGGAATGATAATGTACTAAAGAATGTTGTGATATACAAGCACTTAAACTCATTGCCTTCTGACTATTCTTTTATATACAATTAAAGAAGTCAGTCAAAATAATCTTAAAAATTGACTTCTTTTGTGCAGAAAAGTTTTCCTAGTGTTGGTTAGAAGGATATAAAGGCTTTTTACTTAGAACAACTTTTGGCGCTTGGTGTATAGAGAGGAATTGTAAAATAATCACACTACAAACTTTATCTGTTAGTAACCTTGACAAGAAGTCAACAATTAAAAAAACTCATTTTTCTTTGGTATACTAGGGAAGATCATTTGTGTCAAAGGTTGATGAAATTGTTTCCTGGAGCAAATTACCAGCTGAAATAAACAAAGGTCAGTACTTTTTTTTATTTTATTTACGTTAATTTTTTTAAACATCTGAAGATTTCTGGCAGCTTTTTTCCACTTGTGCTAAACATACACACAACTGTGTCGAATAGCTGGTTTGTGTAATCTGTTGATTATTTTTGTGTGCATGATGATACAAGACCTGTAAAGTAAGCTTAAAGCCTTATCCAAAGCTGAGAAATATCTCGTGATGTTCTTCAGTTCATATTTTTTGATGTTGGAACCTCACTGCAAGTACTTTTTGGGTTGATAGCTCATTCAAGTGTTGCTACTGAAGAAGAGACATAGGTTGTTCATAGATTATGAGCAGAAAATGGAGAAAAACTTCAAAATCAACATCCCTCGCAGAAACATTTCGAAGTTAAGATCTTTTTGAAAAGTTTTTCTTGTGCACTTTGAAACTATTTGATGAATGTTAATGCAATCCCACATAGCAAGCAAAGAATGTTATTTTTTGACCTAAAAAAGAACATCTATATTCAGAGTTTTAAAAAGTTTTTTTTTGCAATCTGTTTAATACAGGTGTATCCCACATGTGTTCTTTAGCTGTGACTCAGGGATCACCACACACTGATATCAACAAGACCAATATGCATCTGGAGTCAACTGGATGCTCCTTCAGTAACACCAGTTGTGATGGAGAGGTACTGAGGGAGAGTGAAATTCCCAGGGAGAACAAGACTCAGGTCTCTGCAACATCTGTGGATGTTTGTAGAAATCCAACAGATAGCAAATTGTCCAGACCATCCATGTTTGGGGTAAGGTTGCTGAGGGAGAGTCCATGTGTTTTGTCTCAGTTGACTCACTGGTTTTTTTCGAAGAACTCTTTTTTATGGATATCTTATGATATAACATCACTTACACTTGATCCTTTTTCACCATAATTTTGATTAAGAGTTAGAAAGTTAGAAGTGTGTTGAAATAATGTTTAAAACCAATTTCTGACAACAATACTATTGACATTTTGGTATGTGTAGAAATTATGTATATGTCACATCCCAGAAGTTAAGGTTATTTACTTTTGAAGCCTCTATGTGCATTTGGCCATTTTTCACACAAAAGTGTTTCCTTAGTGCAGATTATAGGCATATTGAATTTTTGTTACTGAAAACAGCTGCTGGCCCTTGCTGTATTGAGGGCAATTGTAAATGAAACAAAACTACAAATTTTATCTCTTAGTAAGTTTTACAAGGAATCAACAATGAAATGAAAACTCATTAATTTTTCTTTGGTATGTTAGGGAGGATCATTAACACACCTGGATGTGGCTACAAATCCATCAGAGACCAATATGCAGTTTGACTCAGTTGGGTGCACGTTAAGTAACACCAGTTTTGATGGAGAGGTACCAGGTGAGATGGAAAGTCCCTGCAAGAAGACTCAAGTCTCAATAACATCCCTGGATGTTGCTACGAATCCATTAGAGACCAATATGCAGTTTGGGTCAGTTGGATGCTCCCTAAGTAATACCAGTTGTGATGCAGAGGTACCAGATGAAATGGAAAGTTCCTACAAGAAGCAGACTCAAGTCTCAATAACATCCCTGGGTGTGCCTACAAATCCATCAAAAACCAATATGCAGTTGGAGTCGGTTGGATGCATGTTAAGTAATACCAGTTGTGATGGAGAGGTACCAGGTGAGATGGAAAGTCCCTGCAAGAAGAAGAATCAAGTGGCAATAACATCCCTGGATGTTGCTACAAATCCATCAGAGACACAAACGTCCACGCTTGAGGTAAGCTTGCTGAGGAAGAGTCCATCAACCACTGGTTAGACACTAAGGGTTCTGTTTTGTCTCAGTTGACTCGATAGTTTCTATTCCATCCTACAAAATCTTTTTATCGTTAATTTATGATATACCATCACCTGTACTTGTTGCTTTTTTACTGCACCTTTTATTTAGATTTTTAGAAGCCCGTGGAAATAGTGTTCAAAATCAAATTCTAACAAAAATTTTATTACTAATATGGTATGTTTAGAAATTATGTTAATGTCACACACCAGAACTTATGCATATTTACCTTTGTGGCTCTCAAGTGCCATTGGCCATTTTGGGCTGAAAACTTTTTTCCTGTTGTGGTTTAATAGCATATAAAGTGTTTTAACTTAGAACAGCTTTTGGTGCTTGGTGTACTGAGAACAATTATAGAAAAATTTCACTGCAAACTTTATCTCCAAGTAAGTTAAGTGAGAAGGACTTAACTGTAAGAAAAACTCGTTTTCCTTTGATCTAATAGGGTGGATCATTGGCGTCAACGGCCAGTGATATTATGTACTGGAGCACGTCACCAGCTGAAATAACTGAAGGTCGGTAGTTTGTTCTGAATCATCTTAACATTACTTGCCATTTTATTTCCGTTTTCGTGAAATGTGCACGCATCAGCATGAATAGCTGATGTTTGTAATTTATAAAGTATTGTATGGAAAAAATGGAAAAAAAAAACAATGGAAAATTACTGTTCCAAGGGAAAATTTCGTAACATAAAAACTCTGTCTGTCGGTTGAAACTGGTTGCATTTGAAGAGCTAACAGAAGTCAATTTGTTTAATCTGTGAAATACAGGTGTATCCCCCAGGTTTGCTTCGATCGTGTATCAAGGTTCGCCACGCTCTGATACTAACGAGAACAATATGCAGCTGGAGGCAGTTGGATGCCCCTTAAGTAATACCAGTTGCGATGACGATGTGCCAGATGAGAATGATAGTCCCAGGAAGAACAAGACTCAAGTCTCATCAACATCCCTCATTAACATCCCCAGATTGTCAATGTTTGAGGTGAGTTTCCTGAGAGGGAGTCCATCAACCACTGGAATGATAATGTACTAAAGAATTTTCTTGGTCTCAGTTGACTCAAAAGTTTTCTTCTTATTCTGCTTCGGAGAACTCTTTTTTATGGATATTTTATGATATACCACAACCCTCTGACTATGATTTTCATTTAAAGATTTAGATGTCAGGAAAATAAATTTGAAAATAAATTTTTGCGCAGAAAAGTTTTTTCTGGTGCGGGTTTAAAGCATACAAGAACTTTTTACTTAGAAGAACATTTGGCACTTGGTTTGTTGAGAACAATTGAAAATAACCACACTACGAACTTTTATCTCTGTGTAAGGTTGACAAGGAATTAATAATTTAAAAACTCATTGTTCTTTGGTGTATTAGGGAAGATCGTTTGCGTCAAAGGTTGATGAAATTGTTCCCTGGAGCAAATTACCAAATGAAATTAACGAAGGTCAGTGCATTACCTAGTTTGTTCTTCTTAAGATTTCCGGAAACTTTATTTCCGTTTCTGCATAACTTGCACACAGCAGCGTTGAATAGCTGTCTTACAATTCATCAAGTCTTAAAAGAACAAGAGCAAGAAAATCGATGTTCCATCCGCAAAATTCCAACCCCTGTTTAACTCCTGTTTCTGGATTGAAACTGATAGCATATAAAGAGCCAACAAAAGTCAAATTTTTTTATTTGTTAAATGCAGGGTTATGCCACGTTTGTGCTTCAACCACTTGTCAGGGATCGTCACACGTTGATACTAACGAGACCGATATACAGCTAAAGGCAGTTGGATGCTCCTTAAGTAATACCAGTTGCGATGGAGAGGTACTAGATGAGATTGAAGGATCTTTTAAGAACAAGACTCAAGTCTTAGGAGCATCCCTGGTTGTTGGTGGAAATCCATCGGAGACTAAATCATCCATGTTTGAGGTAAGTTTTCTGAGGGAGAGTTCATCTACCAGTGCAATGGTAACACACTAAGGGATCTGCTTTGTCCAAATTGACTCATCGCTTTTTATTATATCTTAGAAAAGCCTTTTAGAGATAGGAGACCCTCCATCGTTTACTGTACAGAGTCCTGTTTCTTCGGCAACATCCTTGGATGGATCGACAAAGTTTGATTTGGATACTGCCGATATGTCATCCTTCAGCTGCAACGCAGGGACCTCTATTGAAAAGAAAACTTGTGACTGCGGTATTCAAACAGCAGTATCCCTGGAATTGGATACGAATCCACTCATTACGAAGTCTTCCAGACTTGATGACTCATTTACCGTTGAATTGGCATCCCCAAATGAAGTCAAAGAACGGGAGTCAACTGGGGACTCTCTCAGTCACTCAAGAGTGTCGTTGGGAACTGATGCGGTGGAAGCTAGAAAGAATTCCATTGCGTGCGAAAGGAGAAGTGAGAGTCCATCTCTCAATGTACATCATGACGAGTGGACCGTGAATCAGCTTCCAAAGTCACCAGGATCAACAAAAATTGATTTGGAGACAACCGGTATCATCTCCTTTTTATGCGATGTAGAAACAACAGAAACGAAGCCATCTCGTTCGAAATCCTCCAGCTTTGTTTCAAAGATTTCAACTGGATTGGAAAATTCAAAGTTGGTGCCTAAAGGTGGGTGTGGCTTTTGAAAGAGGATGTAAGGATTAAATCATACCCAACGCCCACTCTTATGATTTTGAAGAAACGTCTTTTTCGTCGACATTCCAATTTTTCTGGGTTACGAGATAAAACCTCAAGATACTCGTTGATAGAAAGATTTGTTTCAGGTTCAAAAGTATGAATATTATGCACAGGTAGCTGATTTTCTTTTCTTTTTTTAACGTTTAGGGAAAAAAAGGAAACTGATGCGCAGTGCTCCTGAATGTTCCTATTTAAGATCTGATGAGCCGCTGCCAAAAGTCCCATGTTTGTTCACTGAGATAGAGGAACATCAAGCTAAGTCTCCAGGAGTAGGGGTGACCATTGAACATCCACCTGCAGAGGATCTGGGTGAACCGACTGACCCAGCAACATCCACTGGGAAAAATATATCTCCACAAGCTGAAGGTTTGATAGAAGAGGCATCTAACCTCTCTTAACAGGAAAAAAAATTTGTCTTCACGTTCTTTGTAGTCTCTCGTTGACTGAAATATTCAATCGTTTCACGAAATCGATACTTTATGATTCTAAAATATTGACATTTGATTTGGGTGGTTTACTCTTTATTTCCAACTGATAGGAAAAACAAGGAAGCGAAAGCGCAGTGCTCCGGAAAGTCCAGATACATCTGAGAAAGAGTCCTACGAGCCATTTCGAAAATCACGATGTTTTGACATGGAGACAAAAGAACCTCAAGTTGTGTCTCCACAAGCTGAAGGTGAGAAAGAAGAAGTTTTTGACTGATCTCAACGGAACATGTTTAGTTTTGTATCCATCGTTGACCGAGGTATCCAAGATTGGTTCTTAGTTGTTGACTTGTTTAAGTCACATCAATAATGTTATGTCCACCCCGGATGTTTTGGAAAAATTTGTGGAATCTATCAGTGTGATTCAATGTTATTATGGCTGTGTAATTTTATGTTCCTACCGTTTTCCTCTCTATATTTAGAGCCGAGAGTTAAAGTGGAAATTGGAGCTGATCCCCAAAGTCCAGAAGCTTTGGAGTACGCTCATTTCTGCCTCAGAAATGCTTATCACGCACTCCTTGGTGCTACGGCAAAAAATGTAACCATCCATCCTCAGGTTAGCAAAGCTAGTATTCATTTCGATTGGCACTCATGAAATTCATGGAGTATCTTCATAGCACCTTTTGAGCGAGGTAGACCTAGTGCTCTTTGTTACAGGAGGTATACCATATCCTGTGTATTTTGTTAAAATTTCGATCGATTGTTTGCATTTTGAATTAATAAGGATATGTGGGATAAATCATCACAACAGCTATCTTTTCCCTGAACCATGTTAGCGATCACTTGCACATTCATTGATGAAGATTTTTGTACATTCATTAATGAAGATTTATGAGGTCTGTGAAACGAACCTATTTGGTTTCAGGTTATTGTTGAGCCTTCTCAGCGAAACAGAGGGCGCAGGAATCGTATCAAAAGAGTGTGGAACGGGGAATCATTTGTTCCGGAGGTACGTCTTAATTAAAACCCAAATGTGGTTCGAGGAGCTCCTTATGAAATTGAGAGTTTGTGGAGAGTTTTGTTGGGATGGGGGATAGGGCTGCCTCAATCGTCAATCTCTTAAAACAATATGCACATTTAACTATGCCTGAAATGAAAGGAAGCCATAAATGCGCAAATCAATTTAGTGTTGCTGTGTACAGTTCAGATTTTCCACCCCTCACTGGTTTATTACCTTTGACATAATCACATAATAGAAATATTTCCGATATTCAGGTTAATCTGAATTTCATAGCAATTATATCATAGCATTACAGATATGATCAGATATTTAACTTGAGTAGGAGTACGAGGAGAATATTTACATGCTATTTTTTGCCATAGACTGAAGTACGGGCACAAAGTGAACCCTACAAACGGCGACGACGACGAAGAAGGAACTAAGAGGTGGAAGCACATGGAAAGGATGCTCCACGAATATTTTTTTTTTCTACAAACTATTACAACTTGGAACTAAGAAGTATCATGCCACTTGATGACCGGCTTAAAAAAAAGGGAAAGAAATCCGAATATTTTCAGAAAATCTACTTTCATACCTGAAACTCAAGCTGAAACTTTCTTGTCAGTAGAAACAAAATACACAGAAATTAACGCAAAGAAAGAGTGAACGACCGATCCTGACTGAAACAAAGACATTATCAAAATGTCTGCTTTCTTAAGTTAGCATTAAACAAATGCTAAAGCCGAAACTTTTTGTTGATTGTTATGGAAACAACAAACTAAAAAAAAAACAAAAAAAAAACAATCAACAAGTAATGTCAATTTCGTTTTTATTCATAAAATAGAAACAAACCTTCTACTGTAACATTTCAAAATAGCGAGGTAAAAAAGAAATAGATAAAACCCCTCTATATCATCTAACGTCAAACCAAAGTATTTTTCTGTTCCCTTTAGATGAATGGAGTCAAAAAAAAAATTATAATCATAAAACAAGGTCATTCAAGTGGCAACAATGTTTATTCTGAAGCTGATTAAGATGTGAATGTGGCAAAGAAATCCTTTATTAAACTGTGTGCTGTTTTTCAAACGTGTTTTTGTTTTCATCGAAAAGAGATGGAATTTTAAATATACATTTTCCGGTGCGTAGTCACAGGCGTCAGGGAGATATTTTCGCATACTCTGCGCTCTCCTCGGCTCGTCACTAAAAAACGACATCACAATCCTCAACATTCCGAATGAGAGGGCTGTTTAGGGGGGGATTATCTTAAGTCTCATTCTTGTCCAAGTCATACTTTTCAGAATCTCAATGACATTTCAGCGACTTTTCTCCTTCAACTCTGGACTATGTTCACCAAGGTGTTTCCTATTCCAGATGTCCCGATAGGAAGATGAGAGTCAGAGAAACGCCGTGGAGGGAATAAATAATAAGCTTTGCGACACGGTGTGTATATTATTGACAGCTCAGGACCGAATTAGTTGCTCTTGTTTAAAAACTCTACGAGCGATTTTTTCGCCATTTCTTCACGGCTCTTTCACAGACATTTCTTCTTACTTCACAGACGACTTGGTTGACCATACTAGTTGGAGCTAGGTTATATTTGACTCCCTTCAACCAATCAGTGGGCTAGAAATTTTATAACCGTGTTCAACTACTTACTATCTGACCATCGGCGATCAAATCACGTCCAATCTATGATTTCCCATAACCCTCTACGGCAAACTCGGGTATTGATGCATTATGGGGCGGGAGGAACGGCGGCTGTCGTGACGTCACTTAGTGTTGATTCTGAGCGTGTCTTCTAAAATGATAAGAAACAACCGTTCGTGGATTCTACCTTCAGTATTCTACTTCTCATAACACTACACTTTGAACCATATTGCCGACAGCTCCACCACCGTTGGGCCGCGTGAAACCTTGTTGTTGATCTTGGCTCGGAGATGTTTCGGTGTCTTCCATGGCGTTGTAACCGCCAAGTAGATTTTCTTGATCGCAGTCACTGTAGCCTTACCTTCGTACCTGATGAAGTTTACCGCTATGATAGATCTTTGGAAGAGCTGTTGTTAGATGCTAATCAAATCAAAGATCTTCCGAGGGTAATAACATAGCTTCTTGAAATCGATTGGAGTAATGGAGGCATTTATAACATGCACTTTTTCTTCTCTGCAGCCGTTCTTTCGCTTGTATAATCTGCGTAGATTGAGTTTGAGCGACAACGAGATCGCGCGCTTGCCTCCAGAAGTCGGGAATTTAGCAAACCTTCAAGAATTTGACATCAGCCGAAATGGTAAGATATACCTCCTTTACACCTTATTGAGATAAATATTTCATTGAAATCCTCTAAGAACGCAGAAGGTAGTGTAGTGTTTGTGTGTTCTTTAAGCGGGCGCCCATTTGTATGGTATGATTCGGTATGTGATATAAATGTTGATATTGTTCATTCTTGATCTTACACTTTTGAGTAATCGCATGCTGCTGTAACTGATATAAAAATTTTTAAACCACACCTCAGTGATATATATTCTTTTTCGTCCTTCTCTTTGCTGTATAGATATCTGTGACATACCGGACAATATTAAATTCTGCAAGAGTTTGATCAGTTTGGACCTCAGCGGTAACCCCGTGTCGAAGTGAGTTGTGTGTAATAATCATCATCTACACTGCGAGATTTTCTCGTTTAATACATTGAAAGAAAACACTTTGAGACTTAACTTGTGCTTATGAAGTATTTTAGCCTTTGGTATTTCAAAAGACAGCCTCAACTGGTCATACTATCTTTACGAACTTTTGTTTTTTTTATGTCAGCCACGTAAGTTAAAAACTTGTCGATCTTTCCTTCTTCCGCACGTTATTTATGTTAGGGTACATGCTGTACTACCAGTGCGATGGTCAGCACTCATATTTTAGTAGTACTTTATTAGAATTCAGTGTTTGGAGAGACTAATGTGACTTTTTATATGTGTTTGGTGTGATAATATTATCATTTGGAAGTCTTCTTGATTTTTGGGAGTTCCAATTTCGTGTCCACCTCTCGCGCAAAATCACAATCTCAGACTCGAACCGATTTTCTAATGATCAATCAGGGAGGATTTGAACGTTCCATTTATCTGACTTTGTGTCGCCTTCCTCTTCTGTTGTGAGATTTACCCGAAAGTATCGTGAAGCAGACAATAGCATTTTTCGCAAATAAATCGTGTTTAACACTTTCTGCAAACGTAATAATCTCAACGCTTGATCCATGTCTGTACGTAGACAAAACTTCGATGAGTGATTCGTGAAGATTTGCAAACCATGTTGTTCTAGAGTAGATGATGTCTTGTGACTCCTCATTACCACTCTCGAATTTTCATTTCATGATTATTGCTTCCTGTATATTTTTGGTGGCCACTCTTATTCTCGTTGTATCAATTTTTATTTAACATTACGCCTGTGAGGGAATTTAGCTTGTTTGTTTGCGAGTTTGGATCAACAGCTGCACGAGTTTCGTTTGTGGAGAAAGTTAGTGTAGGTGTTGCAGCTTGTAGATTTGCATGGATTTGGTAAGAAACTTTCTCCACCATGTCTATAGCGGAACTATCGGAAATGCCATGATGTTAATTTTGTCCATGGATTTCATTTCATGTTGTAATCGATTTACACTAGAGCTAATAAATTTTTTACAAACGTCTTTCCATTTGAAATAAAATTTGATCTTAGGATTGTTTAGATTTCGAATATCGAGGCCGGCTTTTCGAAAAAGCACCTAAAATGGCAATATATTGGTATTCTTTCTTCAGGAGTTTGTACTGGTTGATGCAAATTAATAAACGTAAACAAATATAATGAGTCAACCAGCGTGATTCTTTTCCTTTGGTTTTCCGCCTGAACCAATCTTGCCAGGTTGTTTATCTCAGTTCTTCCATTCTGTTTAATTTCACCGGTTGGTTTGTTATGAACTGATCAGTCATTTTGGTTTACCCTTGTTGCATGTTTTTTTTGATCTTGCAACATTCTTGAAATTTTATTTGTGGTATGCCGTATTATCTGGAAGATTTTCTACATTAAGTTCTGTTTTTTGAAAAATATTTTTCACAGTTAGTATCTGTGCTGCTCTCTTTTGTATGTTTTTCAAATGCAGGTGATTTTATGTTTGTTCATTTTAAAGTTAAATGTCTTAATCTGCTGAGTTAAATCTCTAGGATCACTGTTTGGCATTTCAGTCATGCAAATGTTACTCATTTTCTTATCCCTCTTTATATCATTCTCTATAATAATCATATATTCTGATATTTATTTGAGGAAAGTGAAGGGTTAATGTCATTTTTGTCCCATAAGTGGAATCTTGAGTGTAATAATGCTTGGAGTAAAGTTAACATCAAAGCCTATGGGAAGCCATAAGGCTTTAGAAATGATTTGTTCTCTATCATACAATTTGCAGTTCAAAAGTCAAACATTTAAAACATGGAAAAAAAATTGGCAAAGTAGAAACAGAATAGAGGTAGCTGTGGTATTAATTAGTCTTGAAAACTTATTATTAATTGAAATATTTACTTTTTCTTATTATTGCTCAAATGTAGTTGAACAATATCATGTCTGATTAGTTTTTATGTGTGATATTTTGATGTGGAATGTGTGAGTATTGGGCTCAATTGGCCACCTGAGCAATGTCTTCTACGTTCTGTACAGTGCTTGAGAAATTATTCTAGGTTTTGAAAATATACCATCTTGAAATGAAGACTTAGAACAGAAGAACTGATTTACTCAAGTAGCATCCAGTCACTTGATTGTATCACTGCTCCAAACCTCCATTGAAATATAATCACTTCCTTTGAGATAGAGACCCTTCCTGAGTAATTAATAGGATTTACCAGATCACCAATTTAATTATATCACACTCGATAGTGATTTAACATGAACATTCACATTCAATTAATGTTCTCTGAGAAATAATTTGAAAATCATACAAAAGATAAGAGCTATATTAAATACCCTTAACATTCTAGCATCAGTATCCATAATCTCTATCCATTTCTTTGGTAATGACAGTGAGAATTTGTTTAACAATCAAAGCTTCTCAGGTTGGGGATCATATCCTTCATACTCGCCATCTTGACCCAGCAGTGTTAAAATTTGTGTACCCTTAAACTTTGAAGTACTCAAAGAATTACCATTTTGGTTATGTATTGAGCAAATGGTTCTGTGTGTCAGGAATGACTGTGGGGTTGTTTTTGTATTAAGTTTTTAAATTCTTTATGGTAACTTGCATGTATTATTTTGAACTCTGTCAAAAAACTTTACTGTATATTTGCCCTTCAATTTCAAAGCAAAATTAATAGTCTGTGTAGGTCTTAAAACCAAGCAGGAGAGTTTCTTGTTATTAGGTCAAGTTTGTTGTCTGTATAAGTTTTAGATTACCACTTATTTATGGTCCAACCTGGAGTGCTTAATTGCTTAATTTTTGTAGTTATTGAATAGTTAATCTATGATGTCTGAAGAGGTTTGTTACTGCAAACAGAATATGATGTTTGTTGATAGAACAGTGAAACTTACCTGACACATGTTCATTTGAGGCTGCAACAATAAAATAGTCTAGAACTTAAAGCCAAAGTTGTTTAAAGCAAACTAAGACTATGTCCATATTTTTATTATGATTGGAAGTTTGATAGTGAATAAGCCATAGGCTTCTACTTTGTATTGTAATGATAATGAACTGACAGCAAGCATGCAGTAATTGGTGGTAGCCTCTGATCTGTCAAAGCACAGATGACAATTGAAAACTGTTTTCTTGACTTTGTCTAACATAAGGTACAGTTTTGAATGTTTTTTTTCTTGAGTTATCCAACAAATGGTTGTTAAAAAAAAAAATCTGGAGTTCTGGAGTTGTTTATCACCAAAAAAAGAAACTGGTTTTCTAGCAAATTATTGAACAACTTTGGTAGTAATATGGCTGGGACACTCAAGCATACCATGGAAGGTTTTAGTATTTCTTCATTCTACATTTCTCTTCACTGTGTTAAATAAGTAGGTTCCTTATTGTTACATCTGTATATTTTTAAATCCCAGAAGACTCCAAAGTGCTACAAGAACATCAGCAAAACTCTTGCTTGCAGGCTGAAGACACGTTGATAAAATGAAGTGTCTTTTTTTAAGAACTGCAGATATTGAAAACTAAATAAATGTTATTTTAAAAGGAGGGAATTTTCACAAGAATTGTAACTGTTATAAATTATCTGGACATCAGGAATTTTAGTTACTAACTTACAAGCATGGGTTTCAGTTTGGTGGCAGCTAAATGTATCATAAATGTTTCTTGTGTGTTTTGTAGACTTTGTGCTACTTTGTGATGAAGTGGACAAAATTGTAATCTGTAGCATGACCTTTGTAAGGTTATAGCAAATGGACTATGAGCAGTTGTGAACTAATAGTGACTACAAATTAATTTTTCTATTAATTTCAATTTTCAATTAATTTACAGTTACTATTACAGTTACAGTAACTGTTACTATTGGTCCACAGCAGCTCAATGAGACATGGGCTAAACCCTACTTAAGTTAGCCAGACTGCAGGTTGTTCTTGTCCAGCTGTAGTTTTCACTGTAAGCTGATTAAACAGCTGGAATAGCTTTGACTATTATCCTACTTCAGAATTATAAGAAATACCCTGTGAATGAATGGTACTTTAGGCTTTGGTTTTTAATGACAGTTGGTGTGGCCAACATATAATGTACTGTACATGTGTAATTGATTTGTATGATTTTAGAAGTTAGCCCTGCTTTGCATTGATTTTTATTAGGTCATTGTGATGCTGACAATAGTGATAATTTTATCATTATCTATCGATTATAATTTCTTCATCACTCATTGTTGAAGGTTTATTTCAGTAAAGTTGTATAGATTTACTTAACCAAACCCTAAGTTTTTATTGCACACACAAAGCACAAATACAAAGACTGTTAATAATAGTTTTTTTGGCTGAATTTAGCAATGGGTCTTTTTTGTTAAGAAGTACTGTAATTTTTTCTTGTGGATGGGTTGTTAGTTAGTCCATTAGGGTGAACTTCCTGTTTTATGTGTTGCTTTTCCAATAAAATGGTTATCTAATTGGCTCTCATTTCTGATGAAAACAAAAAGAACTGAAATTTCTGAACAGAATGTTCTGCACAACATTGCTTAAAAAAGGTATACATTTGTTATTAATGTCTAGATGCTGGTTACTCTTTTGTAAAATTGATTTTTTTCTTTGGAAAAGAAAACAGATCTTTGTTTTGTGTCATTTTGCTGTAGCAAAGTTTGCAACCGAAGGTGACAGACTGATCTATTATAAGTAATTTTCTTGTGATGGAGTTTCTTTTGTGTTACACATAAATTATGGTTGAGTTAAAGTAAATCCTTGATACAACAAAAGAACAATTTTCAAGGTTTGATTAAACAATGGAGAGGTAAAGTTAATGCATAAGGAATATGAGGTATGGGCTATCAAGTTTCCAGCGATTAGGAAATAAGCACAAGGAAGTCTGTTTGCATCTTTGTAGGGGTTGGTCCCTCAATTCTCTATAGAAAACATTTGTGGGTAGGTTATTACCGAGGCTTTGGACTAAAGTAAGATTTGTCACTTTAATCCTTCTATTACTGTAGGTAACTATAATTAGATGGAATTAACCAGATATTAAAGTACTAAATTATATTTGTAGGCTTCCGGATGGCTTTGCACAGCTCAAAAATCTCACTACACTTTGTCTAAATGATGTGTCTCTGATTCGTTTGCCCCCAGACATTGGAAGGTGAGGGATGAATGCCTGTTCTCATATTATGTACATGTGAATTTACTGAATATTTACAATCACTGAAGGGGATGTTCATGGTTGGTTACAGTGGAGCTTATGGCAGAGTTCATTCGAGAATTTTGTCAATAAATGATCTTTCATCATTAAGTGGAATATACTATTAACATTTTGTAGTACATATTTGTTAGAAAACTTCACAATTAGTTGTTGTCCTCTGCAATTGGACTCTTTAATGTTGGTACAGACTAGTTTTGTGTCAGGTTTTTCTTCTCTAGGCCAAATTTAAATGTGGAGTTCAATGCAGACAAATCTGTGTTTATTGGCAGCTTCCCACAGATAATCAGCCTTAGTGACTATCTCTTTTTTGCGCTAAATTTGATTTATCAATTGTATGGTGCTTGTTATTAGAATCAGCCTTTAGATCCTGGGAATATCTCCTAGTGAACTAAAAGGCTAAGAAAGACACTATTTAAGTTTCTTAAGTGATCATTGGCTAATCCTTTACAGGTTAAAGAGAAGATGTAGAAATCTCATTAGCATTTGGCAAGGATTTGAATTTGAGAAGTCAAAGTTTTTTTTCAAAAAGAGAAAGGAACTCCTTTTATTAAAAAAGAAGAGTATGAAGATAATAGATCAGTAAAAAAGTAAACTTGTGCCCATTAGACAACTCTTCAACCTCACTGCTTTTAATTATTTTTCACTGCTTTAATTTTCACTCCCAGTTTAACAGAACTCAAAGTACTGGAAGCACGAGAAAACTTGATCAAATACCTCCCAGTGTAAGTTCACAAGTTGATGATTTAGGTATCTTTTAATAATAAATTTTTAGTAATAAGTTTAATTTCTCTAGATCTACTTTTTACCAGTATAGGACATTTGCATTGCATGTCTTTGTTTTGTGGATCAATAACAGTATTTGAGCAATTGCGTACCCACCCCCTCCTTCCCCAACACAACATTAACCCAAACTTGTTGGGTTAGGTGGAAAATTGCTCAGATGATGACATAGATCTTCCTTCATTTTAGTTTTTTATTCTTCATTGGATTTGTCAGAAGTTCTTTTGCATATTTTTGTTGTTTATGATTTTTAACAGTTCCATGGAGTTCCTAACAAAGCTTGAAAGATTAGACTTTGGGTGCAACGAACTTGAAGAACTTGTAAGTAGTCAGAGCAAATTTTTTTAAGTGTGGTCAAGTTAAATCATGGTAATAAGACTGAAGCCATTCCAGCCCTGGGTATGAAATTGTTTCCAAAATGCAGCATGTGCATCTCGATCAATAACTAGACGCCATCTTGGATTTAGGTGAGCTTGAACGTTGTATATCATCCATCCAAGTGTCCACTTTGTAGTAAGTTAAATATCTTTTCCCTAACTTAATTTTGGAGGGTCTATCTAGAATGCTGACTGTGTAAAAATGAGGTTTTGTTTGTCTTTGAAAATGGCAACCAACTTTTTTTGAATTGGCTACCACTTTGAAGAATTTAGGAGCCAAGTGGTTATCAGAAAAAAAAATTAATTTCATGCCTCGCAGCCTGTAATAATGCAAGCAATTTGTTTATTGTAATTACAGACAGACTTGAACAACACAAAGTCCTGATATCAATTAATTAAAACTGCATGTATGACAAACTTTGAGAAAGGAACTAGCCAACAGTTACACCATTTCATTACAAAAAACAGCAGTTTACTTCGTGAAATGTGCAACAACAGCCCGCTTAGACAGGCTACAAGGGGGGCGTTTAATTTGCTTGGAGGAGAAGGCTGGTAAATTTGGTGAAAACCAGATTATGTGGCTTTGTTTATCGCATTTTTCTTAGTAAATTTGATTCATTTTGGTTTTGTATAGCCTGACATAGTAGGGTCACTGCCAAACCTCATAGAGTTGTGGTTGGATGGAAATCTGTTGAAGACATTACCACCAGTAAGTTTATATACATCGACATTGTCTCCATTTACCAGCCAGCAAAGTTATTCAGCATTTTTATTCACTTTTTTTATCTCTCTTTGTTTTCTTGTTTATCCAATACCTCATCCCTTTATCTCTCCTCTTGAGCAAACTTAGAGACTTTTTCCCCTTCTACTATTTTATCTGCACTAAAAATTGAAATAAGGGGCCTGCCAATCTTAGATGGCAATCAAACCCTAAAGTCATGTCACATCCAGAGAGAAGTGACAGATTAAGAAGTAAATGGGTTACTGAATCAATAAGCTGCTGATCTTCTTCTTTTTATCAGGAATTGGGAAGCCTCAAGAAACTTCAAATCTTTGATGCATCAGAGAACAAGATTGAATATTTACCAGATGAAATTTCTGGTTGTGTTGCTCTAACTGATTTCCATTTATCTCAAAATTTGTTAGAAGAACTTCCTGATACCATAGGTATGTACAGGGTTCCTGCAGATTCTTTAGTGATCACTCAGCTGTATGTGTTCTAAAACTTAAAAACATTGGTCATCCTTTCTTGATTAACTTTTGTAGGAAAACTTAAGAAGCTGCAGTTGATTAAAGTTGATCAGAACCGGCTTCTTGCTCTAACACCTGCTGTGGGAGGGTGAGTAAGTTTTTTTTAATATGGGAGGAGAGGTGCAGGTTGGTATGCATTGTTGGAATGAGTATATAGGGTGAAAAGGCTGTTTGTGGCCCGTCAGAAAGATGTTACTGGTGACAAAAATAAGTTGACAAAATGCAATATTCTCTGTCTACATTGCAGACTTTCCAGCTTACAAGAATTAATTTTAACTGAAAATCTCCTTGAGGTATGTTATTTCATTTCTGACAGGTATTGAGAAAAAAATTATATCCACCAAATTGTTGGGTAATTGTGAGTTCTACTGACACTTCTGGTTTCTTTCTTATTCTATTTGAACAGGAAATCCCTTCGACAATAGGAAAACTCCACAAGCTAACACATCTTAATGTAGATAGGAATAGACTTACAGCTTTGCCAGTTGAGGTTAGGTTCTTTTAAATGTTATTTCTTCCCTAAAACCAAAAAAAAAAGGTTTGAATTTTTCCAAAGAATATAGAGGATTTCTTTATGTCAATTTTAAAAACTACTTATATCATAAATTTTTTTCAATTGACAACTGGTGATATTAATAACCAATGAATTGCATTACTTTAATTATGTTGAACATCTTGCAGATTGGAAGCTGCACAAGATTGAGTGTTTTTTCTCTAAGAGAAAATTGGCTGACACGTTTACCATCAGAAATCGGCAACTGTAGAAATCTTCATGTTTTAGATGTATCAGGAAATAGGTGAGGAACATGGTATAAATGCATTTTTAGTTTTTGTCCAAATGATTGATACACTTAACTGCAACAAGTTCAGCCAAAGATCTATGTTGTTATTCTCCCTTCTGGCTAAAATAGGTTTCCCAGGTAATTTTTAGTAGGAATCTAGATAACAATTTCCTCTCAGAAGTTTGTTGATTCTAATTACTCATTTGGTGGATAAGCTACTGAAATTGTGAGGAGAAGTTACTAATTAAGGAATCATAACTGGGTGAAAAAAAGGTTGAATGTAGAGCTTTGGCATGATTTTTGAGTCTCTGCTATGCATAAAGCAATCTTAAATGGAATCAGAAATTGTAAATTTGTTGAGGTGTTGAAAGAAAATAAATTCCAATCAGTAATAGACTAGGTTAAAAATGGAATCAAAAATTGCTCCTTGTTGTTGAACAACGAGAGTAATGGTGCTCGTAAAAACCTTTGTGTTATGTACTGAATATGCTCAAGTTAGTATGTCTTCAGAATTAATCACTCATGACTATCCAGTTGAAAAGGATGTCTTTTCAGGCTTTTGTAAAAAACAAAAAGATTAAGTGATGTTTAGTTTACAACTTCGATTAAAATACTTTTCACACATGCAAACTGTGATACCTTTTTCTTATGGTTTATCAAAGTTAGTGTTTATATTTCTCTTTAACCAATTGTCTGTTTTGTGTAAAAAAAGGTTGGAATGTCTTCCACTAACAATTGGATCTTTGCCATTGAAGGCGTTATGGTTGTCAGAAAACCAGGTATTAGAATATCATTACTTTGTTTAATAAATTTTTATTTTCAAAAGGAATCAGGAAAAAGGATAACTGTTAGAACTTTCATTCTTGCCTGATTGATGGTATAGTATATGTAGACACATTCTGGTTATTTCTTTCACTTTTGAACAACATATATAAACAGCTGTTGTTGGATGGAAAATTACAAAATTTGCTTAATGGAATTTCGATATTTTGTGATTTTTCATCAGCTCCTTTTGGTAACATCAGGTAACTGAGTTGCCATTTTAAGATGGTAGATTAGCTTATGGTTTTGGCTGGCTACCAGCTTTTGTTGGCAACTCAGGATTTACCTGCATAGTTGAGATGTGGAACTCTTGAGAGCTTCCAAGAAAAATTCTGCTTGAAGACCTTGAGAAGCTCATCAGTCAACCGTACTTTCTCTTATTTGTTTCAACTGCAATTTGGTGACTTGTTTTGTACAGTTATTGGTTGAAAGGTAATTGAATGGTATATCCTCTCTGTTTTTCCAGTCTCAACCAGTGCTAAAACTTCAAACAGACGACGATGAACAGACTAACAGTAGAGTGCTCACGTGTTTCCTTTTACCACAACAAGGCCTTGGAAGTTTAGGTAAATATATGTTGAATGTATTCCATGCATTTTTTTGCAATTTGTCAATTTTGTGGACAGAATTTTCTGCACTGTCTTGAATTAGGCTTGCTTGAATGGATGAAAATTTATCTATGAATTATAATTGTGAAGTAGAATTGTTTGTCTCATATTTTGATCACTTTGAATGTGGATCACAATGTTTTGAGTCTTTCTCAGTCTTCTTCAGTGTCTGGAGAAGACTCACAGAATGCACTTGAAACACTGTGATCCAAATCTATAGTGTCTACATTGAGAGAAAAATGATTATACCTCATGTACAAGTGTATTCACCATGATGGCTAAATGCCCTCTTCAGCTCGTGACCAATAATTATTCTTTCAAATTAAGCAGTAATCTGTATGTTATTTTGCTCTGCTGACCATTATGCATTTCTTAAGGAGTTTCGAGAATTTACATTCCTTTTCTAGTGCCTCAAATACATGTATTCTGACTCACAGAGCTTTGAATTGCATAAAGAAGATTAAGAAAAAAACATTTTCTTTTACGAAGCTCTTTGAATTTTCATGTTTTAGATAGAAGATTAATTTTTGTCACTGTTTTAGATGTTTTCCCTTCTTTGTTTCAACACCATTTTTCAGCTGTAACCAACCAATAACAACTGAAATTGTGAATTCTCATCTGTCTGCTGAATGGCATTTCCTTTTAGTGTTAATTTGTTGAGATGAAATTTTAGGAAGAAAGAATTGTGTTTATTATTCAAGCTTTGATGGATCTGGCACTAAATTATTATTGTGCAGTTATTTGCATTTAAATCCTTCTTCTGGCACTTAAAAGACAGTTAAAGTTTCCACTTGTTTTAACTGTATGTTTGATGAATGAAATGATATTGTGGTACAAAATTGTTTTGTAACAGGGTCATTCACGTCAGAAAGTCCTATCTGTCTTCATTTAGGTCATTTTATTATTACAGACGTTCAGTACAGATTCAAAATATTGGGAATTTACAAAGAGCTTGCTGTTTTGAATATGCTCAACACTGTGTAATCAGAAGCAGGTGTAAAAACATAATATGTACACTTAAATTATGAAAATTTGAATAATAATGATGGCACCAATGTACATTGTACAGTAACCAGTGTTGGGTTTTTCACCAACTATTCAATAACAACCACTATATGCCATGACTTTAGAAACCTTAAATATGTATTTGCATCTATATGTATGCAAACTAGTTCGAAGCAATGGATTGTTTTTGCTTTAAAGTTTTATAACTGGCACTATTTTATCATGGGGTGCCAAAATGGGACATACGGTGTCAATCAAGGTGATTTATATTTTGTAGTATTTTTATTTCATATATTCAGTGCTTTCAGACATAATTTGTATTTTTGTGCCAAGCTGCAATTCTAATATGGCCCTTTTCAATCTATCTATGACTTCTAAATTTTGAGTTTATGCTTTAATTGAATGATACTATTTGTCCTTTGTGTGTGTTTGCGAATAAAATGTAGGTTTCTTTTCTTTTAAACTGCAAATGTGGAAGGTGGTTATTTTTCCCTAAAAGACAGAGCTAAAAATTTGTCTCTGATTTTGGGTAGAATTATTGTAAAAGAATTTATTTCTTAAAATCTTTAGTACTCTTCTTTCAATGCGGTATTCAATCTATTGGTACATGTAGACACACAACAGTTTTCTCCATTGATCAGGTTTTGTCTCCAATAGTTATGGAAATGCTTATTTTCTATTGGCTGTAAGCAGTTTCAATCATGTCATGTCTTTTAGATTTATTTGTGTCTTAATTCCCCTCTTCCTGCTTAGTTACAATGTAGAATTCCATATTTATATCTGTAGGAAAACATTCTTTTTATGTGGATTTACATAAAATGAAATGGTCAAAGTAGTGTCATACTGTTTTTTAATGAAGCTACCTCAAATTTATGTTCCAGGTGCAGCATTTTAAACAATTTTATTGATTTTTGTCAAGCAGTGTTATTCTACTGTCAAGATCTCATGAATAATTCTTTTACTGTCTGCCATACAATTCTTATGATATAAGCTGGGAGAATTGCCATCAGATCAATTAATCCCCCAATGCATTTTTTGCTATATTCTTATCACCTATCTGCTTGATACTGTATTCTAATTGTAAGGAGAAATTCTGTCTTGGTCACTCATGGGAATTATATGGTCAAGGTCAGCACAACCTCTCAGACACATTGGCCTAAGACCTGTTGTTCCAAAGGTTGTTTCACATTATAATTTTCTTGGTTTCTTCAGAGACGCTCACAAATGATTTAACACATGGAGTGGCATTTGAGAATCTTGCACATGATGAGATGGGGGACATTGCACGACCACGGAGTGGAAGCTTACCAGCAGTTCAGTTCGCAGAGGATTCTGAAGACAGTGATAAAGAGGTGAGTAGGAGTGAAATACTTAAGTACAGACTTTACCTCTTACCTTTTCTTCCCTAAACTTTGACTTATTTCGTTTTGATCATGATTGTCCAGGGCCTGGTTGCTCAAATGGGGTTAGCATCAATCTAGAATTAAATGATAACCTTGGTTTTAATTTCTCTTGTAGAAGAGAGTGTTAAGAGCTAAGGTTTTGTTGAATTTTATCTCAATGTGACTCAAAACTAACAGGGAAAAATTAACAAGAAAATCCCTTTGCAGAGCTATAAAACTAATTTTAAAGTTTACCCCAAACCCTTTAACTCCCAGATCAAATTTGTAATTCTCCTTACTGTCAACCATATAATTCTTATAATGTTAGTTCAGAGAATTTAGTATTGGATCAACTAATTATCCCAAAATTGATATTTTTCTTTATTCTCATCATATATGTACTTGATATTGCATTGATATTGTAAGGAGAAATTCTGTCTTGGTCACTCATGGGAGTTGAAGGGCTAAACCAGGATTAGGTTTACTGTGTTTAAAGCAACCTGGCCCAGTTACTGACAATAGTACTTCTCAGGACTGCTCTCAGTGGCAACTGATGTTTTGACAACCTGAGTGGAAATTACCATCAGGGATGAACAATCAAACTATATGGTCAAATGTGACCTTCTGGCTTACACCATTTACTGTTTTGATGACAATTGAAAAGGCTTTTGACTTACACCGTGATTGTTATTTGACTTAGAGGCCACCAGAATACTTAGTGACTCTGTGATAGAGCATTGGTCTACAAATCTTTTATAGTCTGAGTTTAAACTCCTCATGGGGGACTCATATTTGTCTTTGTACCATGCAGGTTCCTGGATTGTTTGTTTGTTTGTTTGTTTTTTTAACCAAGAAATTATGATAAGCCTTTCACATTTGCTAAGAAACAAACAATGTTTCTTACAAATGATGTAATAAATGTTTCTTTCTTTGCAGAGTACATTCATCAGACATGACACACCACACCCAAGGGATCTCAAATCTCGCCACCCGAAGATAACAATGCACAAAGTGCACAAGGGCACAGATCCTGTGGATGGTGTGATACTCAAGTCACGCAAGTCCTTCACAGTATGTATCACACTACATTGTTATTTCCTGGAAAGAACCTAGAGAACTATATTTGATACATTTGATCCTTTTCTGCTACAAAACAGTCATGGCATTTAAGAAAAAGAATTAAGGGTCCTGCATACTTAAATTCTTTGAAATTTCTTGAATGTAAAGTATATCTTTGAGCAACAGATGATTATGTTTTGATATCCTATTTTGAGCTTCAGAACACAAATGTAGCAGAAACAATACATATCCTTGTTCTGTGAGTTTTTATCCTCACAGGCTGGTCACATATAGACCCTGCTGGTATGTTAGTTTCACCCTTTATCTCTTGGAAGTGATCAACATGCAAAATATCCCCACATTATCTGGCAAACAGATCATGAGAATATTAAAAAAAAAAGTCAGTAGAAGTTGTTGCCTTAATCTAACACCAAATTCTCATGGCTGATTTACAAGGAAATGTGCAGCAGCCAGAGGGGATAGTCAACAATCAAATCTTGGGAGTGAATGGGTTAACCTGTGTCTCGCACATCTCCTGGTCTTGATTTTGCTAATTTCTTTCTTGGAGTCTAGGAGGTCTTTGTCAGCTGTGCACAATTATTGAAGTTACTTTGATTTTAGGATGAGGAAAGTGGATCTGATACTGAATTTCGACCAAGAAGAGCAAGTTTTGAAATGAAACCTGAGATAGCTGACAAAAAACAGGTAACAGTTCCAGAAGCAAGGAATGAAAAGAAGGGAGTGGGATTTGCTGTGGAAACACAAGAACAGACTGAAAAACAACCTGAGGAACAGGTCAGATACAAGAGCAAATTGTCAATTTTTAATGTCTTTGGTTGGCACTTATGTGCAGTGTGAGTCTTTGTGTCTGGTTAACATTGCATTGGCACAGATGGGAAAAGTGAGATGTTAATCTTGTAGGGTTCAGGTTCAGAGGATGATGGTGAAAGAGAGCAAAGAATTCGTTTTGAAGGAGAGGACCACCCTGAAACAGAAAAGCATGATAAATTACGGAGACGTGACACGCCGCACTATCTGAAAAACAAGAGGATTGATCTCCAATCAAACAACCAGGACAAAGTCATGGAAATATTAGCTAAAGCTGGAAGCCGTGACGGTGATGAAGAACACAAAAATGATTCTGTAAGCCACCACTTTTCTTGTCCTTGAAAAGAAGTTGTACTTGCAGTTGTTGTAATTGTTATTTCAGTCTTACAGCTCTATTGATTTCAGTTCAGAGAATTTGGCATTGGATCAACTAATAATCTCCTTACAGATGTTTCTTTGTTCACATCTCTTCTCTGCTTGACAATGTCTTGATTTTTTTTAAGGATAATTTTGTCTTGGTCCCGTTTAAAAGTTAAATAGTTAAACATTTGATCATGCCACAACATACACAACTGAATGGAATTTCTTTATTGAAGTCTTGATTACATTTTATTGCTGTTTTTTTGATGTTGTAGAATGAAGATGGCAGACTTGATGGGGAAACAGAAGGTATGTTGAGTCTTTGTAACAACTGTAACAGGTATAATTAGGTAGTATTGCTATTTAATGTGCACTCAAAACTTTCCCAAAGAAGCTAAGAGCAACAACACCATTCTTACTCTAAGTTTACATTCTTCATAATTGTTTGACCATAATTTTGTACTACTTGCATAAGCCTTTTACCAGCAGCTTACCCACTCCCCCTATATATGACTCTAAGTTCCCTATTTAAAAAAAAAGTCAAAAAGTCACCTTTAAGGCAACCTTCAGGTGTACAATGGTCGCCATAGAAAAAACAATTTGGTCGCTGTAGAAAGAGGATGTGGTTGCCATAGAAAAATAATGTTTCGCTGTAGAAAAAGAATGTGGCTGCCATAGAAAAAGAATGTGGTCACTGTAGGAAAAGAATGTGGTTGCCATAGAAAAAATCATCATATCAATGGAAGGACACTTCATGTTGCATTATCAGCATTTGTTGGTTTGAAAATTGATTCTCTGGCTGGAGTTCCACTGGCTTCTTGATAACATGTTGCTGGTTACTCAGGTCAAAATAGTTACCTTACCTTTTGGCCCTTAATAAACTTTTCACAGTCACATACATTTGCAGAGTCTGAGGCCTACTTCAAAACATTTTGAATCTCTTGCTTGCTCTCCAGAGATGAAATCTCCAGACAGTTTGCCAAAGATTTTCTTGTATGTTTAGACCTGAGAATTTAAAGAAATAATTTTTTAGGCACTGCAGAGACTGAGAGGTTTTAAAAAACTAATCTTCACATGAAAAAAGCAGAGACAATTGTATGACTGAAGAAACATGGAGTTTATGTTCCTGTTTATGTTTGTGGGCATAAATATGTTTTGGGCCTAACTTAGAGTCATTTTGGCAGCTTGGCTTGAAATGAGCCTGAGAAGGACTCAAAACATATTTATGCTCAAAGACATAAAGTCTTTTACTACTATTCTCACTTTGAATGGCATTGAGAAAGTCATGCAAGTGTGGGAGCTTTTAGCCTGCCAAAATCTTCCATTTTAGCCCACAAAATGCACCACATTTCATGAAAAAGTGACAATAATATTCCTTTTCTAGGTTTCTCAGTGAATATAAATTTGAAAAAGTTGGCAGTGGTGAATATCACGAGAATTCTACTTCATTGCAAAGAAATCAAATATGGTGTTTGTTGAATTTTTTTTCCAGCTGTCTATATAATTTAATTCACACTCCTAAATTGTGGCATAAATTAGCCTTTAAACAGGTAATTGTGGTAATTTATGATTTTGTTGAGAATCCAATATCTCAATAGGTGGGTGGAATGTTCAAAGTCCTTTATGTAAAGCTTATGCTCTACAAAATTCTCAAGAGCTGAATCACCAGTAAAAGTACAATATATATGATAGTAGAAATAGTTTTTGTTTTGATCTAAGGACTGAAAAGAGTGTAAAACTTTTGAAAATTAATAGAACCTGTGCAGTTAATAGTTGAAACTATCAGTGCCATCTGGTGGCGGTAAGTGGACCATGATAGATTGTTGAAAGCATTAAAACATGTGATCTGTTTATATGAAATACACTGAATATTAATGAAGTATCCAAATATGGGTAATTTTAAACAGAAATAAAAATTTTGTTTGGCAGGTATTCGGGAAACTTTCTTTAGTTCCAGAAAAAATTATGACTACTTTCTGTCTTCATATTTTGTGGCATTATCTCACTCTTGCAGGTGGAAAAAATTACTCTTTTTGGTTTGAATTGAACATCTACTCTGAACAAAAATATAAAAATCATCAGTGAAATTAGTATGGTTTTCATGAAGTCTGCTTGTAGAAATAACGTTGAGTTTATTTGAAACGTAGAATTGTAAGTGTTAATAATTTTTCTGTTAATGTAGAGATTTTTCATTGTGTTTTCTTAAAGGCTCCTTTATGTTTATAACAACAGGCTTTGTTTTAAATTATTCATAACTTTTTGCCACATGTTGTGTTTTGAGGAAAAAAGACCTGCTTTACATATCAAGCTTTTGGTTGCACCTATGTGTATGTGTTTAATGCGCTCTGGCCACTTTGTACAGATTTCAAGATTCTTCCTCTTTGCTAAGCTATAAAATATGGTTGTCTCTGTGTTAGGGACATATGGGCCGTTTACAGTGGTTTGGTCAGGTTAGGATAGGCTATTTAATTTCTGGTTCACAGCTTTTACCACAGTTATCAATTTGATGTCCGTGTTACAGACATCACATTTGTGAATGCAGCTGTAGACTGCTGCCTTTTGACAGCTGTGAGTCGCAAAGTTGGAGCTGTTAAAAGACACCAGTCTTCGCATTCTTGTTTGTTGTATTTTTTTTCAATTACTTCTTCACTCTCAGTTTTCAAGATTTAGGAATTACCTAAGGGAAACTTAAGTTTTCTCTGCAGGAAATCCAGAGGAAAATTTTTTTATCTTTCAATGAAGTACAGTGTTCGTGAAGCAATTTTGAACTAATGGTTTGTTAATGGTAATGTTACAGGAGAATAAACTCCTTAGCAAAGAGTTAAAAATTGCGGTGAGAAGAGGATTTCATGCGTAATGTTACCATGCTTACCAAAATTTTTTTTGTAAAATAATTTAGAGCTTGAATAATAATTCTATTTTCATCATAACAGGTGTCATACCCGGTAAATCCTTGCAAGTGTGTAAACACAGACCTGGTTTTAATTATAAAAACATAGTTTCAATGTTATTCAAAACGGGTTTTATTTCTTAGAACTGGTGAAGGGGATTTGGTCTCGGCGCTCTGAAAGTTTCTCTTTTTATTTCAAATACAGAAATTAGCCCAAATAAAGAGCGAAAAAAAGAGGAAAATTAAATTGGTGCGTTGGATTTCTTAGCTTCCGCACCGTGCAGTAAATAATGGTTTATAAAACTACCTAGAAAAAAAGAGAGATTAAATATAACTGATTTGGATTGAATGTTGAGCAACGTTAAAAATTTTTTCAATGTTGTGTAGTTTGCTAAAAGTGAACTAAACAAATCTGTCAGCGAGCATTTCATTGTGATTTGCATATTACTATCTGTTTTATTTAATTTTGTTATAAGGTTTAGCTGAGTTCAAGATAAGAACTGAAATTTGAAGTGAAACATTTGTATTATGTGTGACTATCATTGTACATAGTTTTATCTTAATAATGTAAGGAAAAATGTGGTAATGGCTGTCGATAACAGACATTAATAGATTTAGTAATGTTGATTAAGGACAAAAACTTTTCCCATTTAAAAGGAACGATTGCCGGTGCATCTAGCTACAGAAAAATGAATGACTTATGCATGCACGAAATTCAATTTTTATTTTTCCCATTATTAATGAGGAAGAATATTGGGCTGAAACGTTTGGCCGGTTATGTTTGGGTTAAGGGCACCGTGACCTCGTTGAAGTAAACCTCGTTGCTTGATTCCCACTGTGCCACTCTCTGGTTTGAAATGGGAGTAGCAATACGAAACAGCGTCAACTGCTACAAACGATTTCCTAATGACATGCTATTTGCTTTATTCACATCAATTTCATCGTAACTGTTTCTGTATTATATATCGTGTTAAGAGCAGCGTTGCGTCCACTACTTTGACGAAGGGCTGACGCTCGAAACTTCAGCTTTAAAAACTCTTTACGGCAGCCAATTTACGTTATCTACTCAGTTGATAAAACCAAATTATCTTGCAATTTCCCCCTTCCCTTCTTTTCCCCCCCACTCACTGATGCTGCACTAAAATTTCCTTAGAGCTTACCCCCTTTGTTTACATGACATGGGTTGACTTTGTTGCTAATTACATTCTCAACAAACTGGCTGTTAAAGAATGTTAACAATTTTTGTGTGGTTTTACCAACAAAGATATGTGTTGTATTTGTTATTTTTTAGAGGGTCCAGCACTAAAGAGAAAACCAACTCCTCCAAAAGGATTTGTTGGTCTCACCAGTGAGGAAGAGATAGCTGAAAATGACGATGAACAAGAGCTTGTTACGGTCACGAAAGTCGTGGAAGAGGTACTAAGTGATTTATGTGTTGACAGAGAAGTGGTTGTGTTAGGATTGAGGTAGGGAGGGTGGGGTTTAAACCACTCAACTAGGTGAGCATTAGTTTAGGTTCAAAGTGGAAAGAAACTGTTTAAGGTTCGCCGGTTCGAAGCTAAGTTACGTTTTGGAGACAGTTATGTGAAAAGACAAGTGTCATACTTTTGTATTGTTGTATTCACCGTCTCATGGCACAACTAGAAAATATTTCAGGCAGAGAACCTTTTAACTATATGGAAAGCGGAGAGAAAAAAGTCAGATTGTCAGTTATAACTTTGTTTGCTTATTTTCTTTGTTGCCTGGGGAAAGATTAAACAGTAAGCCTCGACTTGATATGCTCGATCCAGTTCTCCTGACACATGTCCAAACGAATCGAAAGTAGCTTATATTCTATTTCATGTTTGATGGTCTGTGCAGCTGGCGGTTTTGTGCGCAGCCTTTAAATAAAGCTGCAAAGCTGCAAGAGGTTTGAGACAGAAAATAGTGCGAAAACTTAAGTATCCGCTGCTCGTTACGCAAATCTGCCGCCTTTCTGTCCATCGAGCACCCAAAAGTACATTGATTAAAGCTCCCATTTTTTAAATAAGAAAAACAGTCAGGGACAAACTTGGCAATGACTTGAAATACGGAGATTTTCCGGTTGCTCGGATTGTATTTAGCTATGTCTTGAGTATTGTTCTTTCCTCTGCAGATTGAATACACGATCCACCGGAACAACAAAGGCCTTGGAATCAATATTGCCGGTGGAAAAGGTTCCACTCCTTATATGGGAAATGATGAGGTAAGAGAGAAGATCATGTTTGATCACATTCGCTTCAGCCGTTTGAGTTTTTTCTGTCGTTGAATTTCTGTTTTGGTGCAAAATACTTGGTGACTTTTTCTGACGTTGTGGCAAAATTCGTAATTTGTTTCGTTTCTTGCAGGGAATTTTTATCTCTAAAATTTCAGAAAATGGTCCTGCAGGGCAGGACGGGATACTTAAAACAGGCGACAAAATCATCAAGGTAACTCGATAATTCACAATAGAGTACGGCGCATGCTCTGTGGAGTTTATTTCTAAGAACTTTGATGGAGAAAAAGGGCCCTTACTTGGTGTAGAAAACGCAGTATACGTCACTCTGTTGTTTTCATTGTTTTCATATTTCCGGTTGTGATGAAATTCTATTTTGACGTATACTGACGTATACTTTCTACATCAAGTAAGAACCAGAAAAAGGCCCTTTTAGGTCAAGTGCAGCAAACTGAAATTAAGAATAATGTGCTTGTTATTTCTCCATATAATTTCACCCTTGAATCAAATGCAAAGATTATGACAATAAGGGAAATGATCACCAATTTAACAAACCCCTGATTGTCCAAAAAAACCCCAAAAATGTACATATCCTTGTCATTACCATAGGAAATGTAAAGAGAACAGTGTGGAGACTAAGAATGCTAATGTTGAGGTGAAAAGGGTCAAGAATTTTGCTAATGTGACATTTCTTTATACATTTGAAATAGGCTTTACGATATCTTAGCAACTAGAAGTTCCCTTGTTTGATTGAGTTCACGTATTATGCATCATCCAGAAATAAACAACGTGTATTATTTCTTCTCTAGGTAAATGGAGTGAATATTTCCACCGCCACACACCATGAAGCGGTACATGTCTTGAAAAATGCTGGAAATGACATCCACTTAGTTGTAGTTAGAGAAAGGGAGGATCTGGAGAAAAGAACGGTCACCAAAACATCTCGAGAAAACCTGATGGCTTCAGAAGATGGTGATTTAATCGATGAAGCTCTGGAAGAGGCTTTCACTAAGGAGGAAGTGAATGAAGTCCACCAGGAGCCAGAACCTGAGCAACCGAAGGTGAGATTCATGGTGAAACTTGGCGTCTGTAGTTGTCCTATGCAAGGGTTTTAACCCTGTGACTCCCAAGGGGAGTCAGCACCTTAGGAAATGTATAAAGAACAGTGTGGAGAATATGCATTCTGATGTTAGGGTATAAAGGGTTAATGCAACCGGTTCCCAACAGTTTACCGCCGCCCGTGTCATTGGTCACTTAGGTTATTATATTAATACTACCACTTGGTTATTGTGTTGTTATGTAACCGTGTTCACACTACAAACATAACAACACTTTGACTGTTTTGGCGTAACGCTGGCGTCGTCATGCCACTATGGGAATCAGGCTTTTATCCTCACTGCCTATCTGTCAAATGCCTTGACTGGCTATGACGAGGAGGAGAGAAACAGAACTTTGATCAGATTGTGTCATGTACTTGCAGGTGACTGAAGAACCACCAAAGGAGGAGACGAAGAAAGTGGGCGTGAGATTTGCTCCAGAACCTGAAATGGAGGAGATTCAAACGAAAACAGAGGTACTCTTGATGTCAATGAAACGTTTGCTTTCAATAAATGATACGCTCAGCATTTACTTACCGTGAAGCTAATCTAGGGCTTCTAGACAGGTTTATTGTAAGGTTAATTAAAACTCTTTTATGAGGAGGACGGATATTTTGTTGGATTTGTGTTATTGATAGAGAAGGTTTTTTAAAGTGAAATTAAGTTTGGGTTATAGAGAAAATGTCATTTAAATATTTTTTAACTACGATTTTTGATTGATTGGCTTCCTAATTAAGATGAACATTATGTTGTAAGTGAGGGATTTTGTTCAACATTTTTATAATTTATAAATCATATTCCATCTATGTCTTCACAGAAAGAGACAATCACATTAAAGCGAGGTGGCGAGAAGGGCCTGGGGTTTAGCATTGCGGGGGGTCGTGGCTCAACACCTTACAAGGATGGCGACTCGGTAAATAAAATTTATTTAGTTCAAAGTTAATCATATTTTTTTTTACGCTATGAACGTTAGTGGTACGTTGGCTTTTAATAGTAATTTGTGCATAACCTCACTGGTGATATGAAGGTATTTGTCTTCGCTATTGCCGGCAAGTGCACTTTTTTCAAACTTTCAGCAGAACGTAGGCATTGTTGTTGTTGTGGTTTTAATTCAACTCTCTGAGACTTTTGTTCAACAATTGTGTTTTATTTCAGGGAGTATTCATCTCGAAAATTGCTGAGGGTGGAACAGCTGAGCGGGATGGAAGACTCCAAGTTGGTGATAAAGTTCTTTCGGTGAGTCTTCGTTATTGACTTGAGTTGTTGGAACAATTTAGATAAGTAATCCAGGTTTGCTTTGGTATTTTCCTTTCTTCGGATTGGCCTACGTAATCAATTTGGTTTTGTTTAACGAAAATCAATCAAAAAGCGCTTTATTCAGTTGTGTAATGTAACCTGCCATCAGTTCACAGTGGAAAGTAGTCTTGTGATTGTTCTTGCCCCTTATTCTGTTCGGTCAAGCGGATCGTTGTCAGTATTTAAGCAACTTCACACGGACCCCTCTCTTAGCCCAACATTAACACTAACATGTTGTCACTTGAGTGTTGTTGGGTTAGGGGAGGGGAAGGTGCTCAAGTTATCGTTGCCTTATTGCTTCTCCTTTGCCAGTCCCGTTCTCATTTTCCTTATCCTTGGTTTTTTTTTTTCGCATTTATTTTTTTGTCAGATAAACGGCAAAGACATGAAAATCGCGCGACACGAGGACGCGGTGGGCATGTTGACAGGCGGCCTGTCGTACGTCACGCTTGTTGTCGTCCGTGAACGAGTGATAAATAAGAGAATGTTACCTCTCTCTAAACTGCAGGATCAGTCCATACTTAACAAGAGATTACCAACTAAGGTAAGCTGAAAGTCACTTCATCTCCAGCGTCTTAGTCACGCTTTTTTTTTTACGAATAGTTTCTGTATCTGGAGGTTTCGCATAACTCGCCTCCTACCACCTTTCTGAGTTCGCCACAAACGAGTTGAAAGATTAGAGTGGGGTGGGGAGGGGGCGAACTGGGTAAAGTTGGTACCGGGCGAACTTGCGATTGGACGAAACTTCTTTAAAACATAGACTCGTGGATTCGCAGACAAAGATGCACACGCGCAGCGAGACTTGAAAAGTAATTAGCTGACAGAACATTTCTCTTTAGCCTGAAATGAACCACGTAACACCGGAGAAAGTAGCAGATGTCAACCACACGGACAAGAATGGAACCGCCGACCTGGATATTGAGGTTAGTATTTTTTATTGTCACTCAGACAGACTACTATTGTACGAGTGTTTTGTGCAATTTCAAGCCGTTTAACCCTTTAACTCCTAGAAGTGATCAACATGTTACTTCTCCCGATAATCTACAAACATTATCCAGTAAACAGGTAATGAGAATTCTCAAAGTTATCAGATAGAAGTTCTTATCTTGATCTGACACCAAATTCTCGAAACCAATTTACAAGGAAATATGCAGCAACAAGAGGGGAGAATTAACTATCAGATCTTAGTTATAAGTATTTTGCTTAACATTGTTCATCATGAAGTCAATTTGGGTTTGTTTACAGGAAATCGTTCTCAAGAAAGGAAGCAGTCCCCTAGGATTTAGTATCGTTGGAGGTTCTGACCATGCCAGTCATCCCTTTGGAATGGACGAACCAGGAATATTTATATCAAAGGTAGGAGGTTATTGATCACTGTGCCATGCTACAGCAAATCATTTTGAACCCAGAGGTCATAGTTAAACGTGTGATCTGATCGTTCCACATGTCTACAACAGTGTTATGTTCTTACGCAACAGTTGTAACGCAAGGTTTTTTAAGGGACAAGGCTTGTATCTAGTCGCCAGGATAAAATTTTAAAAAATATGCCTTCCTCTCTTCAGACGTTCGTTTGCAAAAACCGGAAGAACTCTAAACAACCTAACTGGCTTCGCTCTGACGAAAGACTAACGCGCGAAACGTCAGATTTAAAAACTCTTTACGATGGTCAATTTACATTATCAACTCCGTCGGTATAACTGAATTATCTTGTAATACCCTTCATCGACGCAGCATCACGGTTTCTTTCTAACTTTTATTTCACTTTTTTAATACTTCTATCTTGCCGCCTCTTGTAGATTGTTTCAAACGGAGTTGCCGCCACCACTCATCTGAGGGTCGGAGATAGAATAATGCTGGTAAGGAATCGATTTTCTTGATACATGCTGGTATTATTTGCTGGTCTGTACTAAACGTTCAGTTTGTAAACGGTGCGTGATCGTAGAGTGCATTACAGTACAATACAAGACTTTATTTGACAGTGAACCATGCCTAGCTAATGGTCATAGCTTTTCGACTGAGTGTTTTAAAACCAAAACCGAAGTCCTCATATCAACCAATCAGAGTCAAGGGAGATATCACAATGAGCCATTGAGAATTTGAGGTGGAAACATTCTCTGCTCAAAGCGCGAAAAAAAAAGGAGTGACCAAGTCGTGAATGGTTTAAGTTTTGAATTCGCTTGGTTGAGAAATAGGCGCGAGTTTTCGGGAGAAGCTTATCATGAGCCTGTTACAAGAATAAATACATATTACATAACAACCTCTACTTTTGATTAATTAGGGGAGGCAGGCCAAGTATGTAACTCGTAAAACGACCCTCCTTTAGTATGGAATCGTGAATATACCTATTTCAAATGAAAGCGCAAATTTTTGTGCCATTAATTAGAGAAAGAGGTCTTTGAATGCGGCTGTTCCCTTCCTCGGTACATGCTCAGACACAACTGATTTCTTTTGTGACCAGATTGAATGGAATACTTGGATGTTTTGTTTGGTTGCTGGCTTAGTTTTGGAGTGGAGTCCGCTTGTCCAATTCTTTGTTTAATTTTCAGTCAGCTTAATGAGTTTGTTTGACTCCGGAAGTGACTCAGTTGATGTAAGAGACTCTATGATTTCAATGACTGTTTCAGTACATGCATGCTACTTGCTATTTATACCCAAAATCGAAGTTTTATGATTGTATTTGGTAGACCGTTACGTTCAGAGCTAGGGTTCTGTTTCAACTTTGTAAGTTTTTTTCTCGTTGACACCAGGTTGTATGCGATCAAAGGTAGCTAGGGTTTCGTCAATTGTTGTCGGATTAATTTGCTGGGAATGGAAATATAGGAACTTTTACGTTGTTCCAGCGCGACTCTCGTTCCCAAAAGCTTAACCCTTTAACCCCTAAGAGTGACTCGCATCTAAATTCTCCCTACAATATCATCCCTAAATCACACATTAAGGTCACGAGAATAAAGGAAATGATCGCCAACTCAAAAAGCTCTCGATTGTTAAACAAGTTCTCCTTATCAGCAAGTTAAAAAACGTGTGGAGAACAGTATAGAGAATATGCATACTGATGTTCGGGTGTAAAGGGTTAAGCAAATTTCATGAAAGTGTCCTAAAGGTAAAGAATTAGCCTTAGTAGACAGAGTGTTAGACAGAGAACCCGCTGAGTCCAACATCTAGATGTTTTGTTACAGTGGATAATGAAATCGATTTGCCTGTCATGATTGATACTGGTACACGTCAGTCTTAAAGAGATTGTTGGTGGTGAAATAATTGAAATGAAGTGGAGTTTTTTAATTTGGTAGAACAGGAAATTTTTGTAGTCATTAGTGTCTGCATTCAAACAGTTTATTTTGTGGCTCCATGTAAGTGTTGTCAATAGAAAACCTATATTACTGATTATTATATAATGAAGTTTCTATTGATCGAGTACACAACAGTAAAACCTTTTTGCGTGCGTAAGTTTTAAGTAAAAAATCCAGTGGCAAAAGGTCAAATTAAAATTGCTTCTCGTTTCGTGGAGTGCGGAATAAAGGTCTAGGCGCCTTCTGATATTGGAAGTAGGCGCATTCGGTGGCGAAAAATTAATGCCGACAAGTCTTGAACATCACATGTAACTACAAGATGTATCTAATTTACTGAAAGTGAAGGACTCTCAAAAGAGGTGTTGTTCCTAGTGATCTTTCAGTGCATGGGTTCTTGTTGTACAAGCAACCAGCCTCGGTTCACACGCTTTCGTGTCAGAAAATGCCACAGACAGTTAGAAAAACGCCAGTTTCCGTGCTCAATCTTTTTTGTTAAAATAACGCTAATTAATCGGCTGAAAACCGCCGGCAAGCTCGTTGTCAAAGGGACCGCCATCACAGTTAAACACTTGTGTCTAAAAGCATTCTTTTTACTTTTTTTGTGAATACTGCTGCTAATATGTGTTTGATCGCCGACTATACAACTCCAAAGACCCGTCGGTTCCTCAAAGACGTCAGGTCGCTCGAAAGTGAACATTTATAGTGTTAAGCACCCCCATCGGGGTCATTAAATGTGTTTACATCACAACCTGAAATACTTTGTCTCTGAAAAGAATCAATTCACTCGGGAATTGGTAGTGTTCGCTCGACTACATTACTTACGGTCGAGCTGTTTATTTAAGCTCTGTAACGTTGTCAAAGCAATCAGTGAATTGAAAACCTGACGTAGAACAGTGTTTGTGAGCATTTTGGAAAAAGTATCGGAGACTAACCATCACAAGTGCTATGATTGGAGTGGATATAGTCAGAAGCTGGCCGTGCACGACTTCTTTGCGGAGAAAGGTGAATTGAGAGAAATAAACCTCTTGCTATGACTGCTTGGTTCTGGAAGTGTCGCTTTATAGTTTTTCTTGGAACTTAAGTCCATGGTTTTACTGAACTAGAAGCAATCGATTGATCTAATTTCCGTGCGGAAGAAGAATTAGTGTGCGAGGTTTTTTTCTTTAAGTAAATTATGTAATAAAAGCAAGTTTGAAACTTTTATACAAGTTTAAGATTTTTTTCTCATTTCGTTCGGTCGATTTTTTTGGGAAAACTAATCACTGTCTTCTTATTTTAAAGGTTGTAGATCTAGATTGACCTAAACACGAGTTGACCGTCCGTCATCTTTTATTTCCTGTAATAGATCGAGTTGTTTATTACGAAATTTTTAATTTGGATATTGTAGGCGACAGACAGTAGTTCATGATATTTTCAATGGTTTTCATGACATCGATAATGAGGAAGGATTCGTATTTGTTTTGAAGGGTTTTAGGGTAGGCAATTCCGTGTTCGTCCAGCTTAATGAAAATCTGAACATAAAGTTATGAGTCTCGTAGCGAAGCTGAGCATTTTTTAGAGCTCAGACGGTTTTCTGACTGATGAGTTCTTCATTTAATTTAGTGTGGATATGAAGCTGTCAATAAGTGCTTTGGGATGTCTGTAGAACGATGCGTCTTGATTAGCAGTTAGTTGAGTAGATTTTTTTCTCCAAAACCATCCAACGCTTTTGTTTGTCATAGGTAAATGGAAAAGACATGAGGAACGCTACTCATCAAGAAGCCGTGGCAGCACTGATAGCTAATGTCTCACTCATAAAACTTCTGGTCCGCCATGACCCACCACCTAAAGGACTTCAGGTATGCATAATTATTGTGTCTAACTATAATTAGTTACTTTTTCATCCCTCAACAAAGATCTATCTGCTCACGGGGAAAAAAGTTATCAAAATATATTTTCGCTATCTGTCAGCTCACTCACACTTTCGTGTTTATTATGTAATGAGTAAATAAAACAATTGTGTGCCGAAGCGTAACTTGTTTTTGTGGTCTTCGAGGGTAGAGTACGATCTCTGTCCAGTCAAATGCACTGTGCAAAACTCGTTTTGATTATTCAGCCATTAACTCCTTAAAAAGACAAAATTCCTTAGAGCTGTTTCGGCGGTTCTCATGCTAACGAAAAATAAAGTTTCATTCAGTTGATTACATTTGTGAACTTTCATTGTTTTCCGTAGTCTCTTGTGTAAGCCAGAGGTTTATTATAGTGAAAACGCTATCAATTTGCCGTGTTTATTTTACCAGTTTTAATGGAATTCTCTAAAAAGTATTCCTTTCGTCGTTTTCCGCACTTTTCAAGAGTTTTGTCACCCAGACGCAGATATTCCTTCTCTGTTTTTCATATATTTATTAATACATCAAAGAAGGCCGGCACATCGCGAAGCCTTTTACATCGACACCTTTGTCAGACACGCCTTGCATTTTATTCTCGCAAGCTACAATAAATATCTGGGTGGTAGTTTGTTTTGAAGCATTATCATAGCTTTCAGTTTCATTGTTGCATTCGGGGTTCAGTCCGTGGTTGAACTTGATTTTAGCGTGTCTTGTTGGTCTAAAATATTTGTTTACAATGCCATTTGTTAGGTTAATTGGCCGTCTAGCAGGCGGAGTTAAGTGATCTGGGTTAAGCTTTAGTGTTTTGTTGGATCCTAGCACTGTTGTCTGATGTAAAATCCTTTGAACCATGGCTATGATCCATTTCCATTTTCTCTCTTCTTGTGTTGGTGTAAATGTGCGAAAATAGCTTAGGAGAGTTACTTAAAAGATCAGGTCTTGGGAAGGCAACAGATTTGAGATTGAATACTCCAAAGTTATCGTAGAGGAAATGTGTGAATGATTTGAAGGAGAATTTTGATCTGAACCATTCATACCCACAGACCTAATGAGCAAAGATTTACTTAATTTCTTTCTTGGTTCCCACGCACTGACTGTGAATGAAGCCGTTGTTGTCTTCTCCGGAAGAAGAGTATTTTAGCTGAATACAATCGGACTTTTCTCTATCGTCTATCTTTTTTTTTTTCTAGAAACAATAGACTTGCTTTTGCGAGCCCATAAAAAGCATCGAAACCGTAACTTAAAGGAGTGAATGAGCGTACTAAGAATTTTTTTTCATAATTATTTGGTGACTTTGGATTTTAACATCTTGTTAGGATTTCAAGTCGAAAAATTCAAGCAATAAACAACCGTTCCACTCTTTTTGCTTTGCACGCGCATATATGCCGTCACGTGACTCTCAAACAGACGGCGGCATGTTGGCTATCCATGTGTTAATCAATCAGAGATCAAGTTTGTGAAATCTGCGTAATCAGACGACGATATGTTGTACGTCTGGTTGTGTCAAAGCTTTACTCAGCTGAATACATTTGAGACTTTTTACGTCTAATTCAACAACTACGTGTAACTCGGTTTTTTTTCCTTCGTCAAAAATAGGAGGTCTACCTCCACAAAGGTCCAGGAGAGAGACTGGGTATCAGTATAAGAGGTGGCGCTAAAGGACACCCTGGTAACCCGTTAGACAAGTCAGACGAAGGAATATTCGTATCTAAAGTGAACGAAGGCGGTGTAGCTTACAAAGATGGGCGGCTTAAAGTTGGACAAAGATTGCTGGAGGTTTGTTAAGAAAATAGAAATAACGCCCAAACATTTACCTTTTGAATACTTTATATTGTATTTTTGTCTTTGCAGAGCTTTTTTAGTACGTCAGATATTGAATTTTTTTTATTAACTACTATTTTCTTCTCTCAAAATTTTCTTATTATACTCCAGTCGAGCGGTACTGAAAAATCTGGGTTCCGAAAATGAAGCTAACTTTTCACGAATTTTATTTTATTGGCGTGTGAAACCAATTCATTAAGTATGTGGTGTTCGTACTTAAGGAATAGTATCTCATTCTGTTATACCTGTTCAGTAGAGTATACTTAATTATTTTTAAGTTAATCACTTTTTCTATCGCTTTGTTCCATGAAGTGACCTTTTTTGAGAGGCTCCTTTTATGAAGGTGTTCTTGTAAAGCGTTCAAACGCGTCCGGCTCTTTAGCCAATTATCACTGTGTATTCTTCTCCTAAGGTCAACGGTACCAGCCTTTTAGGCGCCACACATCTGGAAGCCGTGCGATCGCTCAGAGGGATTGGGGATGATTTAACATTACTTGTTTGTGACGGGTTTGACCCGGCTGAAGTTCCCGCGGGACAGCACGCGGCCTGGCAAGCAAGTCCCGTAGCGTCAATCAACTCTGGAAAATCACAGAGCCAGGAGTCCTTGGAACGAGACATCATCCCATCAAACGAAAGAGCGTACGATGACATTAGAAGAGAGATTAAAAGACAGGTTGGTGGAAGTTGCTTATTTATTCATTTTTGTTGATAAAGTAATCAATGCCTGCTTCGAAAAAAATATCGGAGAGAGGTGCTTCTAGCTAGGCGGCATACTTAAGCAAGGCCAAATGTTCGCTCTGAGGAAGGGCTAACGCCCAAAACGTTAAATTTGAAACACTTTACGGTGGCCAAATTGCATTATTTACTCAGGTGATAATACCATTTTATCTTCTTATCAAAGCAGCACCACAGTTTCTGTAAAAACCTCTCCCCTTTTTTCATAAAGTACTACAATTGTTTAAGAGGTGGAATCGGGTTTTCTAAGAGAGTCTAGTCACGATTTGATTTTAATTGCGTGACACTGGCCTCTTATCTCGTCATGCTATGAGTATTACTTGTCGTAGTGACGTGACGGCATGTTTATCGCACCTCTTTTGGCGTGGGGTCAAAACTTAAACATCAACTCAGTAATCTCGGAAACATTTTGGAAGGGAAAACATACAGCCCAAAGGCTATTTATGGTCAGTCTTTCTTGTTTTTATGTCACACTAGTACTTACATGATCGTGATTAAAGATCTGTAAGAGATCTCTGAGGCTATCAAATTAAGTTTTACAGTAGCGAACGCTTGAGTTTAGAGGAGGTCATGTTTCGGCAATAATAGTTATCAGAAAGTTTTCTGCTGGCATCTTTTTCTTTGATTTCCAAAGGAATTCTGATAATTCTCGCCCATGAGCTCTGAACTGAGCAAACGCTCAATAACTATAACATTTTGTCGAGCACTCGTTTCTGATTTTCTGTAAATCCCGTTTTTTTACAAGAGATTTAAATGATTATGTGTTGACGTACATGAAGGGTATTTCCCCTTCAAATGTATGCTTCCCTCTCTTTTTAGTTTAAGGAATGCCTTCATGCAGATCTTGATTTTGCCTGCCTTAAAGAATTTTTTTTTAGGTGAAACATTTTTGTGCAAGGAAAAATATGGTTTTCATGTAAATTGTTTGAAATGCTTAGGTAATCCCCTTAATCGGATTGAATATAAACTCTCTTATAAAGGGTTCATTTGTTAAATTCCGAGATTAAGATTTCACATGTTTGGTGGCTAATCTTGTAATGGAGGGATTTGAAAAATTCGAGATATTTTCTCATTACGAAAGCGTAAATTTAACACTGAATCGTCAAAAGGGAAGTGAATGCGCTCTATATCTTCGGACTGCTAGTACTCACCAGGGGTGGGGGGGGTAGTGGGGGAGGGGGGTTGACAGAAGATTCAGACGGGCTATGTCTTCACTGGCGCTAGAGAGTTTCCGAAGAGAATTTCGCTTTGCTATTGAACTGAGAAAAACCGATAAAAAGTCATTTTAACGGTGCGTGAATGTTAAACCCGTAAACAACGCAAGAAAAATTTGTAAAATACACGTCAGTTTTTTATATTCCTAGTTAATCCCTTTTGCAAAAGCATTTTCCACCTCTTCTACGTAAGACAGCTCGATAAAATAAACGTTTAAAGTTGAAAGTGTTTTCTTTTTGGCAAATACATGTTACATCTTCTTGGTGCTTCGAATGAATGAAATATCTGTTACTCTGTTTAAAGTGACTCACGAGACGTTTTGCAGTATTCAGACCTGTTAATGATGACAGGCAGGCTAAATTTTATTTCCTAAAGTACTTAACTTTATTGAAAAAGGCTTATCGAAGCTTTTTAAATGTGTGCACTCGGTTAGCACTTAAGCCACTCATTTGTTCAACGAACATTGGGATAGATATTGAACAAAAGGAAACCTTGAATGATAATTAACAGCTCTGCGAGAATTTAAAGGAGAAAGCATGTCTCTAGTTTTCTTTTATAACTGATTCTTTAGAGTTTGGAGAAAGGAGTGTCTTTGCTCTGCACTCAATAGCGTTTAGAGATGGTAATGAATAATTTCTTATAAGAACTACTGGAATGGTTTTGTCAAACGCGCGTGTTGATCTAAATTTCCGTTCTCTGTAACAAGAGACCGACCTCTTATATTAGACCTATTGCAGCGAGCGTGCCAACTACATTGTCTGAAATGCAAATCACTCCATCGCAAAACCAATCACCAAATCGAATTGTGTCCATTTACGGAAGATTTTCAATTATTTTTCAGTCTTAAAAAACACTCTCGACTATTTCTTCGTCATTTTCCCGATTTATTTTATTATCTTGGGATTACCTGTGTATCAAATAGTCAATTTCGTTGGCGTATTTGATTTAAGTAAACAATCGTTGTGACGTGTTCGCTGCTCATAAAGCTCTTCTTTGTTTGAATATAAAGAACAAGTGACATATACTGGGTTGGTAAGATGCTCCAGGCTCTATATTAAATCGCTTGTTAAGAGCAAGTTGCTCTCAGATTTTAAAGTGTATTGAATGATACTGGATGACAATCGATCGAATACATAGCTCTGACGTTATAAAATGGCTAAAATTGATATTATGTCAATTCTACAACAGCACGTCAAGGACAAATTGGTACTTTTTATTTCGCTCGGTTGTTCGTGTGTAGTGGTTATTTTGTGCGTTTGATGTTGGTTTTTGCCTAATTTTTACCCCCATGTTGGTTAACTGCGAGTTGACATCAACCAAAAAAGCCCTTTGTCATTTCATCGTCTCCCAATTTACGAGAGAAGTTCAAGTGTAGCCGTGTTTAATTGCTATATTTAAGAACTGTTCCTCTGTGTTTGCGTAGGAATATAATTTATCCCACCATAACTCCAGTTTTCCTTCGAAGCGTCCATGCCCCTCTACTCTTCAAAAGGCATTTATAAATTGGTATTTTAACTTCCATTGTTGCTGTTTTTTTATTAGGAAGAAGAAGCTAGGAAGGAAACCGAACGGTGGGAGAGAGAAGAACAGGAGAGACAGGTTAGTGGACCGTCGATTACATTGTCTCTCGTGGGTGGTACTTTTAAGTGGCTGTCAGGAGGTTACGCTTCAGTTCTTTCGATTTGTGGTTATATTTCGCGCGTCATTTGCAGTTTTTATTCGACTTCCTCTCTTCGTTGTTCGTCAGACAACAAAAATATCTCTATCTGTTTGAGCTACCTTCTTCGCTTTGATGCCTCCACGCGAAATGTTTGCCGTCTGTTTGGTGGGCTGTCGATTTCGAGGTCCTTCGGAGGTAACACTGACTGCTGTCATTATTTTGTTGTAGATCGGTAGTGGTAGTGAGAACCACCCTTTAGCCCTTGCAGTGAGGTTTATTTTGTACGCGTGAATTAATCGATAGTCGAAATCAGTAATAGTGTAGTTCACAAGTTGTGTTCTCGATTGAGTTCGATACATCTGTTAAAAAAAAAAAAAGAAACCTTTCGGTTCTTGTTACAAATTGTGCTGAGGATGCATGGGTATATTTCTAGGGAATCGTCAGATTTTAGTTTCTGTTTGCTCAGAATCGCGGTATTGTTTTCACAAACAGTCGATTCTAATGGTTACCACTGGTTGCAGCAGATAATTATAAAGAGATTGTAATACTATGAGAAAGTGGGATGATTCCAAACACGTTCGGATAGTTGATTTCACAAAGTTTGTATTCTGGTTTAGGAGTGTGTCATTGATTGGTGTGTTTTGCGTGACAAGAACCGTGAAACTGCAAAATCTATATTCATGTTTTGTTCGATCGTCTGTGTGCATACAATTTTGTCAGCAGCGTTTATTTATTTCATTTCTCGCCAAATTTTGTCCATTCGTACTTCTGTGATTGTCTAAGACAGTGATACTCATTGCTCCCTTTTTTTCTACATCGGCGTTTAAAGGTTCCTTGTGTTATATATTTGAACATTGCTTTTACTTTCTCTTCGTGAATACTCCTGATTTATTCAAAATTCCCTTAAATTGTCGTAACATTTTGTATTGTTTTTTGCGAAGATCAAACGAATTTGATCATTAACGAACAATATATTTTACGATGACAAATGAGGTTTTCAACATTAAGGGCTAAGATGATTTTCTCGTACATGTGACGTATTTTACAAGTAGGGAGTCAAGTTTGAATACTGAAAATGAACACTATTAAATCACGTTTCTCAGTAATGGACTTTCTATGTTCACAAAATATTTCGTTTTCCTCGTCTTTAGTCATCTTTCGCTTTCAACTGAACTTGAAGTATCCAAATAGAAGTTTTCGTATTCATGTTGATATCACTGTACTTTGTTTATTTACACAGCAGTTGTGTTTAACTGTGAATTGCATGACGACATTCTTATATTAATTATCATGTTAAGATGAAAAATTAACGAAGAGTACTCAACTTCAGGGCTCGAAATTAGCACTCGCAAACTCGCGAAATGCGAGCGGTTTTTCGAAGTTGCGAGTCTAAAAAATATCCTCTAGCAAACTAGGTTCCTTTTGCTAGTAAAAAAAATCTTACTAGCAAAACTTTGCTAGTAGACAAAAAAGTTAAGTTCGAGCCCTGAACTTTTATCTCTGAAATATCGAACAAGTGTTGCAGAACGCAATTTATTCAAGTGAAATATGTGATATTTTGTAATTAGCTTACGTGACAAAAACCTATTTCTCTGTTTTCATGGAGATGTTTGGTAGTATTTCTGTTTTCATGACCGTTGATTAGTTGGTAACATTGCTTCTGTTGTGTTCCAGGAAGCTCTTCGTAAACGTCTTGAAGAAAGCAAAGGAGCCGGTGAAGAGAAACTTGTAAGTAATATTCTTTCCTGTTCTGATCCGCTCTATACACCTTTATTGAACGTCGCAAAAAAAATTTCTAGTTGTCACTATCCGGCCGTACGAAGTAGTAACTTGTATCTAAGTTAAAGAAAATCACACACGTTTTCAAGAATGTTAGAGTATCACATCAGATTATGCTGTACTATTCTTGGCCAATGGTTTCCTAACTATTTCGCAACCGTTATCGTTGGCATTTATCTACAAAACGGTTGTTGCCCTTAATTTGACCTTGAAAAGTTAGCTCGGCAAGCATAAATCAAGAAATAGACTTGACAAATGGAAAAAAAAAATGAATAATAAAATAAATGAAGTGGCCTCAGCACTTTCCTAATGGTTTGAAAGAGTATAATAAAGAGTTTATGGTACGTTGTTTTCAAGTACACTTTATGTGATTGTTTATCTCTCGAAACACACCGAAGTAATTACCGTGGGAAGAAGCACTGCGGTTTGCGTAACTTCTTTGCCAATGATTTGCTTCAACGGCTCCAAACAATCATAGGGCACAAGGTTAAGATATGGTTGAGATGTGGTTTGCCGGCTTTATCCCTGTTACGAAACATGTCTGATTTTGGGTGTTGCAATGATTTTAAAGTTTCTCGCGAAACCCAAAAAAGAAAAAAAATCACAGAGGCTACTTTACCCACGTATAGTAACGTCACAATAGGCCATTGTCTGTTTCTAGTCTAATAATTCCGCTACTTCAGGAGCACAACAATAAAACCGTAAGAGGCTGTTAACACATTTTATTTTTAACCCTCGTGTTTTTCCCTTGTTTCAGGGTCAAAACAGAGCTGTTACAGGTAAATAATATTTCCTTGTAGAAAAGAATCATTTTTCCAAGGATCTGAGTGTGTTTCCTTTGAATGCTACTTAGATATTGCACAACCTCTTTAATCCTTGTTACATCTTGAATTAGAGCCTATATCAGTTGATTTCATAACATTGCAATCACTTGTGAGTTTATCTTCACGCGTTTGTTTTAAGACAAGTAATCCCGCCTTGACAAATCGTTGTGTCTTTTGATTTCCTAAGGATTGGAACATGCCAATAGAGACGCTGAGGTAGCTGAAAAGATGAACATCGATCACAAATGTCAAAACAGCGACATAAACGCGTCCTCTCCGCAGTCGCCAAAACGCACCTTGACCGCGGCCGAAAGACGTGCGCTAGAGGCAGAGAAGCGCGCAGCCATGAGACAACAGCGCATGCGCGAACTCGAAGAAGACGCTATGAAAGCGCAAGTCGTTATTGCCCAGGTGAAGGCAATGTCCGCCTCTTCGCTCGAGACCCTCGCGATCAATTCCCCGGATGCGGAAAGGAAAGCCAGTGATAATGAATTTCACGACAGTAGCTCTGGAGGTCTGGGGCGGAGGTCCAGCGGCTCATCAACAAAATCAACATAATGCAGTGTACAATTTACACAGAGAAGTATTAATCATGTGACTGGAAATTCTCATTCAGGTTCTTAATGAACTAGAGACTGGAATGAGATATGCAGAATGAAAAGGAGCCCTGGGACGGGTCTGTTTCCGTCGAGGACATGTGAGATGATTGTTGGAGAACCAGAAGACTCGCGAATCTGAACATTTTAATTATTTTTAAGTACTTACTTTTATGTTAGTAAGTTTAGTTTACAACGAAATTTACTTGTAACATATAGCTTCTATTTTAAATCGTGGAATTTTTAAGGAGTAACTTAAGATTTCTTTTCAAATTGAAAAGACACCAAAGTGAATTACCAAGAAGTTATCCTTTTTTCAGTTACAGGGGATCAGACAAAGAAAATTATCAAAGAGTTTGGGAGTTTTATCGGACCTAGCGAGTTCTTATCGTCTATCAAGGTTTTAAAAGTCGGGATTCGGATAATTTTGTTTTATTTTACCTGTAAATGTTTTAGTTAGAGAAGATAGATTTTTTAGATAAATGAAGAAGGAAGTTTGTCGCCGAGCGAGCGCTCCGCCTGAATTTTGTTATTTTAATTCTATTTTAAATCTCCGTTTTTGCGCATTTTACTTGCTAAATTTCTCTCGTGAACTTTCATTTCCTAATCCAAATGTGATATCGATTTATAGAGTGTATTTTTTATTTTAAACATGGAGTGAGTATGTGAAGTGAAAGTCCTGTTTGGCACTCAAGTGATTTCCTCAGAAAAAGGTTACTATCATCTGTTTTCTTGAGCGAATCTGAAAGCTCAAACACTTCAAACTCGTGCTTGTTTTTAAAGGAATCGTGTTCAAACAGGTCTTGAAATATTACAGACTACAGAAAATTTAAAAAAACTTACAATTTACAAACTGTCTTACGGTTACGATATTTCATTGCTCAACTCTGTTTGACACGTTTGCTTATTAATGATAGCGGTGTTAGATTTTGGAGATGTTTGTCCTCAAGTTTCCGCATTCAAGTTGTTATCGATATAAATACTTGTCATCTATTTGTACTTGTTCCTGTCACGAAAAAGCATCCCGTTGACGGGAAATCGTGCTCAAACATTCCTCAAACCTACTTCGTGTGGTAACGCAGTGCGTTTAGGAGGCATGGCAAGACCTTCCAAGGTAGCTAAAGTAGCAAGCATACTTCACCTGATTCAAATTTTGATATTGAGATCTGTGGCCTTATTCTTGAGTAGAAAATAAAAACAACTTATCATTAAGTCTTAAATCAATGTAGATAAGTATTTTGGATCTTTGTACAGTATAAAGAGCTACCTTAAAGCCTGGATACAATTTATAATTCTCCTTACTTTCCCTTGTGCATTTGTTCAAGGTAAAGTTGGGAGAAATTTAACATACATAATTACCTGATTACTCAAGTTTTAATGATATTTTGAACAAAATAGAATCGGAACCGTACTCTGGGTTTAGGGGTTACGTTTGTAGAACACATATATAAGAGTCGGCAAGTGTCTTGAGATGTAACTTTCATCATTTCCTTAAGAATTTGTTATATTTCTGATTACTCCCCATGGTTGGAGCATCCTCGCTCCCCGGTCTTTGTTGGAGTTAAATGAAACTGGGGCCGGGGAACAAGGCTTGCATTTAATGTTAATATCTCTGTGCTGTCTGTAATATGGCGCTTAAAGAGTTTTATAAATATACAGACCATTTAACAGTGCCTATCCTGTTTGGTTTTTGTTCCTTTCTTGCGGTTTGTGAGGAAATTCAAAGGAAGGAAAATCCCAGGACGCTTCATTTTACCAGTTGTGAACGTCACAGTTACTTTGAATCTACTGCAACCGAAGCCCCTGTTCCAACAACCCTTTACAACCTAGCATCGATATACTAATTTTCCATAATATTACTATACCCTTTCCTTATGGTACCAACAGGGAGAATTTGGTGATCAATCACGAGCTTCTTCTGTTGAGGTTCATTTCCTTCATTCTTATATCCTTAATGTTTGACTCAAGTGATACTATATGGAGAATTTTTTCGATGTTGGTCACTTTTAGGGATTGAGGGGTTAACACATAAGACAGAAACTGAATCAATAGATTCCAATATGTTCAAATCAAAGTCGGGTATATAACAATGAAATCTTAACTTAACGAAGTACTCACCAACTCCTAGAATACTAAAAGGAAATTAGTTCAACTCATACAACTGAAGGGCCCATAAGGAACATACATGTCAGTGGAGGGGTATACCAGAAACGCCCTCGCGGACCCTGTAACCTCACCCAGTGACAGGTCACTGGGCGACGACATTTCATATGAGGTCGAAACGCACCACAGAATTTTTTCAGGCCTTATTTTTAAGACTGCTTAAGTAGTGTTCACGCTCGAAACGTCAATTTTAAAACTCCCAACGGTGGCCAAGTCACGTTATCAACTGTTACTCAGTTGATGATACCAAATTGTTTGCTTGGGTTCGTCACCCCCACTCCTCCCTCTATCCACTGTACCCATCGTGAACATTGACCGCGCGATTACTGGGTACCAATTCCTGTTAGCGCATAATGGCGGAACTATGACATCAACATTTGTCTGAGCCCTAACATTTTCAATATGCCACTTTTGGACAAATGCGGACAACAATGTACAGGAAAGAAAGCGAAGTATCAGTGAAAATGGTATAGCCATGTTTTGTTGGGGTAGATGCTCCGAAGGCCAGCTTGGGTTGGGAGAGATTGAGGACGAAAATATCCTGTCTCCAAGGAATCTTCAAAGCACTTTCGGAACTGAGTCCGAAATTAAAGACATTGTGTGTGGCTGGGAGCATACAGCGGTCTTGAAAAAGGACGGTGTTGTTTATACGTGTGGAAGTAATGAAAATGGACAACTTGGGCATAATAAAGATGGAAAAAAGTTCGGTGGGTAAATCAGTCTATTGATCATCACTAGTTGACGTCGATCGCTTTGGTGTTGCTGTTTACATGTTTACTCCAAAGCTAGTTTATTATTTTTAATTGATATGCCGAGTGAAATCGCATATTCTAGTTAAATGTCTATCATAGCTATTTTCACCTTTTGTAGCAAACTTTTTGTTTCGATTGAATTTTGATTGAGCTAAAAGGGATGTTAACAATTAAGACAGATTACGTTATGGGAATAGTTGAGCCTTTCACTCCCAAGATTAACAAAAGCGATTTCCCCTTTACAGTATCAAAGCATTTTCAAGAAAGCAGTTGATGACAAGAATGTAAACTATCAACTAGAGAATATATTGTGGTTTAACACCAAATTCTTAGAGCCAAAATTATAGGAAATGTATCACAGATGGTGTGGAGAACTTACTGTTAGATCTTGAGTGTCAATGGGTCACAAAAGCACAGTCATGTCTATATGATAAGCTGTATTATGTCTGCTTTTTGCTTGATTGGTTCTTACTTCTGATCTATTGAGGGACAGAGATGTAGATGACATCACCATCAATAATGTTTTGCTTCTTGGATCACCACTAAAGGGGTCAAAATGTGGTAAGAACATGTGTGAGGCTCCTGTGTCACTTTTGTGTTCTTAACACATTCTGATGTCAGTTGTGATCTAGTATTGAACAGACACACAGTAACATGGAATCTATTTGTTGAATATACAGTCCTACAAAAAGATCAACATAACAAATGTTAAAAACTAGTTCCTTGTCATCTCAAGAAGCACAATATGTTATGTGACACATGGATAAAAAAATTAATGTAATTGGAGAAAGATGTTTTTTGTCTTGTCATGAGTGTGGGACAAAGATAAAATTCTGAGTCCCAATGAGGAATCAAACCTCAGACCTATGGATTCTGTGCTTCGATACACCACCACTGAGCCACAGAGACTCTATGGTGAGCAAGGTCTACTAGGGAGTTCATATGACATGTGTTCTGCATGCTGCAAGGATCAGCGATGTCAGTAGTGTCATGTCTGTAAATAGAATAAGAAAGATGGTAAGTTTTGATTTCGGTAAAGAAATAGAGAAAGATGTTTTTCTTCTTGTCACGAGTATGGGACAAAGGAAAAATACTTATTTTAATTTTTTATAGCTGCTGCCTTGTTTCTTCTGTTAAAATCTATAGTCCACAATTCAAACATATTTTGTATGATTTTGGTATCTTACCTTTAATGCTGGTATATATGTGGTGACTATTTTGCAGCTCGTGTAGATGCACTTGAAACACGCACAGTCAAGCAAGTGGTTTGTGGACAAATGCACACCCTGGCTGTCACAGATAGTGGACTTGTGCTTGCATGGGGTGACAACACTAAGGGACAACTGGGTCTAGGAAACACAGAGAACAATGTCCAAAGCCATCCAAAGTTAGTTATTATTATTTTTAATGCCCATTATAATGCTTCAGGGTATACCATGAACATAATCCACAACTGATTTCATTGAGGAACAATGGACAGAGTAAGTCAGAACAAAGCGGGATATGAAAGGAAATAGAAGTCAGCCCTCTGGATTCCCTAGTCAACCCATTTTGTTTTGTCTTCTGTGCCTTGTGGAGGCAAGTCGTCAAGTCAAACTCTTAGTTGCATTGTGGGCCACGTGGCCTCAAGACGTACCCCCCCTCCTCCCTAATTTCTCCTACAGGATGACCTGATTCTGCATTCTGTTCATATGCTAACACCCCCCCCTCCCCCAATTATTAGTCATATGCTAATACCCTCCCCCATCCTAAATTATTAGTCATATGCTAACACCCCCCTCCCCCGTCCTAAATTATTAGTGGGAACTTGCTATTAAAACATTGTGGGTGTTGAGTATTTTTTGTGATATAGATACAATATACATTTTCTATGATTTTTCAATGTATTTTCTTAAAAGTCATGATAAATTATGATATCATAACAATTTTAGGTGTGTAGTTCTTAAGATGTGTGAAGCATGCTGTGTGTCCTCTCAGTCTCGTTATAAATTTTGGGTGATTAAGTCTGTACCAGAAGCCAAGTTGTCCATCCGGCCAGGGCTTATGCTGGTTTTCTTAACCCTTTCACTCCCAAGATCTAATTAGTAATTCTCCTTACTATCTGCCATACAATTCATAACGATATCATAACAATTGTACTGGTGTGTAGTTCTTAAGATGTGTGAAGCATGCTGTATGTCCTCACAGTCTGGTTATAAATTTTGGGTGATTAAGTCTGTACCAGAAGCCAAGTTGTCCATCCGGCCAGGGCTTATGCTGGTTTTCTCAACCCTTTCACTCCCAAGATCTAATTAGTAATTCTCCTTACTATCTGCCATACAATTCTCATGATGTTAGTTCAGAGAATTTGGTATTGGATCAACTAATAATCTCATGATTGATATTCTTCTCGATTCTCATCACCTGCCTGCTTGATATTGTATTGATATTGTAAGGAGAAATTCTGCCTTCGTCACTTGTGGGAGTGAAAGGGTTAATATGCATGAAGTGACTAGGAGTATGACTATTCCCCCTATTCCTGAATGGATGGCTGGTCCATCACAAGATTACAACCCAGCATTTGATCAGGCTTCCCTGACAATTTCACTGGTACCCATTTATGCTCCTTGGTGGAGAGTGGCACTGTGAGAGGATAGTTTTTTTGTTCAAGAATGCAACACATTGACCTGGCCATGTCACAAATATGGACCCCGTGCCTGGAGTCCAGTTGTCAGTCTCAATATTCTTGACAACTGTAACACACCTGTGCAGAGTTTATTCTTTAGCATTGCTTGATTTAAACTTGTTCATGGTCTTTTACTTGTTTAGAATTGTTAGAAGTCTCCAGTCTGATGGTGTGATGGTATCACAAGTTGCTTGTGGAGCAAGGCATTCTTTAGCACTCAGTACAGGTAAACACTAAATTCAAAGCTGTCCTCACATGGTTTCTTTTTGTCAGTGTTAACAAAATGATATTAGTCATAAAAGAAAATAACAGTGCACCATAAGCTCAATTTTTGCCAACAATTCTCCATTTTTGTTTTAACTTTAAGATAGAAGTTTTAGACATACCAATCCTAAAACATCCTTTGTTTTTAATTAATTTGGAACAACTTTTTTTAACTTCATATTGATTAATGCTTTTTTACATGAAAATGTGTATTTTAGAAACTGAGTTTTTTGGTGGAGTCACTATCATAGATTTTGAGTTCAAGTACAAGTGTGGGTACACATTGAGTGCAAGTCATGTTATTAGTGGGTCAGAACCACTGTTCTTCCACAATTGTTGCAAAATGTATTTTCCATAGTGATTTGATATGTTGTGTATGATTCTAGTCCTAAGAATTCAATGTTAAATCAAGTACAGTGTTGCTATGATATTCCCTCATTGTTATTATTCTTTCCTCTCACAACCTTTCTGCTTGAACATATATGAATATTGTAAGGAAAAAAATCCATGTCAGTGACTCTTGGGTGTGAAATGATTAAATAATTGTTCTTTTGTTATGTAGGCGGATTCTTGTTTTCTTGGGGTGATAACAAACATGGACAGCTAGGAATTGGTAATTCAAGTCCAGTGCACAATGTACCTGAACATGTGTCTTCTTTGTGTGGGGTTCCCTTTGCTTTGATCTGTGCTGGTGGATATCACAGCTTTGCCTTGTCACTCTCTGGAGCACTCTTTAGCTGGGGGAGAAACAAGTCAGTAAAGTTCCACAATTTTTCCCCTTATTGATGATCAAGGGAAACTTGTTTATAACATGCCCATTTTTTCTCTTTTTAGCTTTGGCCAACTGGGAATAAATGACAACAAAGGTGTGTGTAGTTCTCCATTTTGCCCTGCTATCTCTCATTCATTTTGATGTTAACTATTTATGCCCTAAAATCAGTATGCATATTCTCCACTCTGTTCTCTATACATTTCCTAACATGCTGACAAAGAGAATTTGTTTAACAGTCAAGGACTCCTTTAGCTGGCGATCACTTCCTTTATTCTTGTGCCCTTCAAGTTTGATTCAAGGGTGATATTGTAGTGAGAAATTTGATGCTAGTCAGTGTTAGGAGTAAAAGGGTTAAATCTTACAATTGATACAATGTGCTCATTGGTTAAAAAATGTTCACCATTGAATGCAATTAAAAATGATTTAGATACTACATTACAGTATTAAGTAAAAGTTGTTTGATACTCAAAGGCCATATATTTATTACGAAATTAGAAAACTATTTTAAAAAAGTAAAACGATCAAGCAATTTAGGCTTGCAATTTATTTTAAAACTTGGCAAACTTCCTTTTAGATCATTCTATGCCTGTACTTGTGAAGTCCTTAAGATCACAGAGGGTGCGCTATGTCACAGCAGGAGAGTATCATACAGCTGCCTTGACTGAGGTAGAGTGTATAAGCTAATTCTTTGGTTGGCTTCTTTGAAGCTAAGGCAACATGTGCTCATGTAGTGCTATCACAGGGGATCCCTGTGACCCTCTGTTAACTGTGTGGAACCCTTTGTGGATCTTGTGGTCCAGGTTTAACCCTTAACACCCTAAGGTCAGTATGCATATTCTCCATATTGTTCTCAGTACATTTTTTAAGGTTCTGAGAAGGAGAATTTGTCTAACAATCAAGAATTTCCTCAGATAGTGATCATTTCTTTTATTCTTGTAACCTTTCTGTGTGATTCAAGGGTGATATTGTAAGGATTGTATGGAGGAATTAGATGATAGTTACCCTTAGGGGTTGAAGGTTTAAGCTATGGAATATCCTACTGCATTCTAAGGGCTGTGCTCAAGTAGATCCTGGGTGCCACTGGTGACTAATTTTAACCCTTTAATTTGTTTATAACTTTAATATAACTTTGAGAGTTGTGTATCCGTTTCTTGAAAGGCTTGGTAACTTAACAGACTGAAGCCAGTTTTTAAAATCAAAATGTAAAGAATAGAGAAGCAGGTTCTGGCATCTTAATTTGTTCCTTTAGCTAATACTGTTATTACAAAATTTTCAAAACTTTTGAAACCCCCATTTTGAATGAAAACAGAACAGCTTTGTGGACCCATTTAAGTTACCAGGACCTTTAAGAAGCAATTAAGCAATTAAGATTTGTGAGACTGATATCTCCAGGCATCTGGTGGTTCCTAGAGTATAACTTTGAGTGGGTATTTCACAGTGCCCATCTCCACCCAGGAGAGAGAGGAGTTTTTAAACTATTTAGTGAAAAGTAAGTGCTGACAGACTATCAGGGAAACCTGAAGTAAAGCTCATTGGCTACCCTCATCAAATATTGGATTGGGTTACTATCCGACAGGAGAAGAAATTCTTCTCACTGAGTGAAGCCTAAGAACTTAACTAGGAACCAGCAAAATACATGTAGACCTTATCAGAGGGGAGCCATAGTAGAACTTAAATACTAAATTTTTTAAAATTATTTGTTGCAGTAGAATTGCACTGTAGTCTTATGATTATGTGTTTGACATGATTTTTAAACAGTTGATATTTTATAGCTCTGTGTAATATGATTTCTTATACATTGCAGGATGGAGGGGTGTTTACATTTGGTTGGGGCAATTTTGGTCAACTTGGACATAACTCTAATAGTGATGAATGTAATCCTAAAAAGGTACTTGAACTTTTTACTGAAAAAATATTTCTTAAAAGATAGGTGTAGTCTCTGCAAGCCTGAAAGCAGATGATCACTAAAAATGGTTTTCACTTCCTGAGATAGAGAGGTGATGGAAGATGAGGCAGGCATTTGAACTTCATCTCTGAAAGAGCCTTCTGCATGATCATACACACATGTAACTGATTATGTTAGAGCTACTCTTGAACTTCATTATTGGCATTCAATTGTGATGTAAAACAAAACAGCTAAATCATGGCAAAATTAATTCCATTCTGAATAATTTATTTGCAAAAATGAGTTAAGGACCACGTGCTACAAATCTCAGTGGTATTTGAAATTTCAGTGTTGATTGTGTATAGTCCTTAATGTTTTTATTGGTAGAAGAAAAAAGATGTTTTTTCAGTTGAGAGTGACTTGCATGTATCAAAAATTCAGTTAAATGGCAGCAGGAGGAAATGCAGAGCAATCAAGAGTAATTTTAAGTTGTACTCATAACATATACTTTTATTAGGTGTTTGAACTGATGGGACAAGTGGTGACACAAGTTGCCTGTGGAAGGTATGATTATTTGTTACATTGGAGTAACTTTTGATAATTTATTTTCAATTGATAGTTTATGCTCAGAAAATGATTTCATTCTTGGAAGGAAGTTTTAAATCATTTTCTTGTTTCTTAGAGTGACATAAAATTTACTTTGATGCAGGTTTCACACGCTGGCTTATGTTGCATCATCAGGAAAGCTGTTCTCATTTGGTTCTGGAGAGAATGGCCAACTGGGCAATAACAAAGTCACGAATATCAATAGCCCTGTTGCTGTTCACAACAGTTGGGTGAAAGTTAAACCTGAGAATCACTATGTTGTCCATAGAATAGCTGCAGGTGGTGACCACTGCCATATTCTTGTATCAAAAAAGGTAAGTGGCTACATGCATAATACAGGTAACTTTCTGCAAGTGGTACTTTGGGTGTGGTTCAACAAAGGTCAGTCACAGTGTACTTTGCAATTGGTTCATGGTTAGCAAGAGAACAAGAGAAGTGTAAGAGTTGCTAGAGGCAAAGTGAAGCGAGCTTATTGAGTGCAGAGCTTGAATTATTATTCAATTCATACTGTCATGTATATTTTACTTTTAATTAACATTTTTTGTTCAGAATCAGGATGACTGCAGTCCTTGTGATTTCCGGGTTCAAGACCGATCTAAACACCTGTGGACATTTACAGAGTCTAGTGTACTGGAATTGGTTCAACAGTTGTCACTTCCCAATCCTTCAACCGAGATTTTTCAGTGAGTCATTATGAACTATAGGCCCTGGTTGTTCAATAACACTATCCACTGGAAAAAAATGCTTTCTGGTGGATAGGGTAGTAATAACTAGATCCCTCACTCCTTCCAACCTTTTGATTACTTCAATCAAATTCGATTTCCCTTAGATTTATGTTGTAAACTGTACATTTACAATAAATTCTTCCTTAACAACTGAAATCCTTGATAACTTGAACCTCTCTTGAGCTTCAAAGAAATTATAATTTCCCTTCCACTTCAGACCATTTTCTCCTCAGAATTTTTTCCTCAAAGAAACAGTTTATTGTAGTCTGAAGCCATGGCCATTATTACTTTAAAAAATGTGAATTGCTTGAACTCTGTTGAAAGATTTATTTTCTTTGAAACCTGCAAAGGTTACATTACCTGAACCTTCCTTGCTGTTTTGCTTTGTTTTGTTTCATGTTGTGCTGTGTTGTGATTTATAACTATGGTAATTTAGAAACCTGATGTTCCACACCTAAATATATCAAATGACTTCTCTTTACTCTCCGACTTATAACATTTGAATAGATCCTTGACGTACTGTTTTCTACCCAAGACATACAGTATAAAGTAGATTGTATGTCTGGAGTGCAAAACAGTTATCTCAATTCTTCCTTATTTCCAGTCATTTATTTTCAACTCTGGATAACTGAGTCCTTTTTCAATTTGCTTTGAAGGTTTGAGTTTGGTGACTAAATGAAATGATTTAGGAATTTGATTTTATGGAATAAAAATCCCTTTTTGCTAAATTGGGAAAGAAAGGAAGGAAGTAGTAGCCATGAAATACTGTGTGGGGTTGTTTCCTTACTTGAGATATTGCTTAGTAATAACTATGAACTGTTTCCTTCTTTTCATAACAGTAAATTAGAGACAACTTTCTCATCCTATTCATGTTTGAATGGATCATTTTTGGATAGGTAAGGCACCTAAATCCGTTTACATTTCCTTTAATTTGTGAGTTTTTTTGTAGTTTATATGACACAATAAGTATTTAGATCAGTGCCCAAGCTTGTAGGGTTGAAAGTAGTTTATGAAGGCATCACAATGTTTTTAATCATTCATCAGTTTGCCAGTTGGTGAATGTGAAACATGATGGTGAAAATTTCATTCACTGTCTCTTCCATAAATACATGTACAGTGCACTCTTGTGCAATTATTTGTATGTTATAATTATGCCTTTTATCCACTTAGTCAACAAGTGAATGAATCAATCCTGTACATGAAGTAGCTTTAATGAGAGATTAATTTTTACAATATAATATAATTCCTAAATATCTTTCATGTGCACCAATAATTTTCGTCCCAAATGTGTGAGAAATATGCACACTGGTCTGTGGCACACACTTGTTGGTTAGTCCATTTATCCAGAATCAGTGTGTTAATATCATGATGTATCTACTTTTCCATGATGAAAACAAAATTTATACAGTTTATGAAGACTACTTCATAAAGTAACTTAAAAATTTATAGAAACTCTGCTGACCTTAATCAGAGTGCAAAATGCATAATACATAGAACTTTGTATTTTTCTTTCTGTATTTTCAGACAAAACCATGAACAAACAAGCTCTAAAATCCATGGCATTCATCTACAATCTGCAAGACGCTCCTTTGATCTGCTCAATGGAATGAAGCACAAGGCAATTGTTACAAAGGTAAATTTGTGTAACTTTAAGGATACCATTATCATTTTTCCATGCTTGGAGTAGTCATGGTTTTAGAGGGAAGCCTCAGAGAATGACCAACTTAAAGTAGCTTAAACAGTATTTCTGATAAATTGAGTGTGCTGTCATTGGTGTATTTTGGTCCTCATTATTAATCTGAGTACTAAATGTTGTTCCCAAAACACACAAATAGCAGCAGACCAAGGTGCTCTTAATATCAACATGTAAACTTTCAACCTCATTGCCTAATGAAGACTGGCAGTATAGCAGGCAAAAGGTCACGATCAATACAATTGATGGCTTGACTGCATTGTGAGACATATAATTAACCCCTAAACTCCCAAGATCTGATTGATAATTCTCCCCTCTAGCTGCTACACATATCTTTGTGAATTAGGAATGAGAATTTGGTGTTGGATCAAGACAACAACCTCCACTTGATAAGTTTGAATATTCTCTTTAGCTGTTTATGGGATAATGTAAGGATATTATTGGGAGAAGTTTCATTTTGATCACTTCTGGGGTTTAAGGGTTAAATGTTTATGGTAGATTAGATGTCTCCACAAAACCCTGATGAACAGCAACATTTTCTATAACATTGTTGTTTTGTTGTTCCACAGTTGTTTGCTGCCTTTACCCATGGTGTCATTCACTCCCTCCTTCAACCACCTCCAGACATTGAAGCCCTCAGAGTCTATTTACTTCTTCCAGAATGTTCTGTTTATCAAAATGGTGAACAGTTTGAAAATATTGTCATTCCATTCAGTGAAGCCATCTTACGATTATCAACAGATGCCAGAAAAGTGTTAAGTAAGTTTGCCAGACATGAAAATGTTTGAAAATCATGTCAGTGGGTAAACCTACGTAACTGTATGTCATGGTTCTAACTTCAGTCTCTTTTGGAGCCAATTCAAATTGATTGTTTTTTGTCCGTGATTAAAGAGGTAGATTGGAAACAAAGAAAATTCAGAATTAAACTAGTGAGAACAATTGTTGTTGGAATGGATACAGGTTATTGTCTCTATCTGGTTTACTGACCTTAGGTGCTTGTTCTACATATGAATGGAATCTGTTGATTTAGTCTGGTTATTATGAAGGACTATGTCAAGTTACAGTCTTACCTCTACTCTGAAATATGCTTAACATGTTTTGCCATTAAATTGTTTTCTTTGATTTTTTCAGTGAGATGGTGGTCTTCTTTACCATCCACCTTTTTCTCTCGTACAATGAAGGTCTGTCTTTTTAACTTCATTTTGGATGATTAGTTGGCACAGTATCACTTTAGTCATTAAACTCACTCCTTTATTAATGTTTTTTTTCCTTTGTTTCTGAATGCTTGTAAAGACCAGCTGGTATTGGTCATTTAATTTTGAAAACTTGTCAATGCATTTTTTTGTTTTGTGATGCTAACAGTCACATTTTGCTGTTGTGTAGATGTTTCAAGATTGTGTAAAGTACTTATTACACTTTCCTCCTCCAAAGTTTATAACTGAAGAGGTAAGTTAAACTATTTGCCTTTTGACGGGTAATTGTTCTTAAGCATAGAGTGACAGCACTGAAATACTACACGGCTACAAACTATATGTAAACTTGTTCTTATAAGTAACTTGCTGGGAAAGATTTTTTTCGTCTTGTCACGAGCGTGGGACAAAGAAAAAATTCCGAGTCTCCCTGAGAAATCTGAAATTCTGTTGGGTGTAAGAGGGGGAGAGAAAAAAAGCTTAGTGCTGCTGGAGTGAAAAACCGTTTAGTATTACAAGCAATAAAACAACCAGTCAAATTTCATCAATTTTAGAACTCTCTTCACCTCTGTTGAATTAAGGCAGCAGTGTCGTGATGTCACTTTTGGCGTGGAAAGCGAAATATTTTTGTTCAAAAATTATGCGAACGAAAATGCATATAAATCCCTTTCGATTTAAAGAGCTGAGAGCTCTGAGTATTGGGCACCAGCAATATTTAGACATCGTTGGTCAGTTTCAAATGTTTAGAAAGTCATATATATGTGTATGAAGAAGCTGCGACTATCAGAATTCATAACACAAACAGAAGTGTCATCATCTTGACGATGAATTGTTTTCAGGCCGTTAGACGTCAAGCAGCTTTGGCTACATGTTTAAATGTTTTAGAACAGCTTAACACGGTGAGTTAACGATATACTTTTTTGTCTTTACATTGTAGGAAAAATTGAATATTATCCCTCATGTGCCATAGCTTAGAAAAGATTTTTATTTCAGGGGCTCTTTATGCTAATTCCCTCATCACAGTGATTGAATCATTTTCCTGTTCTCAGGAACGACAACGTAAAACTTTGGTAGTAGAGAGCTCAATGTAGAGAAGGGAGAGGTTTGTTTCATCACGACAAGGGTTAAGGCTCTGGAGGCAGCTGAATTTCATGGTTTTTTTTCGCATAACGCTGAAATAGTATCTGCATAGTATCACTGGTCCAGTAGTTAAGGCATTCAGATTTAATTTTGGAAATAAAGTCTATCTCAAAAGCTTATAATGGAGTGAGTGAAGAAAATGAGATTTCTGATTGCTTTTTTTGCTACTTGATCTCTAGGTTAATACAGAATCTGGTGACATTGTACCATTTAAACAGTTTTATATTCCTGAGATACAGGCAACAATTGACATTAGAGCTGACTTCTTCAACTGGATTCAAAATCAGGTAAGACTTGAAAATATACCTTTTTTGTGAAAAAGGGGTTTATCAGATGATAATCTATTGTGATAAAATCGTGTAAATGCCTCTGATTTTGATTGCGACGTTTTGACTGCGATATTCTTGACTTCTTCAGACGATAAGATCGACTGGTTATGAAGCGTTAGAGTGTTTTTCGATTGAGTGTCGTAAAAATAAAATAAGTGATCGCCATGGGCAAACAGAAAGGAAGCAAATACCCTGAAGAGTTAATTAGAACACACAGCAAAACAAGCAAACCACCTAAAGTGCGGGAAAACGCAGGCGACTAAGTCGTGATTGGTGGTAATTAATCATCTGATTGGTTGACTGGGTGGCACAAGCTTTCTAGACCAATAATAGAACAAGTATAGCAAAACTGTAGCAATCGCGGATTATTTTCGATAATTAATTGAAAATTGCTCAATGCTTCGCTGTGATTAATTAGTTTTCATGGCCAGTCACTATAAACACTCTAGCGATATCGCTAACAACCGGAGGCCCTTCATATTCCAAGAATTATTCCATAAAAGTCCATTCACTCTACATAACGCTAAAACATCTGTGTAGTATCTTTCATAATCTTCACTTTTTTCAATTGTTTTGGGCAAAGTGCAAGCGAAATATTTGATCCCATCTTTACTGGATAAACCAGCACATGCAGCTCTCATTGCTCAACACACACACACACACACTAAAAATGAAACAACATTCTTCACCTCCTTTTACTTTTGTTTAGATTGTGACTAACCGTCAAGAATTTTGGCGCCACCTTAATCATGGGGTAGGCCTTGATTTTCCAAAGCTTAAAATCCAAGTTTGCTTAACGCTTTAAAGGGGAGAAGTGTGCCCCAGAAACCATATGATTTCTGTCTCTTTCCTTAAAAGGTTGTTTTAAAATCTGCTATTTACCGCGTTCTGATGTTCCAAATGGTGACCGACCTTTCGAAAATCATCTTCGAATGAGATGAAAGTTCGTCGTGGACGTCGCTATTTTGAACACAACGCCTTAACTTGGCCGCACGGCCAAAAACACAAAGCGAGGCTTACAAACCGCAGCAGCTCAAATGAACATTTGAGTTAAGAGTCCCTTTTGTGTGGTTCCTAATTATTCAAAGAGATGCCCCCTTTTAATTATTAGGAACTACGCAAAAGAGACTCTTAACTCAATGTTCATCTGAGAAACAGCGGGTTGTAGGCCTCGCTTTGTGTCTTAGGGCGTGTGGCCAAGTTACGGCTTTGTGTTCAAAATAGCGATATCTACGGCGGACGTTTAACGCATTCGAAGATGATTTTCGAGAGGCTGGTGACCATTTGACTATGAGCAGTGAGACTGTACTTCACAAGTAAGGACGAACGTAGCTAAGATGGCGGCGTCTGTAGCTGAAGTTTTAGCACATTTATAGATGATATTCCACAGGGTACGTTACCCTCTGGAATGTTAAAAACTTGATCAGCGACATGATTTCAAATATTTTTTTTGATGGTGCAGTTAACAATTAAATGTTTTCCTGAAGCTAATTCTCTTTTAACGTCGTTCCACCTGGTAGCTTTAGGTTCAGTACGCCTATTTTAATTGTAAATTTTCGTCTCGCAATCAAGATAACGATCTTGCTATAAGAGAACGAGTGTCATTTGAAAGTTTGAATTAATAGTATGTAGGTAGGAATGACTGATTCTCTATCACTGTTTCTTTTTAAGCAAACCTTTTCCTTCTGTCGGTATCCATTTGTTTTTGATGCGGAAGCTAAGACCACGCTGCTTCAAACAGATGCTGTTATGCAGATGCAGGTATGTCAAAAAACTAACTATAAGAAGTTTAGACTTTAGAATACAATAAACGTGCCTTTCATCCAGACTTGATCTCTCACGTGAATTCAGGATATTTTCAAGGGATCAGGAACGTTTTATTTCCAATTCATCCCATCCTGTCCAATTCCATTCCAGGGTGATTGTGTATTTGTATGGATACTTATTTGTTACTCCCCCAATGGGGCTTTTAAGGTCCAATATAAATGAATGATTAAATGAATAAACGAACGAATGAATGAATAAACATAGTGTTTAAAAATCCCAAATGAGAGGAGGCAGATCAGTTGGCCATATACAAATCGCACCCAAGGAGTTGAACCTGGGGCAACCGAGAACAAACCCAGAGGGTAGCAAGGCTTGGGGCTGGGACCCGGAACCTGCAGATTTAAAGCCCAGTGCTCTAACCACTCGACCACATGGCCTCCAATAGGATTGTGCCCCTTACATCCTTTCCCAAGACCGTCCCTTTGGCTATAACTGATAAATTTAGTTGCATCCACCACGGATATATTTTGGAGGAAGGCATTTTTATCTGGACATGACGAGTGTACAGGAAAAGCACTTAATCAGAACGTGGCTATGGCTGAAGGTAGACTCCATTTCGTGAAGTATTGAGACTCTTGGGCAAACGAAATTAACTGTTTCTTGGAGGAACAGACAAATGTGTATCAAGGAACTTTTTAAACGCAACTCGTGTCTCTGTAAAGATGATTTAAGGCTGGGTAGGACAAGATCGAAAGTTGGTCGAGAAAACTGGTGCCATCTCCTCTACCAATCAATTGTAAGACCAAGGCTAATCCCAACTTAGTCACTCGCGTTTTTCCGCGCTTCAGGCGGATTGCTTGTTTTTTCTTTGAGTTCTCGTTGTGATTACTTTGGTTTTGGTTTTTCGACACTCATTTGAAAACTGCTCATGTGAAATTAGCCAGAATTTTTTTTTTGGTGAAAGAGTCAGCTATCACCTTTTTGCAATTATTGTAGAGCGCTGTGGAAGAAGTAAATCGCCGGAATGTGAGGATGATGATGTCACAATTACCTATTGACCCAGTTAACCCAATACTGGTCATTGTAGTGAAAAGGGACAGTATTGTTAGTGACACACTGACACAGATCATGAAATGTGGTCCGTATGACTTGAAGAAACCTCTCAAGGTATGCTGCAGAACTTTACGACTAACTTTGTTGATTTAAAGCCTGAAAAAAAAGTTATTTAGTAGATTTATCGCTATTTCGAAGGGTTGGCCAAACATCCTTCGGTGTCCGCTGCATATCGTTCATCCACCTTTCGAACTACTGGAGCCTGGGGCTTAGCTTTGTAGTTACTTTAGAGAATGAAGCCTTTAAACCCAAATGAATTTCCAATGCTTTTCAGTCCCGCCTCGTAAGTTGTGGGAGTTTTCGTTTGGCTATTGCGTTTTGTCGTTTTTCCTTGATATGTCCAACAAAATTTATTTCAAAATTGAAAATTATAGTTACATTCGTGTGCATAGATTGACTAAGTGAGTTAATGAGTATGTCGTTTGATCCTCGTATGCACCTGTAAAACTAAAGCCTTTGGCTGGCTTTTGAAACAACCGGTAGAATCATAAAAACCGATAAGGCTGGTCTCGTAAGGAAGTCATGAAAACACGATAAACGATACCTTAGCCTGTTCCCAGCGTTCAGTTAGTAAAACGAAGCGTTATGGTAAACGGCGTGATAATAGCAGAAGATTTGAAAAGCGAGAGAGATTTGGGTCGGTTCGCGCAATGAACGTGACTCGATCCAAACCTTCATTTTCGCTCTAAAGCTACTGATATCGCACCTGTTCACACTTTCGCTCCGTTCTACTAACCGAACACTTAGAAAAGCCTGATGAGACTGCCTCACTATTTCCTCCTTTTTTTGGCAGGTCGTGTTTCATGGTGAAGAAGGTGTTGATGCTGGTGGTGTAAGGAAGGTAAGGTGTCCTAACACTTTTATGATCAGACATTGTTCTCAAACATGATTTGGACGGTGGACGCTCTCGCAAGTGGATGTGCTCGTAATTCAAAGATGTTTTCCAGTGTTTAGTACAAAAACGGTCCTCATAAGTGGACTCTAGGTCAGAGGTATAAGTGAAAGATGACCTTTTAGAAGAGCACGGTCTGTAAAAAATGTTTCAAACCTCATTTGTATGACAATAAAACGAATACTGGAGTATTAGGTGGTGATCGATGCACCTTGAAATCACTGCGATGCAGAGGGTTATGAAGATGATTGATTACATCGAGTTAAATTTCCTGGTTAAATTTCCTGGTTAAATTTCCTGGGTGTTTGTTCCCCAGGTGTCTGCTTAAAAGAGTTTTACAACAACGAGATAAAAATGTTTGAAAGCGACCAGCGCCACTTACGGGAATATGTATATACAGGGTTTGTATGAAGTTCAAACGGTGTTCAGTGGAGGCAGTCGGAAGACGAATTTACTTTCGAGAGTGTCCGTTGTAATAGCGTCCACTTTAGCATTCATGTTTTTACAGTAAAGCGTTTCTTTTGTAGTTTCTGTGTCTAACAATCAAATTCTGATTTCTTTAGGAATTTTTCTTGCTGCTTTTGACGGAGATCTTGGACCCCAAATATGGAATGTTTACCTACATTGAAGAGTCTCAGACCATTTGGTTTAATGATCTGGTATGTGTCTTACTTAAGATCTCTACTATTAAGGAATGTTGGTGACCCAATGTTTCTTTGAATTCAGATTTCGGACCCGTATAACGTCACTCTTCTTTTAAGGGGGTAGGGGGGGCGGGGGGCGGGCGGGGGGCGCTCAATTATTCTTAATTAATTATTCTTTTACAGTCAGAGGAGAGTGATAGAGTAGAGAGTTTGTGACTAGCATATCGTTCTGTGTCACTCGTGTTAACGGCAAAGTATTGTTCCAGTGGCATTACTGCGAAGACTTTAAATCAAGGCATTGCTAGAAGGTACACTGCTGATTTGCCAAATGATATTGTTTACTGATTGCTTCCCTCTGTTGTTGTAGTCATTTGAAGAAAGTCCAATGTTCCTGTTGATTGGTGTCATCTGTGGATTGGCCATATACAACTCTACTATCATTGACCTCAGATTTCCTCCTGTTTTGTATAAGAAACTTTTAGGCAGGTTAGAATAACGCTGTGCTCGGTTCATGGAAGGCACTATGTTTTGTCAATGTCATTTAAACCCTCCCTTACTCTCAAAAGTGATTAACTTGTGAAATCTAATCTTTTTCGGCTGTGATTTTTTTACCATACTCTTAAGAAAGTTTTAGCAAAATTATTGCAGACTTTTGTTCAAACTTTTTGCACAAGAGTATTACTATCTGATAACTATCAAGGTGAAAATTTCAAATTCTAATTGTGTCTGCCTGATGCAACCGTTACATCGGATAGACTCCTTTTCACTTTTCTTAAACCTGAACGCCTTTTAAATCGCTATTAATCCTTTCGTGAAGAAACACTTCGAAGACTTGCTAAACATGCTTCTAGCAGCAGAGTGTAAGGCCATTGGGGATGTGGTATGTCTCAATAACACTGCCTTTTATCACTGCTCAGTTTAGCTCCCCAAGAATATTATTTAGAATTACTAGTGTATTCATGAAAACTTTTGCATAAATTTTTATAGGGTAAACATATGTTTTGTTGTCTTTTTTGACTTTCATAAACGTCTTTGTGTTTACGTTCTGAGTTGTGGTGCATTTATTGTCTCGACAACCTTTCCAAAACAGTTTAGTTTTGTATACTTATATTGTGTGTTGATATTACAAGAAAAAAATGACGGTCACTTTTCTTTTCTCTTTTCTATCAGGAAACCTAATCTTGATGACTTTAGAGGTTTTAAACCAGCAGTTGCCAAGTAATTAAATTTCCTTGTAGACTAAAGGAGTTTTCTATAATAATGCACTAAGGAGATTTACGCCGACGGGTAAAGGTATCGCTAAAAGGTATACACTCAGCCACCGTTCACAGCCATAGCCAGTGAACAGAAATAAGCGCATAATTTAATTTTTCATGTAGCCTCAAAATAAGGCGGGAGTCAGTTATTTGGGGATTTTGTGGATAGTCTTCAATTGTTCAGTTTAAACCCATCTGTTTTGTACTACAGGTAATTTAGTGTTAACAACTGGGTTGAAAACGTAAATTAGCCACCGTAAAGGGTAAAAAAGTTGACGTTTCGAGCGTTAGCCCTTCGTCAGAGCGAAGGGCTAACGCTCGAAACGTCAGCTTTTTTACCCTTTACGGTGGCTAATTTACGTTTTCAACCCAGTTGTTAACACTAAATTACCTGCTATACTCTCCCACCGACGCAGCACCACAGTTTCTTTAGAAACTTACCCCTTTATGTTTTGTACTACAACTCACATGATCACCTACGGATCATTTGCAGTGTAGCTCCTGTCCCTTTTACTCCTCAAGCAAGGAAACTTGAATTTGAATTTGCCAACAGTGTGTTCCAGTAACGATAAGAACTTTCACGATTGATTGACAGGAACCTTGAGTATTTGTTGGAGTATGACCAAGCAGAAGGAGACCTGGCGGAAACGTTTGGACTCAATTTTCAGGCAAGTTAATATAGTTTGGGTTGCATGTGGATATGTTATTTTTCCTACCACATTCTTTACAAGTTTTTGTGACTGGTACCATTTCCCTAAATGTCTTTACAGCTATTATGTGCTGAATACTCTCTCACCTGTGTGTTGATTCTCCTAACTTATTAATAAGGTTCACTCTGAAAGTTAAAACAATTTTCAGTTGTGTCGAAAGTGATCCGCCATTACTTTGGCTTACTTTTTGGCTTTGCTCTGTGATTGGTCAAGAAAACTCGCGCCATCCTTTCAACCAATCAGTTGCAAACTAAAGACGATCGTAGCTTGTTCATTGGCGTTTTGCCGCGCTTCATGGAGATTGCTTTTTTCACTGTAAGTTCTTATTGGGTAATGATAACTCAAAGATCTGTGTTAAAACTATGTTTTTCGACCAGTCACCTGCACAACAGAAAGTAAATTATAATGAGCTGTTTTCTAATTTTTGCTCAGGTTGTACGTGAGAAGTACGGAGCATTAGAATATATAGATTTGATTCCAGATGGAGGAAAAACTCCAGTCAATCTCGAGAACAGGTGCGATGACCAAAACCCCTTATTTTTAAGCCTTTGATCCCTAAAAGTAAATAGCATTTAAGTTCTCTTTACAGTATGACCCCTAAAGCAAACACTAAGGTCACGAAAGTAGGGGAAATGATCACCAATGAAAGATACTCCTGGTTGTTAAACAAATTCTCGTTGTCAGCACCTTAGGAAATGTAGAGAACTGTTTGGAGAATAAGCTTACTGATGTGAAAGTGTAAGAAGAGATATAGAGAAATATTTGAGTGCAAAGTTCAACGCGAGAACGTTTTTAAAATATAGAAAACTTCTAAAAATTATGAAAACGTTCGTAAGGCGTAAAGTCACATATACTATGCGTTACTGCAAAGTATATGTGACATAAGAAAAAGACCATCCCTCTCTTTCGATACTCAATCTGTTTTCCCATCGTGTCGTATCGTGCAGTTTTATTGAAATGGGGTAGTGGTTTGCTTTAATGTTATGAATTGCGGTAGATCAAATTGTCTTGTCTTGTTACGGTATGATATGCTGTATAGTGTTGTGTGTGGAATTTTTCGTTTGTATTGTTCTGTTGAGCACGTTTCGCATCATTTGGTTTTTTTTTTTTTTCCTGTGGCTAGAGTGCAGTATGTGGATGTGTATATCGATTATTATTTGAACAAGTCAGTCGAGAAACAGTTTGAGGCTTTTGCTCAAGGATTTCATCGGGTGTGTGGTGGAAAAGTCATGGTGGGTGCAAGTGCTGCTCTGTTAATACCGTTTTTTTTTCTCATAATTAAGTAATTGACCGCACTTTTTGTCGGTTATCAAAAATCACGCGTGGGAGGCGAGTGTTCTCCCGACTCACAGGTGGGTTATTACAAATTGCGCTCTATTACTTTTATGAAGTAAACTTAAAGGTCTGACTATATGAACAAAGTTTAGCCGTTGTTTAGCAAAACCGCATCTTAAACAATACTCAATCAAGGTCAACCTTCCATCTGAACATTTATTATTGTGAACAGTGTCAAAAGGGTCGGAAGCTAACAGTGGCAGGTCGTTTATTAAATTGAATAAACCCTTTTTTAGAGAATACCTGAGGCCTACTGATTGCGTGAAACCGTGGTTTGAGTTAGACCTTGTGTAAATAACCAGCCTAAAGGGTTTACCTGTGCGATAAACGATAGCTTTCAGACCAATTAGGGTTCTCGTAATATCTCAGCTATGTATTATAACATATCGCTTGTTAGCATTTACAATGGCTCGTTGTGGACAATGCCTTAATTTAGCATGAAAGTCAGGCTTGCCTTTTGTCACTTATTTGGACATCTTTCTGATCGTTATAGGAGTTTTTTCATCCGGAGGAGTTAATGCAGATGGTGGTAGGATGTCAAGATTATGACTTCAGGGAACTCGAAAAGGTAATAGAACATACAAGATAAAAGGAAAAGAGACTGAAGAGTAGTTCAAAGGACACGGGGAAGTTTTTTTAGAGTTAAAAGAACACCTGGGTGCTGTGCATTCGAACAACCGCCCCACTCCAGTTATAGCGTTTCGCCGAGTGGCGTGTTCCCTTCGCTCCGCGCGTTACTCTAATGTTGTTTAAGTTAAATGGATAAGATTTTCTGTCGTTGCGTTCTTACCCACAGTGTTCAGCTCCTTTTCTGGATTCCCTATCAAACAATATGTAACTTTATTTCATTTCCATTTTTCAGGTAGCAATGTACAAAGGCGAGTACTTCAAGGGCCATCCTATTATCAGAAACTTCTGGGGAGTTTTCTTTGACTTTCCGTTCAAAATGAAGAAAAAGTTCCTTGGTGAGTTTTTGTATCAGTGAGACTGAGCCATCAAATCGCGGACGAGTCATGGGATTGGTTTTTATTCCTTTACAAGACTGACCAATAAATGCAGCCTTTCTGAAATAGATGGTAACAAGAAAGTAAGGAAGAGGGTGACCGAATTAATGAAGCACATATACAGGGGATTGTTTTGAATTTGCCTGTGAGCTCCAATCTCTTCACATCACAAAAGCAACTTTTCACCAAGCTGAGATTGTAGAGAAATACTAACCTCCTTTTCTGGGTCAGTCTGGCCTCTCGGATTTGTATGGCCATAAATCTGAGCAAGAACAACGCGTAACATATTTTTGTATTTCACTCTGGATTCAAATAGAGGGAGACGATTCCTATTCAAGCAAACTTTTGAACTTAGCGGGCCACACAGTGAAATACGGCCCGCTAAATGAAGCAGCATGGAGCACGTGCTAACTTAGAGATATAATAAAACGAAATATGTGTTACATTTGTCTGAATTCTATCCTTCAGCTTTCCTAACAGGAAGTGACAGAGTACCAATTTTGGGAATGAAATCCATGAAGGTATAACTAATCTCGTAATATTTTCATTATTTCTTTGCTGGTGATCCTGAAGTTGATTACTTTCAAGGCCATTACAAAATAATTTAATAGAGTGATATGCTGAAATACTTAAACGAAATCTGTTGATTTATTAGAATTTAGCTCAGCAATCACAACACTTTAGATAATTGTTATCAATTGACCCATATATAAGATTTCACGAGTTTGGGAGTTATATTCAAACAAAGTCACTCATCCTGAATGATGTATTCTCTGTATATCTTTTTTAAAAACAGATCATAATTCAGCCCGTAGCTGGAGGAGAACAAGGAGATCACCTTCCTGTGGCACACACGTGCTTCAATTTGCTGGACTTACCGAGATACTCAACAAGAGAAATGATGAAAACAAAACTCAGCCAAGCAGTGGAGTACTCAACTGGCTTTGGGCTTGCGTAAAAAATTATCAGTCATTATCCTGCAAGTAAACTTATTCCTGGCTATTCCTAGAGGGGAGTATAGCTTTAAACCTTAATATGTGTTGAAAGAAGAGTGAGATAAAAAGCGTCTGTAATGATCCAAACGACAGCGAAATAACAAACTTACCGAGGTTGCAGTCATGCATGCTCTTTCTGATGTCAATGGTGCTTCGTTGGCAAGCAAAAAAACGTGAGAGTTCCTCGCCAAGCCACTTGAGGATTTGCGATTTGTTACGCAGAAATGGAAAACCGCAGGTTGTATGGTTTTCAGCGTTGCAAAATCGCGCTGGTCACTCAAAAGGTGTTTGTCAAGAACCTGCAGGGTTAAAAGCTCGCTGAGGCAAAATACGAAGTGACGAGTATCATGGACTTGTAAGACTTGCCTGCGGCTCTCAACGTCTTGAATTTGTCAGTTGTTTGAAGGCAACTGTTGACTCTGTGTTCTTTTTACTGAAGTGTGGAGGTGATTTTTTTGTTTCGCTTTTCCATACACCAGGATTTGGGAGCGCTAAGAAAGAAATTCAGCTCAATGCTCTGATAATTTGAATTATCCGTGCAATAGGATTTGTAGGCAACGAGAAAAGATCTTAAAATTATTTTTGACATGTTAGATGGCCTTTTTCTACTAGGTAACACAACTTGATCTCTGGTATGTGGGTTGGTCATTTGAAGGAAAGGAAACACAGGGTGAATAGTTTTTTGGACGAGTTTGTCGGACAAAACCGCTTCTAATGCTTCCTAAACAATTTCTGTGACTCATTATTTTTGTTGCTACAGACGTGGCTTAAATTCAAACCAGGTGTGATGTTTGCGATTTATTCCGGGACCACTCTGATACCGAGAATTCTCGAGATTCTCTTTATACTCGAAGCTAATGTTTTAGCGACTTGTCCCCGGCGCGTCATGTGGCAGTGAATTTTACCGCCCACCGTATTCTAGCCTTTAGAAATAATTTTAGATTTGTTAATTAAAAGGTTTTGGTGTATAAAACTTTTGAAATAAATACGATTCTTAAAATCTGGGAACCGGGTATTCTCCTTTTTGTCTTTTTGTGGTTCATATCTAAGACCATCGGAAAGGCTGTCTGTGTGTCGTTATCTCAAATCGCGATCTACGCGAAATTGATGATGCACTGAAGCTGGTAATGGAAATCTCGCCTCTAAGCAGCCGAAGAGACAAAAGCAACCGCTAAGAGTGTAATCCGGTGTCTCCGAAAGATTGGGAATGTTTCCACGCAGAAAATGTTTAAATGTAATCTATACCCTTAAATATTTCTTTAAAATCATTTAAAAATTGTAGAATAAAACGCACAAATATGGACATGCTTCGTTCTTTTTCTCACCTTGCTATCGGAGTCTACGTCCCCCTTTACAGCTTTGATACAATTTGGAGTCGTTTTTTTTCTAGCTAATCTTGTAGCTGGAGTACACAACATTGTTTGGTGGGAGAGAATCTAATACTTTTATAAAATTCTCTCGCACTTTGCTTAGGAGCGCATTGTGCTCAATTGGGCCTCTTAATCGTCGACTCAGTCATAAACCCTCTTTCACTCCGGCAACTATTGCATATTAAAGGCAAGAACTAAGATTTCTTTGCACTAATAATTTATTATTATAGTTTTCTTGGGTTTGATAGCCAAATGGGAAAATCCTTTCAAACATGTTATTGTTGACAATTGCTGAATTCCTGTCTGGAAAAAGCTATGTTAATTTACCCAAACAGGAAAAATGAAAGTTACGATGACTCTAATCTTTTGGACAATCCCATTATCTTCCATCATGTTGATAAGAAAGAAGGTCGAAACTGGTTGTTGACAAAAAGTTATTTTATGATTTCGCGAGCCGGTGTTCTCTTTTCGGGGATCAAAGATAAAAAAACGACCATTTCTATTTTACTCTCTTAAGTCGGGCAGTGGCATGAACGAATGACTTAGAGGTACCTTCGTCTTTTACCTTTGAGACCTATGCTTCCGTTAGAGTTTCTTAACTCTTATGTTTTAACTTTGAAGCTGTCATTCTTCTCATATGTATGAATTTATTTTATCCCTCTGCAGGTCATGTTTTACTAGTCTTTTTTTTTTAGTGCATGTTTTACCACTCTGCTTTTTATTAGTCCAAGTTTTACTAGTCTTCCGTTTATTAGTCTATTTTTTTACCAGTCTGCTTTTTTTAGCCCACGTTGTGCGAGTCTACATTTTATAAGTCCATTTTTTACTAGTCTGCCTTCAAATAGTCCACGTTTTACTTGTCTGCCTTTTATTAGTCCAATTTTTTACTAATCTGCCTTTTATTAGTCCATTTTTTACTAATCTGCATTTCATTGGTCCACGTTTTACTAGTCTGCATTTCATTGGTCCAGGTTTTACTAGTGTGGTTTTTATTAGTCCACGTTTTACTGGTCAGCTTCATTTTTTGTCCACGTTTAACTACGCAGGTTTTTATTGGTGCACGTTTTAATAGTCTCCCTTTTTTTGGTATACGTTTTACTAGGGTGCTTTTCATTGGTCCACGTTATACTAGTCTGCTTTTTATTGGTCCGCGTTATGACTACTTCTTTTAGTTTACGTTTTGCTAATTCGTCCTTTGTTTGTCCACGTTTTACTGGTCTACTTCTATCTTTCCACGCTTTACTAGTCTGCTTTTTATGGGTCCGCCTTTTAACAGTCTGCTTTTTATTGGTTCACGTTTTACTAGTCGGCAAAATAACTAAATACAGATTGGCTCAGAGAGAAGGTATCTTTAATGAAGTTTTGGCAAATTCATTTGAATTTTATTGGTTCTTAAAGGTGTGACTCTGTCAATTTTCACATCTTCTGAAACTCGCAACCTTATTTTTTCGAGCAAATATGCGATTACGTATACTAAGTACAATATAAGCTTTTAGGAGATGTCAGATGAGCCATCATACTGTGCTGAGCCGCAAACCTTTTTTATTTCATCATCCGCCTTTTTTTGTTACGGTTGTTGTTTTTTCAAATTAACGTCTACATTTCGCGTTCGCTCCAAAATAGCAGATGAGTTGATTCAAACTTCAAAAAGAAATGTTGGGAATGAAATAGCCACAGTAACGCTGGCTATTTCATTGTTTTATGAAATGCTTCTGTTCTTTCCGCCCACCACCAGCGATGTTTCTGAAATATTCATTCTTGGCAACACCAAAAACCCATCTCTTTTCAATCACGCCCAACAATGCTTCACACTTTCTAATACCTCTTTCCTAACTGTACATGTGTCTATTGTTCTTGTTAGAAACAATATGGAGCCTCTAGTCTGCGTATAGGCCATCATTATCAGTGGCGCCACAGAACACGCGTCTCTCCGCCCGCTGGAAGATTTGAGACGAGTCGGGGAGTGGTTTTCTAGAGCCTGGCACTAACAATTATCAGCGCCAGACCCCCTTGCAGTCCTCTCACCGGCTCACATCAAGGCCTCACACCTCAAGGCTCGTACCCAGGTGCTGATGATGAGGACCTGCTCACAGGCTATGGAGCCTAGAAATAAGTGTTACATGATACGTAGAAGAGCTCGATCACTAATAACGTCACTTTTCCCAGAAAGGGACATCTGGAAATGGGTTCTAAAGACTAACTAGGCCTAATGAATGGAGCGAAGATATAACACGACTTTTCGCATAGCAAATATTATCCCTAAATGTTTCAACTCCCAATTTTTTCGTTTTAACCAAAAATACTAGTACTGTTAAGAAAAGCAATATAAGAGGAAATTAGTGATATATTTATATGAGTAGCAGTCTTAAAGTAATGTATACGGGTTAGGCCTTTACTTTTCTTGCAGTTGCTACTTGAATGCATGAGATCCAAGGTATTTTCAATAATATATGCAGTTTCGTTTATTTATTTTTCCTTTTCCCAAAGTGACTCTCTCAATTCCAGCCATTGTTCAGTCCTTGCATCTCGTCACGTCGAGAAACGTTTCATGATGTTTAACATAACAGACAATACATGTCCGTCTTACGCAACACAGGTGGTTGCATGATATTTGCTTGTGCAAGTATCGCATTCCACGTTGCAACACCACACAAACCTGCAGCGGCATTTATCTTCCTTAACCACCTGGACTGTATGGTGTTTCAATTTGCAAGCGTTACAAAGAGAGCGACACTTTTTCACGGTGGTGCCTTCATCACTCCGACATATTCTTCCCAACATTCCAGGGGAGCCCAGCGTTTTGTTAAATACGCAGTAATCCGGCGAAGGGTCGAGGTAAACAAGTTTTTTCTCTCTCTTTTCCGCCGTCAATTTGTTTTTGCCTCGCTCGTGAAGCTTATTATTCGCGTACCACACTCGCAAAGCACTTTTGTATTTTAATTTCAACTTCTTCCCAATGACCTCAAATGGCTCCATTTGCCTCCAACAAATCCTTGCGGTACAACTTCCTGAAAGTCCGTTGCATTTACACACTTTCTTTCGACTCAATCGAACAACCTAACAAAGGAAAAATCGGTTCATGTTGCAAAGGAAAGTAACATTTCAACACTTGAATCATTAAGATAATTAAATGAATTACAGGTTGTTATTATGGAAAACAAAATTATTTGCGGAAGGGCTAACGCTGCTATGAAATAGTTCAACACCTGACAAGGAAATTCCACACTAAATTTTACGCGAGAAATCCTCCCATCCCTCCCTAAGCGATGAATAATGACCGGTCTCTAAAATTCAAGCAAGGGCCGCTGTTTCGTAATAAAATAACGAGCTTTTCGGCGAAAAAATTTTATGATCAGGGGTCAGGGTTTCAAAATCCCCAGTCTAGCTTATGAGAGTCGTGCAGGAAACTCAACAAAGGCTCTGAGAAAAGAGACTGTGTAGCGGGTTTAACGCTTGACACCCAAACATTTGTATTCGCATTTTCCGTACTGTTCTTCCTGCATTTCCTTAGGTGCTGACAAGGAGAATTTGTTTACCATCAAGAACTGCTTTAGTTGGTGATCATTTCCTCTATTCTCGTAACTTAATGAGTGAATCAGTGGTGATATGGTAAGGAGAAATTTGAAGTTGGTCACTCTTAGGGGTTAAAGGGTTAATGAACCTGACATTAGCAAAGCAGGTAACGTTACCTTTCTTCCGACTTCAGAGTTGTGGAAGTGAAAAGCTTTCCGAGCATTGTTTCCATTCATGAAGACGTTGATGAAACGCCTTGCCTCCTTCTCTCCGAACTTGACGTTGTCACCACAACCGCCCCATTGAAAGTCTTCGTTTCCATTATCTTCTTTCTTCAGATCGCAGCTACATCCGGGTATTCTGCTACGTTGGCACTGTTGGGCGACCTCATTTATAACAGCGGCTGTACTGATGGAAATGATGAATGCAATCTCCCGTGTAGCTACAATAAAATGGCAAAAATGAATACCCCTTACTAACCTCGATTTTTCCGCACGAACACTTGACCCGCAAGATTCGCTCTTAGGCCTTGCATCCCAGCGGAAAAAAACACACATCCTGTAACTTACTGTAGGGACCGAGTAAACGAGGTCAGTAAGATATTTATTATATCTCTGGGTTAAAATGGAGGAAGAAGATTACAATTCAAACAAAATTTTGAATTAAGCGAGCCGTACAGTGAAATATAACCCTTTAATAGACCAATCATTGCGAACGTACTTATTGAAGGATAGAATATCGGGGAATGAATCTTGTGTTTTTCCAGAAAATAAATCTGTATTATCAAATGGTGAGGCATGAAATAAATGTCCCAGTGCCTAGAGATAAAAAGCCACGAGGTATTTGCAAGTTAGTTTATTCTTTTACATTACACTACACCATTCTCACACCCTCATTACTAGCGCTTCGACAAGAGCGTTTCTTCGCCTGCGGGAAGGCATGAAGCCTTGAGCAGTGCGGGCCGGTGAGAGGTTTGCGGGGGTCTGTCACAGATAGTGCCAGACCCCGACAGACCTTGTCCTTAATCTTCCCGCCGGCGAAGAAACACGCGTCCCGCAGCGCTAATATGAGGGCCTGTCCGTAGGCTAGTGATGTTTTCACGTGGGCATATATATATGTTTTTTAACCCTTTAACTCCCATGAGTGACCAAGACAGAATTTCTCCTTACAATATCAATACAATATCAAGCAGACAAGTGATGGGAATAAAGAAAAATATCAATTACGGGATTAAAAGTTGATCCAATATAAAATTCTCCCTGCTAACATCACAAGAATTGTATGGTAGATAGTAAGGAGTATTACTTATGAGATCTTGGGAGTTACAAGGTTAAATGAAACTTTTTGGACTGAATACTTCCTTCTCGAAATTCACCACTTAGCATCTTCATAGCGTGGTTTGGGGGTAAAACTGACTTTTCTGACGTAATTTTGCAAAGGGTTTCAAAAGATAAGGTTTAAGTCGCGGAATACGCTTACCATAAGGAACGGTTGGTTTAACAAAACTGGGTAACTCCTTAATCATGTGTCTGTTATCAATGGTACAATTCCAAATCTCGTTCTTGAATAACTTTCGACATTCTCCCATGGCACGATATCCTCCTGCTTTAATGATGCTTGTAAGATTTGGATAGGTCTAAAAAAGAATTAAAAAATTTAAGTGAATAAGTGATACCTTTCGAAAATGACTGGTGAATCGTTATAACAGCATGCCAGCTTGAGCACGCTTTTCTCGTGCATTAATTTTCCGCGTGCATCTGTTACTAGATCAGTCCATGTTACACACCAAGCATGAACCAATTTTTAATTATCTTCTCTTTCTTTATGGTTAAGTTCTATTGTGAAATAGTTGCGATTGCATCTTCTAACCTCTAAATTCATTCTCTCTCGCCTTTTTTTAACAAGATCCTTTTCTAAAAATAGCTTAGTAAACTTTAAAACATCAACCCTGGTTACGATAAAAGTCTTGGTTGCATTGTGAACGCCTCTTAAAATCTAATTTTGGTCGATTTAGTAAAATAGTATTAACTGATACAAAGCTGAATTAGTCGGCCCTTTTAACTTTGATGTGGTTTTGAAACAGCTATTATCTTTTCCGTACAGTTACCCTTTATCACTTTACTGAAATCAGTGGTTAAGAAACATTAACGGTTTAACCGAGGTGGGTTTAATCTCGATTAGCAGCTTAAGATACTTATGGACCCCCGTACGTTTAAGCGCACCATATGCGTGTTCAAATAATACTGATAAATAGAAAAAAGTAAAGAAAATGGACCTAGGTTCCCTGTGGGACTGTGAAAACAAGCAAGGTGTCAAGAAACCTTTAAAAAGCTGTCAAAACTTAGACTTCACAAGTTGGCTGAACTTTATCACTGTGATATCTTAAATCTGGCCAACAATAAAATGTGACGTAGATAAAAGTAACCGAATTAAAAAACTCTTTAAGAAATCCCGGATGATCTTAATGTTTTAACCTCCCATTAATGTGGCTTGAAGATGCGCCGAACTCGGAAGGGAAAGTTGCCCGAACAAATGATTTTCATTGACTAAGCAACACGTTTGATTTGTTTCGTCAATTTAGCTGGTAGACGAGCAACATATAGTGAAAGGTAACACCAGCTGAAACCATTTCGGTGGAATACACTGGCACAACACTCAGAATTTTTTTCTAGGTACTTAACCCTCATTTCCGAAGGCGGGGAATATTAATTTGAAGGCCTTATCGAATAATTCGACGGGAATTTTGACAGTTTTACATAACAAGGAGAAAAACATCCCGATCGTGAGAAACAACATGATATACACGTTTTTCGTTGCGTAACAAACAGAAATGATATGGCGGTTGCTTACTTAGCCGCTTGAATACATTTTGGGGGGTTTGAAGTTTAATCAGTTTTATGAAAGATTATACTAGACAAGCACATGATTAGACCAGCAGTCAGTTAGGATATATTCAGCCTCCTCATCAAATCACGGTTGCTTGCGCTGTCGGGAAAATGGCGCAGTCACTATGAAGACCATGGAAGAGGTCGGAGAAAAGTAATGATGAAGAAAGATAATTATCTCTATAAGTAAAACTTAATGAAAAAGAATATCGGATTAACTTGAATCTAATCTAGAAACATCTGACAATAACACCCGGCCATTTTATATAACTAAAAAGATATCCCATATTTTGGGAACGAAGTATATCCAAAGAAAAAACATCTGAGATTTTGAGGGAAAAATTTACCAAAATGTAAAAAAAACCTGAAGCAAAGCACACCTTTTCTTGAAGAAAATTCAACTCTTCTATGCTGTTTTTGTATCTGTGAATAAAAAAGACAAAGAGAAATAAATCAGAGTTTAATCAAAGGCTGCAACATAACCATCATTAGATTCAAGAGGCTGACTAACAAGTGAAGGCATAAAAATAATTTTTCAGTTCAAAAATTTAACTTTGTAATTGGATTTGGTTTAGCTGTTAAGTGTTGGGATCCTGAGTCAATGCTCGATGGTTTTAGTGTGTTTATGATGATTTACACGCCCCCTGTGAGTCATTAACGCCAGGATTATTTTTGTACTCACACAGATGACAAGTTATTTTCTTTCGGAAATGATGCACCGGGTAGTGAGCGCCCAAATTAAGTGGAATGGGACAAATTTCAGCAATTCAGCTTCCAAAAACACGTACGTGTCAACAGATTTTAAAATCTAATTTACAACTTTAAATCCTGTTTGTGGACGGGTGTTTCTTGTTATGAATGCAATTTTTTTAGTAAAGATAACAAAACAAACTGTGAGCTTGACACAGAAGACAACAATTATCGTCAAAACTAGCTGAGCCGTAACTCTATAGGACTGGATAATGTAGGATATAGAGCTTAACAAATACGTGTTAGGCAAAAACACTGAGGGAAAAAAGTTAAGAAAAAAGAGTTTTCTCTCGTGCAAATTTATCGAAACAGATAGCTCATTGGTCCTGTGTTTTCCAACCAAACGTTTCTTTGTCCAATAAAAATGAGAAGCAGGGAATTTCCCTTGAACGTCTTTGATTTAGTAGACAAGCTATCACTCCCAGTAGGAATTTACCCATCATATGAAATCGTCGATTTAGTTCAGAAAACAGAAGAAATTGCAGGCCTGTTAGCAAATTTATCTCATCCACAGCAAGCCCTGGATAGGCTAACAAACTTGTGCCATAGTTCTTAGCTTAGGGAAACCTAATTGCAAGAAAAGAGTTCTGAGGCGAAGGTCACGTACTTGTTTAGCGCGTAATACGCAGCTTACAATATTCTCTCTTGCAGCAACCATTAGAAGCTACTAGCTTTCTTAAAAGAGACTAGGTCAACAGAGCATACAAAAAAGAACAAGTGCGTTTTAAAGTCAACTTACCGTGAGCCGTATTCAGTTTCCGCGCTGACCACTATCGCAGCCAGAATCACCGAACACAGACCTAGCAGTTTCGAAGCCATTATCCCTGTTTATAAGACTCGCGCAGCACTTGAAGATTTGGGGTCATGGATAAATGCCTTCGTTGTTTCCCCGTACCAAAGCTTTAAAGAGATAAACAGAATTAATCCATTATTGAATAACTACGTAGTTTCCGGAGACTACCAGAATAGTCAATGATATATTGGCCTCGTATTTGTAAAACAAGAGAGTTTTCTCACCTGATCAGGTCGATCAGGGCTCACTAACATTAACGCTTAATATATGCCTCTCTGAAATATAATTGAGAGGTTTATATTTCTGTTAGACCTATTGTTCAAAGTATTTGGATTATCGACTGTATGAAAGGACTGTGAAGATTACTTAACCTTAGGTCCACACAAAACCAATTAATTTGAAAATACCCACTCACTTGAAAGGAGAGAATTTCTTCAATGGACGTGGTGGGCAAGAGATCATGTTACGCATGCTCATTAGAATCTGTCTTCTGGAAAAGACTTACGTGCTACCTTTCACTAAGGATCGTCTCGTATTTTCCTGCTTAAAATAGATGCATAACAAGCCAGATTAATTTGGTTTCTTTTTCATCGTAATAAATCGCAGTGATTTCACTCAAACGAACGTAAAGTGGTAAAGGATTAATTTGAAAGCTATTAGTGGTGTAAGATCGAGATGGAATAGAATATATATGTTAACGCGTTCGACCCTTTTGTGTAGGAATGTCGGAAATGACCAAATTTGGATGACACAGCTCTGAAAATTGAGCCTCGATGGAAAATTCCCTTTGGACTTACTCCGCATTTCTTTTGAGAGCCTCATTAGCAATGGGCATCTCAGTGCATTTAAATAATTGCCAAGTGTTAGGTAGAGTTTCAGCAAATCTTTCAGTAACTTGCAAGGTCACTATTCATCAGTAATTACGTGTGTATCTGGTTTACCGCGTTGGAAGATTTCTCTAATCCGGATCCATATTTCAACCAATCTCGGCGCGATATTCTATTTTCTTTCCGCATTAGTCAAAAACGTGACCGATTTCAGTTGCTCTGTGCACGTGAACACTACAGATAGAGAATATCCTGATCTGAAGAGTGCTTTCAGATTTGTGGAAAAAAGTTTCTGTTGTCTAAAACTAGAAAGATTTCCGGTATATGATTAAATTTGGCAAATAGCACTATTAAATACTCGGAGAAAAATCTCTTTGCTTTATGGCAAATCGTCAACAATCAGGATTCTAAGTAATCCGCAACGAAGATTTCTGAGATGGCCTTGGAAATGTAACTTTTCTGATTTAGTATGACTCATTGACAACTTAACATAATTCCTTTTTTTTTAACATATCTTTGTCTATTTTCTTCTCTGTGTGAACGAAACATTTTTACTTTAATATCTTGTGGTGTAGTAAACATGTCTGGCGCCTTTGGATTGTTGGAATTTGCAGGGGGATGAAATGAATATTCTGTGGTAGCAATAATCCGTGCGTACCTAAAAAACGGTCACTATACTTAATCGAACAGTGTCCTTTACTTTAAGGGTATTAAAATTCGTTTGAGTGTTGTAACTTTAGGAATGAAATTATTGTACACATGTTGAGTAGCGTAAGTATCGTTCCTGTGGTAAGTCAAGATATGTACCGTAAATTTGGTAGATAACTAGTGAACTGTTCATCGTTACGCAATGTGTTTATTAATTAATTTTTTTTTGTTACAGTTTTTTATACCCAAAAATCTTGTAATTCAACAATGGAAAAGAGTCTTATACTTCAGTACACGGCTTAAATTTTCACTGCAACTGATGACCTCACTTGTGTGATAATTAGTACAACTTCTGTTTTCTTTCTGTCAGTCATTAACATTTTTAGACAAATAATAACCGGCTTAAACTGAAATAAATAAAAAAATACTCAAATTATTTTAATCTTGTTGTATGCACGTGATTCGTGAGTGATTTCACATATTGTTAGAAAATACCATTTACTTTGAAAATGGACTAAATTTGAAATTGTCCACTATTTTTTTAACTAAGCTGCGGTGATCCAGAGAGTGATGTTCTCCTCTGCACGGCGGCAGGATCAACGCAGATTGGCATTCACGAACTTTACTGCGAACGGATTACCGTGGCTGAAACTTAACGTCTATAAGTCATGATTGAAGTAAGCAAGGAGAGATACATTACAGTCCTAGTAAAAATGTTTTTGTCAGTGTGCCTGATGAGAGAAAATCATTTTTCTGAGATTTTGTCCGATTACCTTATGACAAGAAAAAGTACTGTATATTTTCCGTCTCTCTTAATTCAGCTTGGTCCCATTATGACTTACATGTTGACTATGGACTTTTGTAAAGATGAAGGATTAATATTTCAGTGCTGCTAATTGTCACGAAAACAGAATTGATCACCGCGGAGGGTCTGTTTTAATCTGGAATTGGGCGAAAGAAAGGTGTCTTTTTACATGCATAGCGCCAGTGAAAAATCTAACATGATTTCAAGTTCAACTTCGCAATCTGAATGTGGCATATTTCCTTGAAAACTATTGAAAAGGAATCAGTGAATGAAACGATCGTTGCAATTGCAAAAATAGATTCTATCTACGAGCATTCGACCTTCCACTTGCCAAATCAGCTCCTTACTCCGGGCCCGTGAAGGAGCAACCCAGCGGTACGTGGGCATTTTCACGAAGTAGAGAGTAGTCTATTCGCGTGTCTAATTCTTTTAGCTCACTTGCGTCACGTCTAAAGGTCGAAGCCAACTTTATCCGCACGCGTTTGAACTCGTCTGAGAGAGAGCCAGCTAAGGGTTAAATCATTGTTACATAGCATTTTGTTGAGAGAATTAGTTCCTTCACAGACGGCGCGTTTTGTTTTGGCACTTTTTCGCCCCCCTAGGGAGAGGAGGGTACTTCTTATAATCAATTTTACGTGGGTGCTCTGAATGGGGACTGGTTGATGAACAGAGAAAGAAAAGAAAAAGTATGAAACATCTCCCCTCGCTATAGTTTCCGGATTTGCGGCTAAGCACATGCAGAGATAAATAAATTACGCTATAAAGATCATTATAGCCTAAAAAAACAGTCCAGAAATTAAAGATCGCTTATGACACCAAGCAGTCATTCAACGTTACAATTTACGTAGCAGTAATTAAGTGTGAGCTTACTTGCCTTTTGCACGAGTCATAGAGAGGGAAGCTCGTTGATTAAGGACTTTTTTTTACTGCATTTTGTGGAGCCAGAAATTTCACCACAATCGAAAAAGGTATTACTTCTTATTAACAAAACCACAGGTCAAAACCTTTCTGCATAACATGTATTCACGTATCTCTAACATACTAGTCGGCATTGCTTTACCTTCTTTCTCACTCTCTCTCTCTCTCTCTCGTTCTCCCTCTTTCACACAGTGCAACGCTTGACAAAACATTCAAACACAGGGGTGGTCTTGTTAAAGTCCTACAAAATCCTCAAGTGAATTTTGCCACGTTTTAAGGGGAAGACGAAAGGAAAAACTTTGAATAGACACCAAGAACACCAAGAGGTGACACTGCGTGACGTACGTGCAGAATAACATGAACAAACCTTTTGCAAAACGAAATTTCCCACCGCAAATCAGCTGTTGTTTTCTTTGAACTAGCAGTATTACTCACCTCCTCCGTGAAAAAACACTTCTGAATATCTTTCATGAGTTAAAGTATTCTTCACAGTAGATTGTTTGCAACGGAATCTCTCGAGATATTTCACCCACTGCTTTTTTAATGAACAACTTAAGTACAGCCTAGGTCAGTAGAGTGATTTTGGACAATTTCTCTTACCTTGCGCATACGGAAACGAACCAGAATCCCCCTCAGCTTGATTAAAGCGAATGTACCGGTACTCGGGGTTTTTAAAAAATGGCAAACACGGGACTGATCTTGACACTATATCGTTATCATTCATTAAAATCTGTAACACTACTCTTGACGGTTATTGGTTTAAAGGGTTTAACAGGATTGGGTTCACCTGCCAAGCAGCTCTTGTTACTCCGACGTCAAACAAGTTTACTTGATTTTTTATGTCTCGAAGACTTTCGTCGTTGATTGTTTGTTTGTTTGTTTGTTTGTCCTTTTCAACCGGACTTAAATGAACAATCTGTATAAATCATTTAATGAGGGGCTTTTCCAACTTATTCTTCAAGTTCTGTTCTGTTGTTAGATTTCTCATTTCGGTCGGGCTTATGTTTTCACCAAGGTCATTTACAGGTAGCGTTTAGACACACCCAAAAATTAGAAACGATTAACTCTATCCTAACTTCTCAAGTGCGCTCAAGCGGAGCAGCTTAAAAGTTGGGCACGCAGCCATCGCTTGCTGATCCATCGAAAGAAGCCGGAAAGATTATACTTGATTATATCAGTGGATGACGAGGTCATTTTCCGCCCAACTTGTCATTTGGGCCATGCCATCAACAAAGAAGAATTCCCAGATGCCTTTTTTTTTAATTTCAAAACAGGAGTATGGTCTCAATGTCAATTCACAACATTCTATCTTGTGGTCCAACCTTGGGCTGCTATCTCCAAAAATAACCATTCTTGTAGCGAGGCGTCATTCTTCAGAGGGATTCTCGGGTATTTCGGGATCATATCTTGGTGTATCTTGAGCTTATGAGCTTATAAAAGCATGTCACTCGTTTGCTTTTGCCATGAATGTGAGAATCATCGAGGGAACTCTTTCTTGTAAGCCACAGACTTAGTGAAATATGTCTACAATTTTGCTTTGTATACTGTTACGCCAATAAATTCCGAAAACACTCCATCGACTTGACATTATAAGATTTAGGAGACTACTTATTATTCATCACCTGGGGGAAGGGGGGTTTTGTTACGATCAAATCAACCTGATCCCCCCATAAGGCTCTATAATATTCTTACGGTCCCCGCCTCTTTAGCATTTAATTACCGGTCGATTGTCTTCAGAGCTCTCTTTATACTCTGCTGATGACGAATGACCCCCCTCCGTTCTCCTGAAAACACGGTGACCCCCCCGCGAAAATCCTCCGAACACACCACCCCCCTGTGATAAGATCCAGTAAATCTGCCGCTTACATGGAAAACCTTGTTTAATTATACTCCTCGGAGCATATCTCTGATTAGAATCTGCAGCACCAAGTAAACTTACACCTGCATTTAACCTGCTTGAAATCATCCACTTGGCAGTGAATAGTTCACATTTATCATCGCTCATATCCCTCCTGCATGACCGTCCCAGCATTCCAGTGAAGCCTTCGCTGTCTTTTCGCATCAAGCAGCTGGGGGAGTAGTCGACATACACAAGATTTTGTTTGAGTAGGAAAACTGGGTCCAACTGCTAAAGCCTGTTATTTTAGCCTTGAGGAAAACAACTTCAAATGGCGCCCTGAGTATTGTCCACAATGTTTTTACTTGGCAGGTATTGGAGTTAAAAGAAAATCCTCCGCCAAATCTTCCTTTCAGCTCTAAGCTTTCTTGGACAATTTGTTAACAGGAATGTTCAAGTCCAAATGATATTTAAAAAGGTCACGCTCTCTGGGATCCCACATCGTGATAACCAGATTTAGCACAAAATGCAAAGAACTTGTTTCAACAGGTACATCTTTCATATATTACCTAGATCTTGTCGCTGTAATGCAACTGCGGAGGACTGGGGTAGAAAAAAAAGGGTTTTGCGGTCGCTGGTCAGCAGAACAGATGAGCATAGTATCACCCATCTTTAAATATTTGTAAGACTCAGCGTTAACTCAAAGATGTTCTACGATGTTTTAAAATAGTTTCTTCATGCATGGAAACTTACCTTTGTTTTAACATTGTAGTTTTGAAAATTAACCACCGTCGAAGCATCCAATCGTAATTTTTTTCTTTCATACGCATAGCCGCTCTTTGACCGAACGCCATGTTTTCGCCACACCCACTTAAGTTAACTTTGCTGGTGTAAGTTCCACATCCACATCCGGGGATTCTTCGCAATGTGCACTGAAGAGTGAATTCATGGGTATTAGCGGAAGTAGTTATAGTATACATGAAAGCAGACCCTCGAATGGCTGTAAGGAAGAATAATGGGAAAATATTTGGTGACCACTGCTCTTTGCATAACATTAATTGAATCTGTGAAATCCTTGTGCTGAGTTCACGGTGTTCGCCACTACGACGGTGCTGCGGGAAATAGAACTGAAAGGGTGTTTTTCTCCTGCATCATACCTCTACAGTAGCAGCTAGTGGGGAAAATTGGATTTTCAACGAAATAATGAGATATCCGGGCTTAAGTCAAGTAGGTCTTACAATAGCGATAAGTCGACTCGTCAGAGAAGGTTAGCATTTTAAACATCTCCAATGGACAGTTCTAGATATCGTTTCTGTGTTCAGTGTCTTGAATCGGTATGACTATGAAAAGCATAATGTTGAGTAGGTATGGAAAGGCAGTTTCGATGCCGAAAAAACACAATCGTAGCCTAGCTTCTACAAAGTTTCCCTCCCCCCCACGTCCGAGTGACTGCAACTCACAACCCGCGCTTAATCATTCCTGACTTTGTTTTATATTTGCTAAACTTGCCCAATTCATTCCGATGTAATATATAATTGATAAAGCCTGTTAACATTACTTGTGTCGAGACCAAAATGAATGCAGTCAATATTGAAAGCCATACTGACTTAGGGGAGTGAAATTACAGATGGGTTGAAAAAAGATTTTTATTACATGCAGCGTTAGGACACATTTAATGCATCGGTGACTGCAATCGATTTGGCAATCTTAGTATCTTTATTGTACGACTCTGGACTAATTTGCCTGTATTCTGTTGTGTTTTGTTTTGTTTTGTGAATAAAAGACAAACATAGGAAAACGTAACGCACTTCTTTTAAATCTCCAAATCTCTTTCAGCTCTACTGGTCCTAAAAATTGGATTTATTCATCTCATAATTTTGATTATATATTCTTTGTTGCTTTCTCAGAAAGAAACCAGCATGTCTTCATACTAGTATTTTTTTGCGGATACCGTAACACTCTCTCTTTAGCCTCCTCAGGAAACTTTTATATCATAAGACCTTTGAGAGCACTGTGGGGTGGGGGGCACAAAAGGAAATGGGGGGAGGGGGGGATAGGGACCTTCAAATATCAAGGGTGGCAAGTCCCTAGTGTGCGAGAGGTAATAAGTTTTTTTTATATTCTCTTATAGTGTGGTGATAGCAAAATTTGTGCCATTTCATGTAATTTCATTCCTTACGAAATTATTTCCTCAATGCTGCAAAAACTACCTTCTTAGGCAGGACATCAAATCTCCAACAAAACATTGCAATAAGGAATGAAGTTATTTTAAAAATCGATCCACCTACATTCCGTGCTTATCGGGATTAAAGGAGAGAAAACGATGAGGCTCATCTCCATGTGATAAAACATAATTTTCAACAAAGTCTTCAACGAAAATTGGTTAAAACGCTCATTTACAAATTTGCTGGGATTGCTTAAAGGGAAACCAAGGAGATTAACGAAGATGCAATTGAAGATTTTTCTTCAGGAAAATAGCAGATGTAAAGGGCGTAAACATCAAATCTAATTATTGATGGTTTTCCTCATTTGTAATAGATATCATGTTATTTCGAGGTGGATAAAGTAAATAAGACTACAGTTGTTAGGTAATCAATGAGCTCCCAGTAATCAGACAAATGGTTTAAAGGAAAGAAACAAATGCACGAGGGTGGTGTTCTTTCGCCTGGAGAGGGATACCTCCGATGAATGGCTCAGAAACCCTTTTTTTTAACCGTGAATGCCCCTTCGCTGTGAAATACAGATGGGTTCAAAAAGGTGTTGAGGTGGTGGTTTATTACATGCAGCGTTAAAACACTTTGCCTGCAGCAGTTGGTAGTAAACACTCTCATTACGCATGCTCAACAGCTGAAAGATCTATTCATTCAATATTTTGTTTCGCTGGTGATGATTATACTGCAGATGGAAAAACATCTTATCTGTTATCTTCAGCGAGGATGAAAAACTATCGTCGCGTGGTTTGAATGAAACGCTGTCTTCAAGTGTATCTGACGTGCACTGGATGGGGCTTCAAACAAACCTGTAGCACCCACAACACACTTGGTAGAATTATTTCACAAAATAATGTTTTGTACTTTTAGGTCAATAAACACACGCACACACAATACACATGAGATACAATACAATAATACATTTGAGATACACTTAACATTACAGGAAGTTAACCATGAAATCTCTTTCTTCATGACATACAGTATAGCATCCGCTTACAGTGAACACCTTGTTTCATTATACTTCTCAGAGCATGTTTCACATTCAACTCTGCAGCACCAAGTAAACTTACACCTGCATTTAACCTGTTTGTAATGCTCCACTATTGTTGGGTTCAGTCCAATAGAATCACAGATAGCAGTGAATAGTTCACACTTATCATCGCTCATATCCCTCCTGCATGATCGTCCCAGAATTCCATCAATGCCTAAGCTGTCATTTCTCATGATGTAGCTTGACGAGTCGTCGAGATACACAAGATTTTGATCGATTGGGTAATGTGGGCGCAACTGCTGAAGTCTGTTGTTTATGAAGGACACCTGCAAGGCCCTGTGGTATTTTTCTTTAAGCTTTGAGGAAACAACTTTAAATGGTGCCAATACCGTCCACATTGTTTTCAGTCGGCAGCGATAGGAGTTAAAAAAGCCCCCTTCACATCTTCCTCTCAGCTGCAAGCTTTCTCGGACAATCTGTAGACAGGAAAAGTTCGGTATTTTTTTTTTAAAGTCCAAATAATGTTTGGAAAGTTCACGATATATGGGATCTAACATCCTGATAATGGAATTGTTAATAGATCGATTTTTAGTTTTTAACTTCTTCTGCAAAGATCCTTTTCATAATCATTTCTTAACCTGCAGTTCACATACATGATTTTCATATATTCATAATCATTTAATAATATAATAATAATAATAATAATGATAATAAAAATAGCAATAGCAATGATAATTCATAGAAGCTAGTTCCAGAATCCAACTATTTCTCTATCCTCTTGGCTCCAATAATGCTTAAGCTATGCTTCTTTTAGTTTTGCTTGTTAATTATAAATTGTTTTGTTATCGCATTGCAATTCCCTTTTTGTGAGACTTTTGTTTAATATGACAAGGTATTCCGCGTTTCAGGAAATTTCGTCATTCCATTTTAGGATATTCCACCATTCCACCATTCCACCATTCCACCATTCCACCATTCCACCATTCCACCATTCCACCATTCCACCATTCCACCATTCCACCATTCCACCATTCCACCATTCCACCATTCCACCATTCCACCATTCCACCATTCCACCATTCCACCATTCCACCATTCCACCATTCCACCATTCCACCATTCCACCATTCCACCATTCCACCATTCCACCATACCATCATTCCATCATTCCGTCCAAAAGGTTCACCCTGTGAGACTTCGGAACTTGCTCGCTCTGCAAATTTCACGCCTCTTCCGGGCGTTAGTCGCTAAATGCTCTCTCTTCAAAAGATTACACCTACCATTTAGGTATTTCTATGTGGAAAAGTTTTGTTGCCAATAGCGCGCCGAAATTATTTGTGAAATTATTTGAGATGTTTAACATGTTGAATAGGAGACTGACAGACAAAAAATAGTTATGAAATAACCAAAACTGTTACCAAGAAAACGATATTGAAACTCCATGAATATTCGCCATTTTAACCTGAGAGCATGTCTTCGTCCTTTTTCATTGTTGTCTTCTTCTGGGAAGCTTGTCATGGGAAGCATTTGTTATTTTACCTTTACGAGCTTTTCGTCTCAAATCGATCTAAATTCTCCTAAAGCCCAAAATCTTTTGTTTGGTATGTATAATTTGTAAAGTTATTTATTTTCTAATGTTCTCCCCAGATCTCGCTGCTGTTTGGCAGCAAGCGCAGAGGGTTGGGATACCGAAAGAAAGGATTATCCTGTCTAACGTCAAACTTTCTCTGACTGAGCGTGAACTAAAACTTGGTTACTGACGATGTTTTAAAATAGTTTATTTATGCATGATAACTTATTTTCGTTCCTAGATTGTAGTTATGCATATTTACAGCCGTCAAAGCATCCAATCGTAATCTTCTTTTCCGCGGTACTCGGAAAAGACGCATAGCCTCCCTTTGTCCGAACGCGATATTCTCGCCACATCCACTTCTGACACCATCGCCGTAATAAGTTCCACATCCACATCCGGGAATTCTTCCCAATGTGCATTGATGAGTGAATTCATGGGTTATAGCGGCAGCGGCTATGGCATACATAAAAGCAGTCTCCCGAGTGGCTGTAAGAAAGAGCAATAAGGGAAAGTATTTGTTACCACTGCTCTTTCCGCGATTAAACAAAAGTCTGTGTAAACCGGGTGCATGGACGGTTCACGGTTCACTACTGCAACGGTGCTGCGGGAAATAGAACTGAAAGGGTGTTTTTCTTTTGCGTCATACTTATACGTACATACATACGTCATACAGCTAAGGGGGAAAATTGGATTTTCAACGAACTAATGAGGTATCCGGCCTTAAGTCTTGTAGGTCTTACCATGGCGATAAGTCGACTCGTTAGAGAAGGATAGCATTTTAAACATCTCCGATGGACAGTTCCAGATATCGTATCTAAACAGCCTTTGGCATTCTCTTAATCCACGAAGAACTCCGTCTCTCGAAATATTCGACATCAAGGGATCATCCTGGAAAAGATCATCAGGTTGGAGAATAAATACAATAACATGGTGTATACCATCTCAGTGTGTTCTGTCTTGTATCGGTATGACTATGAAAAGTGTAATCTTGAGTAGGTTTTATTCACTGGAAAGGCAGCTTTGAGGCCACCAAAACACAGTCGTAGCCCAGCTTCTACAAAGTCCTCCCCTCCCCGTCCTTTTCGAGTGACCGCAACTCAAAGTGCGCGCTCAAACATCCCTCAAAGGTCATCATTTCACTTTTTTTACTACTTAATTTGTCCACTTCATTCCGATGTAATTTATAATTTAAAAAGCCTGTTAACATTATTTGCGTTGGAGCCAAAATGAATGTAATCAACATCGAATGGCCCGGTATATCGAGGCCTTAGGGACATGAAATACAGATGGGTTCTAAAAGGTTTTGAGGCGGAGGTTTCTTACAAGCAGCGTCGGGACAGATTTGCCGCACTGGTAACTGCAATCAATTTGGCGATCTTGGTATGTTAATTATATGACTTTGGACAACTTGAGCTGTATTTTTATGTAGTAAAGTTTTGTTTTGTGAATAAAAGGCGAACATACAGAAACGTAAAACACCTGTCGTTGTACAATTTTCAAATCATTTTCAGTTATACCAGTCCTGAAGATAAAAATTGGAATTACTCGTCTCATAATTTCGACGGTTTATCCTCTGTTGCTTTCTCAGAAAGAAACCAGTATTTCTATATACTGGTGCAATGTGCAGATACCGTTGCACCCTCTCCTAAGCCTCCACCGGACAACTTTATATCATAATACCTTTGAGTCCACTGTGGGATAGGGGGCACAACAGGAGATGAAGGGGGGGGGGGCTTGGGTCACTCAAATGTTTCAAGGTGGTAGACCTTTGATAGTATGCAAGAGATTATAAACAGTGCATATTCAGTTTATACTTAACATCAAATACCAGACAAAAAATTGCAATGAGGAATGAAGTTATGTAAATTTCATTTTAAGATTATCGGGTTTAATAGAGAGATAACGATGGGGCTCATTTCCATCTGATAAGTGCACTTTTGGATAGAGTGGAAAATCGCTTACTTAGTACAAATTTGATTGGAATGCTTAAAGAAAATCCAAGAAGATGAACGAAGTTGCAGTTGTGGGTTTTTCTGAACGAAAACAGCTCATGGAAGAGGCGTAAACACTAATCTAGTTATTGATAATTTTCTTCCTTTGTAATAGATATCATGCTATTCTGAAATGGATGAAGAAAGTAAGGCTTTGGTCCGCTAGGTAGCTTATAAGCGCTCAGTGATGGTCACAAGAGTAATTCGGTGGCAAAAACACATACACGAGAACGAGGGAGGATTATCTCCGATAAATGGGTCTGAAAATTTTTTCTACAACGAATGCCGCATTAGAAACAGCATCGCCATGACCAAGAAAAATATAAGGACACGTTGTTTCCTGTAAGAGGTGAATGATTGCGATTGATGATGTTAATACTTTTGTTTCTCACGCAGAATGACTACGCTACATATTGTGTAAATATGTTAAGTATAAATATGATTTGATCAACGTTTGTAGTCTACTAAGGCTAGACATTTAATTTGCCTTGTCCTGAATGTGACTGTAACTTACATTGCTCTCACCTGTAAACAAGCATCTTATATTGTGGACTTACTCGGTTGTCGTTTGGGATGGCTTTGCATTAAATGAACTGGTATGTAATGTCAGCCGACTTCCACACGACTCTCCAAGATGCACTACCGCAAAACCGAAAATAATTATGTGAAATAACGTAAAAAGCTTCATCTTCCTGACAAAACGATCACAGTCTGACGATCGCAGCAAAATAAAGATGACAATATACTAATTAATCCTGCTGATGAGTGGCAAAATTATGCTCGGTAAAACAATACGTGCTTTGTGGTATCATGGTATTATCTTCCATGAATTGAACAATACGTCGATGACCATCTGGGTTATTTGACCTCTTATTTTAAGATTCGAGTTTTCAAGACACGTCTACCATCTTTGCTTTGTGTATGTAGCGAGTAAATTGGAAGCAGATGTTTCAATTCATTTTTCTCTACAGCCAGAATTTATAAGCTTACTAATGGTTGCTATCAACTCTTTACCCCGTCAGGATAGCACTTGGATAAAAGTTACAATCAATCAATCAATCAATAGAGTCGTTTTCCACGATCAAACTTCTTCTGATTTAATACATCTAAAAAGGCTAAAAAGAATGAATACAAAAACAGCCTCCCCCCCCACACACACACACACACACAATCTGTATAAATAAGTACAACATTTGCATTTCATCTTTGAAAGTGCTCTTCAAAAGATGGCCTTTTGAGGACGTAAAGGAAGGAGCTTTAAGAAAACGTTTACTGGGGTAAAAAAAAAAGCTTAATTCTTTAGTCGAGCTAAGTTGCCCATGTAGTCGTATCTTATTCCATTTTCCATGGCATGAAACAACTAGGAGCGATTTTACTCCCCTGGATGGGAATCCAGTCCATCAAAAGTCTATCCCTTAGTATTTCATCAGTATTCTCTGATAATTAGAATGATTTCCATTTGTACTCCTGGGTGGACAGAGGAAGTGTTAGATCAAATTCTTTTGCCTAAAAACACAGCACAATGACCTAGTAAGGTCTCGAATTCCGACCTCTTGGACATTTATCTGGGAGAAACTACCTAATTACGCGTACGCTGAACAACTGAAGAATGCATTCAACGGTTTCTGCCGCTGGTCATGATTATGTGCGGACAGAAAACATTTATCTGTTTACTTGGGTGTGAATGAAACACTTATGTTGCGTGCTCTGAATGAAACTACTTCTTCACATTTATTTGGCGGGCTTTGGACGGGGCGTCAAACAAAGCTGTAGCATCTTATAACACACTTGGTAGAATCGTTTCACTATAAATGCTTTTTAAGAACAAGTCTCTGTAAGAATCAAACATCTTGGGAAATGAAAATTTTCAACCCCCCTTAAAATTTTGCATGCAGTTAGGGGGGATGCACAAAAATGCCCTTTTTAAAGGTCGTAGCACTCTTGTTGCCATGGTAACAACGACTGCTTGTTCGAGGCCTGGGGCCTCATTTTCATACAAAAACGTCGCAAAAAAAGAGTGAAATGTTTATTTCTCTATCTCAAGCTAAATACAACATTACAAATTGGCACTTCTACCATACATAGTGACATCATTCGTCTTCATTTTGATTTATTCAATTTTCCCTGAGAGTGAATGTGAATATTCCAATAGATTATTCATCTCGATACAGTTTCGGTCATTTTTGTTGTCGGGTAAAACAGGGAAAACGTTTATCTGAATTTCCCCAAAAGTACACCGATTCTGGAACTGAAACTACCCACCTAGCTGGTTATAATATTCTAGTTTTTAAATATGTAAAAATCTCTGCGGGCCTGTCTCTACTTTTTATAGGGGCAATACGCGAAATAAGATATTGCACAATTTGGCGATGTTTACATCTAATGTTCTCAACGAGAAATGTTTCAGACAAATGAAACATACACGGCTTTGGAAGAATGTTATCTTATGAGCAATATCCCGAAGAGAAATCTCGCCTCTGGTTGTCATATTTTAAAAAAAAATTGATGAAACTTAATAGAGGACTACTCGACGTAACTTTAAACATATACCTCAAATCGTGTGCATATCATCCAGATTCCGAGTGCTGCACCTTCTTTCATGGAATTTGAGCGACCCGAAGTCCTCTGAAGATACACTGATATACTTTTATGTCACTTTGAAACACGTTAAAGTCGGCTGATCTACACTAAAGTAGAGGGTCTGAATGGGGGTACTTCGATAACACTAAGCACACATTTTTTTACTGTATAACATTAAACAGTTAATTTTCAGCCATTTTAACACTAACTTTAAAAAATTCGTTATAACATTTTTTTTTTGCCATAAACAAACAAACCACACCCTAAAAGGGGAAATATCTATGTTGGGCCTATGTTTATGATCTCAAAGACGTTTTTTTGACCATTTTCCAACAATTCGGTATTATTTCAAGACTTCCGAAGAGTGAGGAAGATATCCGAAAGCTGCCGAAGATTTCCGAAAGCTGTCGAAGATGTCCAAAGACCGCCGGAGATGTTCACTGAGACTGCCAAAGATGTCCACAGACTTATGACCGACGATATTTGAAGACTACTGCAGATTTGGCTTGTATAACTCATAACAATTCTATTCTTAAAGCGCTTTTACAGCGAGGATTCACCAACCGTGACCACTTAGAGAGAATATATTAGTAACAAATCAGATTACGATATTCAAATGAAACAGCCAATGGGATAGAACATCGAAATAAACAGTAAAATTAAGCAAATTTACGGACTGCCATTCATTGTATGAATACATCAGTATGATTGGTTGGCTTTGTGAGATGGTCTTAGTTGGTGTATCTGCACTGTAAACAAAAAGAGATAAATACGAAAGTTACAAGGAAAATGAGAGTTAACATATATGAGTGTTTAAATCGACTAGTAATGAATGCAATAACAGAATATTCTTTTACCAATAAGATCGGCTACAGTGCTCACAATGTATAATGGTCAACAAAAATGACAGACATGTCACTCCATCCTGGCCAAAAACATTTGATTATATTCCATACCTGAATAGTCGCGATTGTACCAACTGTTTCTAGAGATCAAGGCGGAAATAAGCGCGGGTGGTGCGACCAAATCTGCTGAACGTTATGTCTGTATCATTATCCGCATCGCTCTCCGAGTCGGTGTCGAATTCATCCTGTTGCTCGGGGAGGTCTGTCACGTCACCAACTGCGACAACTCCGAGCATGCTTTCGTCAACAAAGGTGATTCTCGGTACTTCGTTTGTAGCTCGTGGAATATTTGTATCCTGGTCGACTCGTTCTTCATTGTCTGTCCCTGGATCATCTTAAACATCCTCTTGGAATGTTACTCTAGTACACGATGGCGTACTGGAATATACAGCTGGCGGTAGGGCTCCCGCTTTGTCTTTTGTTGATTCGCTTCTTACTGTCCTTGACAGGTCGATACCTGTCAACCAATTCCTTCATGGCTGCCTCAATGTTGGAGTCAACGTTATCAGCTGGAGGAGGTTTCACCAAATCTACGTCCCGTAACTCCACACTGGATTTAGACACTGGATAATAAGACTTCTCAAGTGTGAAGTACTTCGCACCTCACTTCGTTGTTCTCTTTAAAGATTCCTTTAAAATTGTTCCAAAGTCTTGAGCATACTGAAGAGCGGTGAAAGTCTCGTTTTTGAAGTGGGATACTGCATGAAGGTTCTCCACCTGAGTTGTTAGCAGCGTACGCAGGTCAATGTCACCAAGATAGTCCTCGTTTACATTCTTAACGTTATCTCGTAGCTGTTCCATACCTCTTTCGAGAAGTACCAATGACTCCTGTGTTTTTCTGGAAACAGTTCCTTCAGGGCCATTTATCGTTGCCGTTTCTTTCATTTTATAGTGCTGCCTTATAGTGCTGCTCCTCTCCTTCACAAAAGCAATTTTCTTGGTTACTGAGTTTCTTATTGTCAGTACTAAGCCCAAATCACCTGTACTATTTCTTCGGACTCAGTGGAAGGCTTGGTGTCATGCCAAGTTGTTGGTGTTTCCGGTGTTCTTGGCCAATAAGGAGAGACCACGATCATCTTCCCTAGTGACCAGCATGCACGAACAGAACGCCACTAGTTCCTAATTCGGTTGAAAGCGTGTGAATAAGGTTATGTAAGTTCGCCTGTCATCACTATCGTTGGAACTGTTATATCTACTGATCTAGCCTTATTTTCGTTTAAGTGTGGATCGGCGTTGCTTTAAAACATTCCGTGGTATTTGTTGACGATTGCAAATGAGAATAACGGAGAGATGTATATTTTGCTTTTCTTCTACAATATTTAGATTCTCCACCGATATGTTCTCCTTGCTGGCTTTTTCAAAGAGTGGTGTGTAATCATGATATACTGCATTGCTGAGCTGACGAGGGTTTTAAGCCAAGAGACTGAAAAGCTTCTGAAGTCTAAAGAATATCAGCGTACCGAACCAGCCCGACGAAAAGCCGGGATCCTCGCTGAAATTTTCTGCCGACTTGTGATCCATGAATCCGCTAACATTTAAGCAAAAATGTGCAATTCCTTGGTCTTTTGTTTACAAATTCCCTTGGACACGAAGGCCTTCTCTGCCACCTCTGGTTGAAAAGATTTTGACAAAAACCGATCAAAGTTCACGTATTTTTCAAGTTTAATAAAAGAAGTCCCGCTTGGAACTTTTGCCATGACCGCCTGAAAGTTGGGAATTAAGGTGGCCTTTGCCATGATCAGCTAATAGGCGAAGATAGACAGATAGTTTCCTTACAGGGGGTTGTCGCAAGCCTGCCGTCCTTAATATTTCCAATAAGTATTAATGTTTAAATAGTGTTCATCGCTGCGATTATCATTCTCAAATTCATTTATTAATCTGCAGTTCATATATATGATTTTCAGATATTCACAGTCATTTATTTACTACTTCACGGGTTTATTGCGACCTACGCTTCAATCACTCAGTTGATTAGTTCAGTTGATAGGGCACTGCACCAGTATCACTGAGGTTACGGGTATGACGATGGTATCGGTATGACTATGAAAAGTATAATGTTGAGTAGGTTTTTTTCATTGGAAAGGCATTTTCGAGGCCGAAAAAAAACACTAGCTTCTACAAAGTTTTCCCCCCTCCCGTCTAGGTACTTGCAACTCACAGCCCACCCTTGATCCGTCCCTGATTTTGTTTTATATTTGCTTAATTTGACCACTTCATTCCGATTTAATCTGTAATTGAAAAAGCCTATTAACATTACGTGTGTTGGAGCCAAAATGAATGCAGTAAACATCAGATGGCTTGGTTTGTCAAGGCCATACTAACTTAGGGAAGTGAAATACATATGGGTTCAAAAAGACGTTAGGCGGTGGTTTATTACATGCAGCGTTTGGACACATTTAATGCGCCGGTGACTGCAAATCAATTTGGCGATCTTAGCATATTTATTTTACGACTTTGGACTTATTTACCTGTATTCTGTTGTGTTAAAGTTTTGTTTTGTGAACAAGAAACTACGAAAACGGAACACACTTCTTTCCAATCTTTAAATTTCAGTTATACCGATACTGAAGACAAAAATTGGAATTATTCGTCTCATAATTTCGATTGTGCATTCTCTGTTGCCCCTCCGGAAGAAATTTATATCATAAGACCTTTGAGTGCATTGTGGGGTAGGGGGCACAATAGGAAAGGGGGGGAGGGGGGGAAAGGGACCCCCAAATTTCAAGGGGGGGAAGTCTTGGATAGTATGCGAAAGATTATAAACTGTTTATGTTCTCTTGTAGTATGATGATGGAAAATTTATGCCATTTTATACAATTTCATTCATTACGAAATTATTTGTTTCCATTCCTCAATGCTGCAAAAACGACCTTCTCAGGCAGGACGTCAAATCTCCGACAACAAATTACAATTAGAATGAAGTTATGTTTACACGTAGGAGGGAAATTCATTCCGTGCTCATCGGGATTAAAGGAGAGATAACGATGAAGCTCATCTCCATGTGATAAAACATCGTTTTCAACAAAGTCTTAGATGAAAATTGATTAAAAAGCTTACTTAGAGCAAATTCTATAGAGTGGCTTAAAGGTAATCTATGGAGATTAACGAAGATGCAATTAAAGGTATCTCTTTAGGAAAATAGCACGTGTCAGGAGCGTAAACATCAATCTAATTGTTGATGGTTTTCCTCCTTTGTAATAGATATCATATTATCTTGAGGTGGATAAAGTAAATAAGACTAAAGTTGTTTAGGTAATCAATAAGCTCCCAGTAATCAGACAAATGGTTTCAAGGAGAGAAACAAATGCACGAGAAGGGTGGTGTTCCTTCGCCTGGAGAGGGATACCTCCGATGAATGGCTCTGAAACCCTTTTTGCTCACCATGAATGGCCCTTCGCTATGCTTTGCCTGCAGCAGTTGGTTGATGTTATTGATGTTGTTTCTTAATGACACGAAATGTTTACGCTTGGCTTAGATAATTCACATGTACATCTTGCGTAAATATGTGAAATGTTGAAATGTGAATACGATGTGATCGATAAATGTAGTCTACTACGGCTATTGGTTCAGTCGCTTCGTTCTAAATATGATAGTAACCTCAATTTCCCTTAGCAAGTATTTTTAATTGCGCATTTACTCTGTCATCTTCTGGGATGACTTCGCATGAAACGAACTGGTACGTATCATCAGTCGACTTCCAAACGACTCTCCAAGATGCACGACGGACAAACTAATCACGCGAAATAACGTGAAGAGTTTCCTCGTCCTAACGAATCGATCCTACGATCAGTCCTACGATCGCAACAGAAGTAACGTGATAACATACTTAGTCCTGTTGATGAATGCGGGCAAAACTATGCTCGGTTAAACGATAAGTGCTCTTGTGGTTAAACCTTCATTACGTTTATGAACCATCTGGGTTATTTTATCTCTTAGAGCAAGATCCAGCTTTTCTTAACAAGTTAAACGTTTTTGTATTGTGTATGTGGCTTGTAAATTGGGAGCAGATATTACACCTCGTGTTTCCTGATGTCAGAACTATCCACCCTCCCTCCACTCCTTCCCAACTCAGCGCAATGCATGTTATCAAGTACGAAAAGACTGCACCTTGAGTAACACTTACTGTAAACGAAATGTAGAGACCTCTTTTACGACTACACTGCCCCGGATAAAATAAATTCAAAAACGCTAAGGAAGATAAGACATAAGCTTACCAGCTTTGTTTTTACATGTGGGGCTGCCCTTCACGGATAAATTAGTTCACCGATCGCATTTAATTTTTTGAAATTGCTCCTCCAAGTTGATTGAATTAAAACAGCGGAATTGTGTGGACGGAGAAAAGTTTGGAAAGGAACTTTGGGAAAACACTGACTCGGTTATTCCTTTATTCATGGGGAAGATGGGGGGTAAACACTTTCATTACGCATGCTCAACAGCTGAAGGGTCTATTCATTTAATATTTTGTTTCGCTGGTCATGATTGTAATGCAGACGGAAAACCATCTTATCTGTTATCTTCAGCGAGAATGAAAAACTATCGTCGCGTGGTTTGAATGAAACGCTGTCTTCAAGTGTATCTGGCGTGCATTGGATGGGGCTCCAAACAAACCTGTAGCACTAACGACACACTTGGTAGGATTATTTCAAAATATGATGTTTTGTACTTTTAGGTCAATAAACACACGCACACATTTAATATACTTGACATTGCAGGAAGTTAACCATGAAATCTCTTTCTTCATGACATACAGTATAGTATCCGCTTACAGTGAACACCTTGTTTCATTATACTTCTCAGTGCATGTCTCACATTCAACTCTGCAGCACCAAATAAACTTACATCTACATTTAACCTGCTTGAAATGCTCCACTATTGTTGGGTTCAGTCCAATAGAATCACAGATAGCAGTGAATAGTTCACACTTATCATCGCTCATATCTCTCCTGCATGACCGTCCCAGCATTCCATGAATGCCTAAGCTGTCATTTCGCATGATGTAGCTTGGCGAGTCGTCGAGGTACACAAGATTTTGATCGATTGGGTAATGTGGGCGCAACTGCTGAAGTCTGTTGTTTATGAAGGACACCTGCAAGGCCCCGTGGTATTTTTCTTTAAGCTTTGAGGAAACAACTTCAAATGGTGCCAATACCGTCCACATTGTTTTCACTCGGCAAGGATCGGAGTTAAAAAAGCCCCCTTCACATCTTCCTCTCAGCTGCAAGCTTTCTCGGACAATCTGTAGACAGGAAAAGTTCGGTATCTTTAAAAAAGTTCAAATAATGTTTGTAAAGTTCACGATATATGGGATCTAACATCCTGATAATCGAATTGTAGATGGATCGATTTTTAGTTTTTAACTTCTGTCATCAGCTTTTTTAAAATGATGATATTTCATAGTGGGCCACAAGTTTATTATCTATGGGCTATTAAGTGCCACCCCTTGAAATAATAACAATAACAATTATAATAATAATAATAATCCGCAGTTGACATACATGATTTTCATATATTCATAGTAATTTTATAATAATAATAATAATAATAATAATAATGAAAATGATAACAATAGCAATAGTGATGATAATTCATTGAAACTAGTTCCAGAATCCAACTATTTCTCTATCCTCTTGGCTCCAATAATGCTTAAGCTATGCTTCCTTTAGTTTTGCTTGTTAATTATAAATTGTTCTGTTATCTCATTGCAATTCCTTTTTTGTGAGACTTTTGCTTCATTTGACAAGGCATTTCGCGTTTTAGGAGGTTCCGTCATTCCGTGTTAGGATATTTCACCTTTCCACCGTTCCATCATTCCGTCTAAAAGGTTCACTCTGTGAGACTTTGAAACTTGCTCGCTCTGCAAATTTCGCGCCTCCTCTGGGCGTTAGTCGCTAAATGCTCTCTCTTCGAAAGATCACACCTTCCATTTAGGTATTTCCACGAATAAAAGTTTTGTTACCAATAGCGCGCCGAAATTATTTGTGAAATTATTTGAGATGTTTAACATCTTTTGGAACTAAAAAAATTATATCTTCGCATCTACTGGGCATAATTCGCTGATTCAAACGATGAAAGGCTCTCTCTTTTAAGAAATTTTTTCTCTTAGATTTCATGATGCCCTGATCACACCTATTAAGACATTCCTGCTAGAAAATTTTGTTTTTAACTACGCGCCATCCTGAAATGATTGTGAGGCGCTTTTGTCTGTAATGTCACGGCAAGAACTGAAAAAAAATGACACCTTGGTTTTCTTAGGGCACAAAATAATTTGTTTCGAAGACATTCTTCTTTCTTAAGTGTATGCTACGCCCAGTAATTGCTAGCGCGAATGTCGATCACGAAGATCCTCCGAAATAAATAATAAGCGAAATTTGTTCAAAATCGGTTAAGTTCGACATTCTATTGGTACCTACTATCACTCACTCACGAACTCACTCACTCATTTCGATAACATGTGTGGCTTCACCTCCTACGGGAGGCAATAGCCTCAAAAGTATGCTAACAAAGAATCGCTGTGTGTTTACTGTAGGAGACTGACAGACAAAAAAATAGTTATGAAATAACCGAAACTGTTACGGAGAAAACGATATTGAAACTCCATGAATATTCGCCATTTTAACCTGAGAGGATGTGTTCGTCCTTTTTCATTGTTATCTTCTCCTGGGAAGCTTGTCATGGGAAGCATTTGTTATTTTACCTTTAAGAGCTTTTCGTCTCAAATCGATGTAACTTCTCCTAAAGCCGAAAGCTTTTGTTTGGTATGTACAATTTGGAAAGTTATTTATTTACTAAAGTTTTCCCCAGATTTCGTTGCTGTTTTGTAGCAAGCGTAGAGGGTTGGGATACCGAAAAAAAGGATCGTGCTGTCCAAAGTCAAACTTTCGCTGACTGAGCGTGAACTAAACTTGGTTACTTACGATGTTTTAAAATAGTTTATTTATGCATGATAACTTACTTTTGTTCCAAGATTGTAGTTGTGCATATTTACAGCCGTCAAAGCATCCAATCGTAATCTTCTTTTCCGCGGTACTCGGAAAAGACGCATAGCCTCCCTTTGTCCGAACGCAATGTTCTCGCCACATCCACTTATAACACCATCACCGTAATAAGTTCCGCATCCACACCCGGGGATTCTTCCCAATGTGCACTGGTGAGTGAATTCATGGGTTATAGCGGCTGCGGTTATAGCATACATAAAAGCAGTCTCCCGAGTGGCTGTAAGAAAGAGCAATAAGGGAAAGTATTTAGTTACCACTGCTCTTTCCGCGATTAGACAAAAGTCTGTGTAAACCGGGTGCATGGATGGTTCACGGTTCACGGTTCACGGTTCACTACTGCAATGGTGCTGCGGGAAATAGAACTGAAAGGGTGTTTTTCTGCTGCGTCACACTTATACAATGGCAACTTAGGAGGAAAATTGGATTTTCAACGAACTAATGAGATATCCGGCCTTAAGTCTAGTAGGTCTTACCATAGCGATAAGTCGACTCGTTAGAGAAGGATAGCACTTTAAACATCTCCGATGGACAGTTCCAGATATCGTTTCTAAATAGCCTTTGGCATTCTTTTAATCCACGAAGAATTCCTTCTCTCGAGATATTCGACATCAAGGGATCATCCTGAAAGAGATCATCAGGTTGGAGTATAAATACAATAACACGGCGTACCCCATCTCAGTGTGTTCAATGTCTTGAAACGGTACGATCATGAAAAGTATAAAGTTGAGTAGGTTTTTTCTCTACTGGAAAAGCAGTTTCGAGGCCAAAACGACACAATCGTAGCCCAGCGTCTACAAAGTCCTCCCATTCGTCCCCTTCAAGTCATTATTTCACTTTGTTTTCTATTGCTTCATTTGTCCACTTCATTCCCATGTAATTTATAATTTAAAAAGCTTGTTAACATTTTTTGCGTTGGAGCCAAAATGAATGTAATCAACATCGAATGGCCTGGTATATCGAGGCCCTAATAACTTAGGGACATGAAATACAGGTGGGTTCTAAAAGGTTTTATTACAGGCGATCAATTTGGCGATCTTAGGATGTCTATTATATAACTTTGCACTACTTGAGCTGCATTCTTTTGAGGTATTGTTTTGTTTTGTGAATACAAAATGAACATACGAAAACGTAACTCACCTTTTGTTGAATAATCTTCAAATCACTTTCAGTTATGCCGGTCCTGAAGATAAAAACTGGAGTTATTCGTCTTATAATTTCGACGGTTTATCCTCAGTTGCTTTATCAGAAAAAAACCAGCTTGTCCACATCCTGGAGCAATGTGCAGATACCGCACGTAACACCCTATCCTGAGCCTCCTCCGGACAACTTCATATCATAATACCTTTGAGTCCACTATGGGGCGGGGGGGACACAGTAGGAGATGGAAGGGGGGTCGCTCAAATGTTTTAAGGAGGTAGAACTTTGATAGTATGCAAGAGATTGTAAACAGTTCTTATTCAGTTTATATTTGCCTTTAAATCTCAGACAAAAAATTGCAATGAGGAATGAAGTAATGTAAATTTCATTTTGAGCTTATAGGGTTAGATAGAGAGATAACGATGAGGCTCATTTCCATCTGATAAGTGTACTTTTCGATAGAGCGCAAAAACGCTTAATTAGTACAAATTTGATAGGAATACTTTAAGAAAATCCAAGGAGATGAACGAAGTTGCAGTTGAGGGTTTCTCTGAACGAAAACAGCTGGAAGAGGCGTAAACACTAATCTAGTTATTGATAATCTTCTTCCTTTGTAATAGATCATCATGCTATTTTGAAGTGGATGAAGAAAGTAAGGCGTTGGTCCGCTAAGTAGCTTATAAGCGCTAAGTGATGAACACAAGAATAGTTTTGGGAAAAAAAAAACATGCACGAGAACGAGGGAGGAATATCTCCGATACATGGGTCTGAAAATTTTTCTACAACGAATGCCGCATTAGAAACAGCATCGCCATGACTAAGAAAAATATAAAGACACCTTGTTTCCTGTAAGAGGTGAATGATAGCAATTGATGATGATAATACTGTTGTTTCTCACGCAGAATGATCACGCTACATCTTGTGTAAATATGTCAGGTATAAATATGATTTGATCGACGTTTGTATTCTACCAAGGCTAGATATTCAATTTTCCTTGTCCTACATCGCCCTCAACTGTAAACAAGCATCTTAAATTGTGGACTTACTCTGTTGTCGTTTGGGATGGCTTTGCATGAAATGAACTGGTATGTAATGTCAGCCGACTTCCACATGACTCACCAAGATGCACTACCGACAAACCGAAAATAATCATTTGAAATAACGTGAAAAGCTTCATCGTCCTAACGAAACGATCACAGTCTGACGATCGCAGCAAAATGAAGATGGCAATATATATACTAACTAATCCTGCTGATGAGTGGCAAAATTATGCTCGGTAAAACAATACGTGCTTTTGTGGTATCATGGTATCATCTTCCATGAATTGAACAATACGTTGATGACCATCTGGGTTATTTGACCTCTTATTTTATGATTAGAGTTTTTAAGACACGTCTACCATCTTTGCTTTGTGTATGTAGCGAAATTGGAAGCAGATGTTTCAATTCATGTTTGTCTAAAGTCAGAATTTATCAGCTTAGTAATGGTTGCTATCAACTTTTTTTTACCCCGTTAAGATAGCACTTGGATTAAAGTCCCAATCAAAGAGAAGTACAGGGTCCTTACATATGTTCACACTGCTTCTGATTTAGTACATCTAAAGAAGCTAAAAGGATGAATACAAAAAACACAACTTCTTTCGTTTAGGCCTACCCCCTACCCCACCTGCCCCACACTAATCTGTATTAATCAGTCCAACATTTGCAACATTAATCAGTCCAACATTTGCAACAGTAATCAGTCCAACATTTGCAACATTAATCAGTCCAACATTTGCAACATTAATCAGTCCAACATTTGCAACAGTAATCAGTCCAACATTTGCAACATTAATCAGTCCAACATTTGCAACAGTAATCAGTCCAACATTTGCAACATTAATCAGTCCAAAATTTGCATTTCGATGCTCTTTAAAGTCCACACAAAGCCGGATTTTTGAGGACAAAAAAAGAGGGAGCTTTAAGAAAACGTTTACTCAGATGTTCTCAGTATTTATCTGGGGAAAAAAAAAAGCTAAATTCTGTAGTCGAGCTAAGTGGCCTACATAGTCGTATCTTATTCCATTTTCCATGGCCTGAAACAACTAGGAGTAATTTTACTCCCCCTGGAATCTAGTCCAGATAAAGTCTATCCCTTCAGCATTTCGTCAGTATTCTCTGATAACTCAAATGATTCCCATTTATACTCCTGGGTGGACAGAGGAAGTGTAAGATTAAAGTATTTTGCCTAAAGCATGGCACAATGACCCTCCAAGGGCTCGAATTCCGACCTCATCGACCTTTATTGGGAGAAACTACCTAAATACGCGCATGCCGAACAGCTGAATGGTGCAGCCGTTTCTGCCACTGGTGATTATTATACTGTAGACGGACAAACCAAAATACGAAAAGTATTCAGTGACTTTGGTGATGGCATTTCTCGCGACTGAGAACAAAAATCGACATCTGGAAGATTTGCCACAGGCCGATTTTGGCCGTGTACCTGAAAGATTTCTGTCGGTAAGGCCCAAGTCAATAACTAAGAATTTGTAATATTGACAATTACGCCCATTGTTTATTTTGTGGTGATTCAACGCTTGTTTTATTCTTGAGTGCGCCAAGGCACTTTCCAATTTTTATTTGGGGGTTGTCGATCCTCTTATTTTTAATTCATTAATAAAGTCGACTCTTTTAGTCAGAAAAAGGCTATTGTGTTTATGTGATGGACAAAATTATACATGGTTGCTTGTAGATATGAAATTTCTCGTGTTCAACTCGACATCTTTCCCGTTCGCTGCGTTCAATCGTTGGTTATCGAGTTAAACATTCGAAGAGAAATTCCATATTCCATATCTACGCGCACACATGTATTATTGCCAATTACAGAGACAGCGACAATGAGAGCGAAAATCAAAATGATGTTACAGTGTGTTACACAACAATGTAATTAGCACCTTTGCACAAGTATAGTAGTGGGGGTGATAGTGACAAGAACAAAGACAGCCACATTGATAGTGACAAAAACAGGGACAATGACAGTGGAAGTTGAAATGACAGAGAGAGTGACACTGACAGTGACAGTAACTGTGTGAGTCACAGAGACAGTCACATTGAAGTAACAATGGCTACAACAGATGGTGGCCGTAACAGTGACTTAAAAAAGACATTGACAGTGACAGTGGTGGTGAAAGTTGTAGTAGCAGCGGCAATGACATTGACATTGAAATTGACAAAGACAGAGACAGAGATTGTAACGGTAAATGATTTAGAGACTGTGACAGACATCGACAGTGACGGTGTCTGAGATTGTGACTCTGACAAAGACAGTGGCATTAACACTAACAGTGACAGGGACAGTGAAAGTGGCAGTGACTTGTACAGACACAGAAACAGTCACAGTGACAGAAAGAGAGACAGTGACAGTGAAGTTGGAACAACACTTTAATAGACAGTGAAAGTGACAGAAACTGTACAGTAAAGCTAAAAATCCTTTCTGGGTTTTTGTCTGATATATCGCATGTTTTGAAGGACTCTGATCTATATGAAAGGTGGACATTTTCCTCCCGTAATGACCTGGGCCGATTATGGATCGTTTTCGCTTAGTCAACATAGCAAGTGCTCAGTTTGAGGTTTTCCCGTAACGACCTCATTCTTGGGTTGTAAGAGGTCATTAACACACTAATCTAAAGACATTAGAAGGTGAAAACTATAAAGAATTGCGAAAAATATATGAAACGATTAAACGGTTCATTTGTCTACGAAACCTCCATGAACCACAACATTTTCCATAACTTCTTACCGAACTGTCCATTTCAAACGTCAAAAATGTATCTTTTAATCGTGTCATTTCACATTTCGAAAAATATTCACAAAGATTAAGTCTCTAACGGAACGCTTGATCTGGCCTACAAAAGTCACAAAGCACCACCATTTAATTTGTGACGAGTCACCGCAGTAATCTAATTTCTTTCAATAACCTTAACGAATTAGTTTCCTGCACCCTAGGGAAAGCACTATTGCATGAATCTGTTCTTAAAAGTGTGATGAAACAAAATACCATCTTGGATAATAAAACAATTTTGTTTACACACTGTATGTGTCACTTTTACGCAAGTTATCCAAAGCTTTTTTGGTTTGTTTACGCCAGTTACTCCCGAGGTACGTAAAACTTAATTTACGTTGCAGCGTAACCGTCGGCTGACCGCGTAAAGGTAATAAGGTATTCAGGATAACACTGATCGTCATGGAATATGACGAATATAGAAGGATCGTCTGAGTTGTCTACCACCGAATCAAATCGAAGGTCAAGTCTCTCTTGGTCAATGGGTGGTGGTTGCCTCATCCCTTTCTCGCCATCTGCGTATTTACCCGCTAGCACTTTTGCAAGATACATGCAGTACTCTCCCTTGCTGTTGGGTGGCTTCGAGAAAGATAAAGAGTAACAAGACTCAGTCGCGAAATAAACACCATCTCCATAAGTCGCACCTGCGGGTAAAATTAGTTGTTAGCCAGTTAAAAAAGCTATCTCAGTTTATTGAATGATTGGGTTATGCGTAGCGTGCGTATGTAGATTTATGGATACACGCGGGAGGTTTGGAGAGCACGTGAGAAGCGTTAGACTTACTCGAGGCGTAGCCGAGAGCAGCTCTTGCTTCTCTCCAAGCTTCTCAAGTACGTTCACAACTCGATATACGCACAGCTTAAAGCATTACCAATTCTTTTAGAACATAGCATGCAAACACAAGTCACGCACGAACAAAGAGTTTACTACAACGGTGTCGGGTTTACAGGTAATCGTTTTATACCTAAAAACTATGACAAAGCCAAAACGACCAAGAAATACTTCGAGGCCAAATCTTTATTCAAAGAATTGAAGATTTTCTGCTCAGAAGCGAAAAGTGAACTGGGTTATTGCATGTACGAGACCGCGTAGTAGATTCAGCACACTTAAATCGTTGTTTACTGAAATTCAAAACCAGAAAATTGCGTATGTTTAATATTGGAAATTTAGAAAATTCTGAAATTGTTCGATTTTAGAAATAAAATCTTCTGTTAAACCCAAGGACATATCAACACTTAAAAAAAATGTCTGCAGTTCGAAAAACGAAGCAAAAAACTTACAAATTACTTGCATTTACGTGACTCGTGTGGCAGATTTGTTGTTTACTAGAACCTACAACCAGAAAATTGCGTAGCTTTTTGTTGAAAATTTTGAATTTTGTACGATTTTAAAGCAAAATTTTCTGGAGAACAACACTTCTGGGACATATTAACGCTTTAAAACAATCTTTACCGGTTTAAAGAAGAGTCCTCATCGTCCCAAAGCCTCAGTTGAAGTAAAAAAGTTAGAAAAGAAGAAGGATGAACAATTAATGAAAGGTGGAGGATCTAAGTAGGTTTGTTTCTAAGAACTGCGTTGATCAGGGTCCTACCTTCTAAACGAGAAAACACGATCATAGCTTTTTTATTAGTGCGAGTTCATGTTAATGGCATTTTCTCAACAAAAGGGTGGGCTCTTCCAGTTAATCAGGACCTCATAGAATGTTTGCTGATCAAGTAGGCAATTGAAGAGTCCTTTCACGTTTTTGCACACGAATAAAGGTAACTTACGATAGATTTTCACCAAGATTTGAACTCGTAGGTGAAACACTTACCATTCCTACCACAGAAGCTTCGATTTAACCCATGTGCGTTTATGTCCTTGACGTTATGATATGCTGTACCGTGGAATAGGCACCACTCGTTTCTGTGGTTTCCATTTTTCTCGTCCATACTTTGTTTTTTCGTGGCGTAGGAACGATACATTGATGGGTTCTGGATCCTCTGAATACTTGTTACACAGACATTCTCGGAAATTGATTCCACGAATTTCTCATTAACGTCTTTGTACTCCGGTGAATCTGCATCAAGACGCATTGAATGGACCTTCACTTCTCTCTTCTTGGCATCCAAGGGATGGCAGTCCCAGTTCTTTGGGAGTGGCAACACTATTTGACGTGGATGTAGAAAATATTGGTAAGGAACCCTAAATCATATACATTTCAATACACCTATATCATTAAATAGCATTAACCGTAAACGTTAAAATTTCCTCAATTGCGTTTGGTGCATCAGCTGCTTTATTATTCACTGATTATTCTGTGTAGTTGTAATTGGACAGAGTACCCGGAAAGTTAGCTGTAAACAGACACTTGTAATCTCACAGTTGAAGCAGCCAATCATACTAAGTCCGCTCAACTTGATTCACCAATCACAAAATTGATCACAATAATCATAGCAACACAACATATCCTAAAAAAAAAAACTGAGAATTTCCAAAATGGAGGTATTTCTACTTCAGAAATTGTCTTTACCAGAGATAATTGTCCTAAATGAATTTTATTTTCAGAAATTGTAACGGTTATGATTAAATTGTAACAGGACTTTGTCTCGTCCAATTCGGTCAGTAATCATATTCGTGATTGACAAATCGGACTCGCTTCGCGGTCGTCCGATTTCGTCAATCACTCATATGATTACAGACCGAATTAAACTCCACTCGGTCTTAGTATCATTATCAATCAGTGCTTATAACGTGAACAAACTGCATCTCACAGGTCATTGCTGAACTTGTCCTTGTAATCGTCTCGACTTAACAAGTAACAATAGCAGAGCCGTAACTTTGCAAAACCTTCTATTTCAATTTCGGTTGGTAAGAATTATCATCAACCGCATTCAACTTTTTAAGTAAGGCTTTCTGCAAAGGTTCAAGGGTGGGGCTCAAAGCCCGCGAAATGGCCATCTAAAGTAATCGCTTACCATCCCTACGAAAGACCTTCCTCACTGCCCCAGTTATATTAAAGGTGACGTTTTCCTGAGCGAAAACTATTTTGGCTTGCCATTTCCTATGAGTGAAGTAAACAGATGGCTCATTTGACTGTTGTGCTGTTTCGATTTCGTAATTAGCCATCTTCTCAAATGGTTCCTATTGACTATCCGCAGTTAAGAAACACCATTGAACATTACGCGACATCATCTCTGCCCGTTCCATTATGTGTTCGTTCTTCAATTGTTCCTGAAGAACTTTCGTTACTTCGGTATGCATTTTAATCACATCTGTGGAAAAGCCTGTCAGTGTTATGGTTCCTTGTTTGGAGAAGTCAAGACCCACGTCCTCTTCACGAGCCTTCCGTCTCAAATGCCTTCGACAGCGACTTGACAGACGTTCGATGACGTCCTCTATAATATCAGTGGGCGGGCATTCTCTGATGACTTTGTCTTTCAAACTTGGTATTGCCTCCGCAAGGCGCTTGCTTCGCCCGTACACAGTCACGTTATGGTGATAGCACCAGGACATCGATGTGGCATCAGCTCCCCCCTCCTCGTCGTCATCTAATTTAGTGTAACCAGGGGTGCAACAGAGTTCAGCTTTCATTAGTTTCAATTTCCTTTCGTAGACATTTATCACAGAATCTTCTACGACAACAATTCTTATGGAACGTACTGTGCCAAGGTTTACCTCTTGAAGTGACCCTATAACTACCTCGGCGGAATCCTGTGGACTTAAACCTAAGCCACCGCTACCAATTGCTGGAATAGAAATCGTCTTCAGACCTTTGTTGCGAGCTTCCTTCAGAGCTTCTTGGATACATTTGAGGAGATGCTGCATTTTTCCGGATCCAACAACCATATGAATTATCCAATGGACTTTCAATTTACCTGCAGATGTTGTAACAACGGACCCAGGAGGCTGAGGATAATATTTTGACAGCTCTTCTTGTACTTCCTCGCCACATACTTCAAGGATGGCTGCACTAAGCTTTCCAGTGGTCATTTGCATATCCTGGCGAACTACGTTGATGATTCCATCTGTTCTTTGTTCAGTGATGTCTCCTTTCACGACCTCCACTAAAACATCACCGATATAGACTTTGGCACACTTTGACTCTGACGAAGGAGGTGTCTTCTTTCTCTTCCCACTCAGTTGGCCAATGAATGGTTTTTTCTGAAGAGGAAACGTACGCTGAGGGTCGTCCTTGAAATGCTTGAATTTATCTTCAAAGCCTGAGATCCCTTCTTGATCCTTTTCATACACAATAAATCTAAACTCTTCAATAGGGGAGTTAGGAAACGTTTTGCTGTAGCTCAGAGCTTCGTCGACCATGACCTGGACTGCTACATCATGTGGAAAGTCAAGATTTCCTGTACCAATGAGAGGTAGGGCAATAGAGCCACACCCAACTTCGGAAGTGGCATTAAAGCAGTTCCTCATTAAACCCTGGAGAATCTGTTAGCCAGACAGAAAGAACGTTAGCATTAAATGACAACAATTGAAGGATCAAATTTACTTGAATTAAGAAATAGTTCTGAATCCCTTTCTTTGGTTATAAACAGTTATTTCAGCTGAGTAAAAGTAACTTTTGAAAATATTATTGAGGTGAAAGGCGTTGTAGACTCAATTTTGCATTTCTTCATCGGCCACAAGTCATTCTTCGGTTAAGAAGAGTGGTTGCAATGCGTTTATTTGATGCTTAGAATGGATTGTATTGAATACAAGATTAAATTATGTTTAAAGGCTTGCAAAAAAGGATTTGTAAGGGGTTAGAGAAATGTATCCTCCTGTTTTCAGCCAATAAAGTTTTTCTTACCTGCTTAGCGGCAGTCTCCCCATCACTCCACGGGCAACACGCACAAAAAACGACATGATCACAGGCTAGTTTTCCCGCCTTCAGGGGTAAATGTACGCGAAGAACTTTTCCAGGATCTAAATAATGTATTCCAGTCTCAGTCAGGGCACGTTGCAGTGCTGGTCCACCAGTTTCGTTGAAAGCTCGCGCCACTGCACCGATGGACAACTTCAAATTTGACCCAACTGAACACACTAATACTCCCGCCTATCAAAAAAATTTCATTGTTATGAGAAAAACTCGAGGGAAATTTAAGCTTAATTCAAGTAGCTCATAGTCACTGGTTTATGCAAAAATTGGTCGTTCGCACTTTTCTTTAACTAAATGTTTGTAGATTTATAGCACTTGTGGTTTATTCGTTGTGGTGAATACACTTGTAATGGGGTATTATCTTTGGTTTCACGTATAACTTCCCTTTTTTCAAGTGTTTTACCAAATAACAAGTATCACGGAGGAATACGTAATATTTTGTCCTCAGAAGGCTAAACAACTGAAAGGGTTCGTTTTGAATATGACTTAGAGACAATCAAGGGTTCTTTGCATACCTCTTCTTCCTCAATTCTCCCAATTTTCCAGATAATCTTCTTGCCTTCCTGGGTGACTATGGTGTCATCATCTTCATCAAAGGCTTCCTCTTCAGAACTTATGCTCGAAGTTTCATCAACGTCATCCGGGTCTTGCCATTCTCCCATACACTCTTGTATTTCGATAACGCACTCATTTTCTTTTTCTACAACTCCGACGACTTCCTCTTTGTTTTTCGCCAGGAAACTTCGCATCCCTGGCAAGATAACCCTACAAGTTTCCTCTGTTATATCATCCTGCATAGCATTCAATTTGTTCGTAACTTCCTTCACGCCTTCAACAGCCCCAGTGAAATGCATATCTCCATTTTCCTCCCAAGAAATTTTTACTGAATGCAACGAAAGGCTCTCTTCAAGTTTCGTTATCTCATCTTTGTAAAATTCACGGAACAGTCTTTGATGGACCGGCGAATTGAATCTGAATTCTCCTTCCTTCGCTTTCTTCTCGTTTAAAAATTTAGTCAATGCTTTTACAACTTCATCGACGCCTTTCTTGAATCCAAAAACATGAAATTCTGTCACTGACCCTCTTTGACAACGAACTTTAGAACGTTTTTCAAAGTTGCGGCAAATTTGTTTCCATTCGTCTGATTGCAGGATGTCGTTGTCTCTATCTTTGATGTGAAGTCTGCCAGTGATCAGCGTCGCCTCAGCCACTTTACGGCCTCTAACTGTGTCTTCAGGAGCTCTTCCCAAGAACAGAATCTTGTTGTTGCTCTCATCGATATTGAAGGTACAATGAAGGTTAGATTCCTTGAATTCAGTATTCAACTTACCTTTTCCAACTTTTGTCTTTAAGATACCAATAATTTCTGGAGGGCTTTGCGTTGAATTTTGCTTCACTTCTTTTTCGCGTTCTCGAAGATACGCGACTGCAGCTGACATCTGGCCTTGAGGTGTCTTGATGAAAATACTTTTTTGTGCTAGCTCTATTCTGGTTTGAATATCTTGATGAACATTTTCCTTTAAAATACTCTGAATGCCAACCATTTCCATAAGCTTGAGAATCACAATAGGAAAGTTTGTCAACGTTTTGTGTTCAAGAGTCTTCTCCAGCTCCGCTTGTTTTACTTCTTCAATTCGATTTAAAAGTTTCCTTTCAAACTCTGGCATATCTGTTTTGAGACAGATCAATCTTAGCTCCTCGAGATCATCAAGTTTTTTGATTTGAGCTGAATAGTTGGGAAACAAACTCTCAATCTGGGGTAACTCATAGATAACTTGTTTCCAGATTTCTTTCTCGACTGAAATGTCTTTCGAAGTGAATCGATCCAGAAGATCACTAAGGATGTGGCGACAACGTTCTTCCCAATCGTGCTCGTCAAATTCATCGTCTCGTTTGTGACCCTTGGAATAGTATTTGACCAGCACATATCCATCTTTATTGGTCCAATTTATGTTTGCTCGCTCCGCGCTGAGCTTTTCTTGCAACTCAAGCCCCCGGTTGCTCTTATTCATGACAAATTCAATGGTATCCTGATCTACAACCATTCGGAAATAAGGACCTTCGCAAAATGGAATCTTGCTCTCGGTATATTGTGGAATTTTGGAGTCAGCAGGTTCTACGGTGCCCATGAAAGGATAGTACCTCTCCACAGCCAGTAAGGTGCCATGAAGGAAATTATCATTATCGACAATCTTCTTTACACCTAGACGATATAGGGCCAAAGAAGACGGATCAAACATGGGGGTAACTAAATAGAAATATAACTGACTAAACTTATAAATTTTTTAACATAAAATGTAAAATGCATAGAATGAAGCTAAATGAGAGAGGAAAAAAAAGAAGTAAACTCTGTATGGTGTTGATCGAAGCAAGCCGTGAGATAGTGCTGGATATAGTTAGAGCTAACTTTTCCCGCCCCCCAAAAACTAGAGTTAACTTGTTTTAATGATGTCAGCGTTATTTTTGAAACACTAAAGCCCCAAAATTATCTCTGATGTTATGAAGACTAACACAAGATCTTACTCCTACACAGTGCTCTATATTGTTATTGTTAATACTTCAAATGTCTGGTTGACATACTTTTTTCACTTTTAAAGTATACTATTGCTCTCATTTCCTTGGCTCTTCTTTCTTTCACTTCTTTAGTGTTGAAGCAAAACTTCTCCACTATTCCAAGTTTTTCAAAGTGATTTTCGATTTCCTCCTCTGGCGTATTCAAGGGAATTCCACGCACAAATATACTCTTGCAAACTGGTGCTCTTTCAATGAGTACATCACTGACATCATTCTTCCTTTCCTTATTGGGGGTTAGTGGCCTTTTCTCGGCCTCTCGGCAAATAGTCTGAAAATCTGGAAGATAGAAGCAAAGATTGCAATAATTTTGCTTCACTTATAATATCGTTTCATTGAAGTATAAGAATGAGCGATGTGCGGATAATCAAAAGAGATCTTTCCTTCCTTACTTTCTCCCTTCCTCCATTTTCTCCTTCGATTACTCGTTTTGCCTCAACAATAGTTTAGTCCCTTCGGTCTCCCGTCAAGTCATCTTTCCTCCCCTGATGTGCCTCAAGAAAAACTACAGTTTTCTAGGTTTATACTATTAAATCCATTTTTTTACGGTTTCAACGATTTCATATCCTATTGTGAATGCAAAGTATGATTTGTGTGCTTCGATTAAGACAAAAATCTCGTGTAACGACCAATTTTGCTGCTAAAACTAGAAAAACAAAATGTTAATTTACCTATAGTTTCTGCATTCAGGGTCACAATGGCTCTACCGTTAGGTTTAAACCATAGGATATGCTTCACATCATAGCTGCTGATCTTCTCAATATAGTGTAGTAAGCATTCCTTAGTCACTCTATGGTGTAAGCCCAACACGTAGAGTTTGTTTCTCTCGTACCTAACGTCCTTCAATATGTACCCATTTCGGTCACTCGATCGAGAGAAGCCGCCATCTAATTGAAAACAAGCTTTCGTTAGTTGTGAATCTTTAAACATAGGCCTTAAAACGCTATATACAGAAACAGTAAGCCCACCTTCGTTGGGATTTTTTTTGAACTTTTGAGTGTTGTGAAACAAAAATAAAGTTATCATCGTAAAATGATGAAAATGGTTGACACGGCAGTAGGACAAAGCAACATCAGAGTCAAACGTAAGGATCCAAAGCATGAGCCATCCGCGTGAAGAATCGGAGAGTAAATAGGAATGGAATATTATTATACGCAGCCTGCCTCAAGCACAGGAACATCTCGGTGACGAATGCGTGATTGGATAAGGTTTACTGTGCGCCGAGAAAAAAGAAATTTTTAGGAGAAAAATTCAGCATAGAGCATAAACCTCAAGCACCAAGTTCTTTTTTAGTAATCAGTCGACCAAATGCCTTCGTAATGTCCATAAAGAGAAGCTGAACTAAGACGCACACATGCACCTTTTAAGACGGAATTGAGTCTACCTATCTTTCAAAGGGTAAAAGGATTTTCCAGTCAGATGGACTTATTTCCAGGCCGAAATTACGCTCATAAAAGTATCTTATCGCGAGACGAATACATTCATCAACATGAATATTATCTTAATATACAGGCGTACACTTGTTGTTATTTTTGGGTTTTGGAATCTGCAGGCGATTCTTGGTTGTTGTGTTGTTAATTTATTTGTTCCTGTTAAATTTGAATCTTAAACTTATCTTCAAGAATTGCAAACGTACAGGAAATCAATTTGTTTTTTAAAGTTTTTATATAGCGCTACTACAGACTTTGTATCAAATTTAAAGTTATGCCGACAAATACAGCTGAAGGAGAGAGATACGTGAAAACATGTCTTGGAGACTGAAAAATGTTGTTCCTTAATCGACCCGGAAATGGACACCTCCCATAAAAAAAAGAAAGAGTTTTCATACTTCCTCTTCCTCGTGTAGGTCTTCGATCATGTCCTCGTCCCCTTTGGGCTCTACCACCTCTTCCTCCCCCGGTCTGCTGGGCATTGCTGGGCTCTGAAAAATTAGAAGAATGGAAGCAGTAGAGTTGATCCACACAATCATGTTTATCGAGCTTAGAAAAAAGTACTCCACCTCTTCCTCGCGTCGGCTTAGGGCCTCGATCATGTCCTCGTCCCCTTTGTGCTCTACCACCTCTTGAAGTGCTGTGCTGACCTCTTCCTCCCCGGGTCTGTGGGGCACTGCTGGGCTCTGAAAGAGTGGAAGAATGGAAGCAGTGGAGTTGATCCACATAGTCATGTTTATCGAGCTTGGACAAAAGTACTCCACTTAAACTTATAAAAAGAGAGCTTTATTTTAAGTTTAATGCTAGCAATTATTCCGACACTATGAGCCACTTCTCGATAATGGCTTGTTACCCTTCCAACACCCAAACCCACTTTCTCTTTCGGTATACAACCGGCAAGTGTGTAGCAGAAATAAAGTAGGCAATCATTTACAACGCCATAAACTAAGAAGTATTAAATTCCTTACCGCATGTCCTTGTCCCCTTTTGCCGTTTTTCCACCTTCTTCCAAGGACTTTCAGTTCTCAGCTGCAGCAAGTTATCATGAATTTTAGCTTCACTTGGTGCATCGTCATTTTTGGAATCGCTTTCCTCACCTTTTATAGAGGACTCATCGGTAATATCTTCCTTAGGAAACTTGGCTTTTATGATACAAAAAAAAAAAGGAAAATAAGCCCTAATGTACGATACGTGATCCATTATATTAAAATTCGCATCCTTTCCTCTTCATCTTGATACTCGTCTTTTAAAGGAACTTTAAGTGACTCTATAAAGACTGCACTCGTTACGTCGTTCCCGACACGCCGATGGGAAAATTTCAATTTAAAAAAGTTAGAAATTTCACGGTTTTAGGAAGTAAAAGCAGTCTGTATGAGGAGAAATAGGAATGCGAGTGTTTCTGCGGCAAATTATGTCGAATAAATTAACGTAGGGGAAACTGACGTTGGGACCGTTTTGTTGTTTTAGGTAATTGGAAAATTAACGATTCTTTCTCAATAACATACGACCTTCAAATATGGTTCATGAGGTTATGCATTCATGGCTACCCCTAAACTTTAACAATATAGCAATGTTTAGAATGCATGTGGGAGCCAGGGACAAGAAAATCTTGAGATTTAATTAAAACCGATCTATAAAGGTAATGTCGCCCAAAGAGCAGACTAACGCGCTAAACTGGTGTGCTTCAATCTCGAAATTGTGATCGAGGATAAAAGCTCTTGATCAAATTCACCTTCATAAACCCGAGTTGTGGTCATAATCTAATCTCACCTGCCATGTTCAACTTTGTTTCAGGTATAATGGTATATCTTTTGTTGAAATAATCAGCTCACCTTGAACTGGTAAACAAGAGAAATTTGATAAAGTCAGCGAAAGAAAACATCAAAATTCACAAGACAGGTTTAAAACGGTAGATCAGTCGCTAATGATAACAATCGATCTTTATCTTAGCTCCTTAGGGAAAGTAACTTAGAGAATCAAAATTACAGAGTCAAATTCAAAAGAAGTTATGACGAATTGATCATAGATCCAACATTTTCACTCAGAGAGAGCAGAAGCTACTTAGAAATAGCGAATACCAGTCCAGCTAAATGGCTGTAAGTGATTCCAAAATGATGAAAATGTTAAAATGAAAATAAAGGGATACAGAACACACGGCTATTTAAATGTACAAAGCCACTAAAAAAAGATGAAACTTCAAGTAAATCAATGTACTCGTCAAATGGTAAAAATGACACGTTCTCTCAGGAGATTCTTGAAACTGGAAGAACTCTTTGCTTTAAAACCTTCTCCTAGGGTTTTGCAGATGGTCAGAAGTTGGGTAAGAAACATTAATTTGTGCAGACCAGCCTGATTTTATGTTGACAAATCTTTAAAAAGTGGTAATAAATCATTCAAAGTCTACTAGAATAATAATCGTCCATAAACAAAGCAATATGCAAATATATGAAATAACCAAGGAAACTTGAAAAAACTTGTAGTTTATGGGAAATGGTACTGTAGTGGGAATCGTAGCCAGAGGACGTTATAAACCTGACTGTTCTCTTACGTAAGATGGTAAAAGGGTATTAGGTGTTTCCCCCCAAATAATTAGCCTATAAGTCAAGAGGGGAGAAAGATCCAGTTGTTCAAAGGCCGATCAGCGCTAACCCAGGGTTAAATTTTTAATCTCAGTTTCCTTATTCCTTTGTTCATGAGCTTCCTTTCGCTTAATTTTCTCTATTCTTTTTAGAGCATCCAATCACTAAATTTTTAACCAAAAAAAAAAAAATCCTGAATTTTCTTTTCAAGCTTTCAGATCTAAAATCAGACTTCACAATAATCCTGGGTTCTCTTGACCCTGCTTTGAAAAACCTGGTTCAGAGTAAAACTACAGAACAAAATGCTTTTGGCTCACATAGTGTCTCATGTTAGATAATTGATACCAAAAAAAAAAAAGCTTAGTCATTTTTTCCTCTTAAATGTGTTACTACTATCGCACTGTGAGTAAAGATGTACATCCAGGTACTCAGAGAAGTTTTTCCAGCTTAACATGCCTGTTAAAAATGCATTGTATCACAGCGTAATTTTGCTACTTTTGTGGATAGTAAAACAAACAAAATTTGTCTTCAAAATATTCAAGAAAAGCTTATTTACTGAAACCCAGCTTGAAAAAATGTAATGTTATCATCAATAATAGTCTGAGGTTTGTAAGAAATACAATTCTGGTAAAAAAAGTTTGTATCAACTCCAAAAAATAATGCAAAAGCCAAAGATTTGCAGTATTTCCTGACATAGTTGATCTTTAAAGGAAAAATTAGAGGGTCTTTCACTAAATCCTGGTAGCCGTAATGGGTTATTGAAATGTTATCAGATTTAATTCTGTGAATAGGAACATATTCCTTCTTTATCAGTTTGTTAAAGAAGGTGAAGTGCTAGTGCCACAAAACCGAATCATAGTAGATATCCTTTCAGTTCTACTTGCTGAAGCACAGACTTACGTAACCAGATTGTGAGACTAAACTACTTTCGAAATAGAAGGAAAAATTGAACCGGAAGTAGTCTTTGATATTGGGTTAGTAATTCATGAAAGAAATAGGTGCACGTTCCCTCAAATACTACTTTTTGGTATTTTAAATGCGACTGACAATCTTTAATTTCGAAGAGAAACTAGGTCTTAGTGGAAAATACCTCCAGGTTTGGTCGTATGGCACGAAACCTGACATTTGAACTTGCGGAGGTAAACAAGAAATTATTGTTTACATCGAGCATAGTTTTCCGTCGCCATGCTTTGCTAGCATAGTAAAATAACGTTATAACGTTACATACTTTGACTACGATTTCGAAAATACCACTGCGTTTCCTTTTGCTAAACATTTTTAGCCCCAAATCTTGAATTGTATCTTGTTTCATGACACGACTGCAGGTTTAATATTTTAGGTCGTGTTAGTCTCTAATCACTTGTCCCTTCATAATAATCACAAGTTGTCATTTCTTTAAAGTAAATTCACGAGAACTTGTCCAATAGATTGATTACAATAAAGAATGAATTGTTATTTCTTTAAAGTCAGTTCTCGTGAACATGTACAGTAGGTTGATTGTGATGAGGTTAGAAGCCTCACTAATGATACAGTTTGCCACTGACATTGTCGTAGGCATCAATATTTTTGACTATGTTTTAGACAGAATTCGTAATTAGACTTGACTGCTCTAGCTATTCTAACCAGACACTCACCAACATTTAAGCCACCTTTTGGCAATCGTATTGAAGTAATATCTTTGGTAAAAGATTTATGGAAAGTTAAGAGTACATAAGTTTGCCCAGCAAAAGCATCAAATATTGTTTTGGGGTTTTACCCAAGACATTTTCTTTCACTTTCGAATCCATGGACTACGTCATACAATGTGCTTGCTTTATAGCGAGCTTAATTTCTTCACCTGACTATTTTCACAATTTACCGACTACTAAAGCGGCTCCCGACCACGATAAAGCAACAAAAATATTCGAAACTTCTCCGGCAACAAAAAGAAACGAGGGCTTACCTTGAATTCGAAGCGCTTTAATTAAACTTCCAGCTTATCCAGTATTATTGCACGAATACAAAAATTATCCACTTGAAAATATCGCCAAAAAATCTAGTGATAATGATGGACGGTAAACACATAGTCTAGTGATCACATTCTTAGTTGTGAAATTTCGCTTGACCGATCTCTCTCTCTCCTTCCAGGAATCGGCAAAGTCACTTCCGTGCTGATTCTCAAAACAGCTAACATCAGAGTGAGGTTCATCAAAAAAACAATCGCGATCACCTATCAAAAAAATTCAAAACAAGTCACGCGCTGTGTTAGGCACTGGCGTTTTAAAAATGTTTGTTGACATGAACACAACTTTTAGCTAAATCATGGTCTTGTTCATTTACATTGTAAGCGCCATGCTTAGAGCAAAGTTCTTATAAACAACTCTGTTAGAAGCGAGTTGGTAATGCAAATTGGCCACAGTAAGAAGCTAACGTTTCGAGCGTTAGCCCTTTCGAGGCGCTTCGTCAGAGCGATGACAAAGGGCTATCCCCCACCGATGCAGCACCACAGAAGTTTACCCATTTTACCTTAAAACAGCTGCGAAACGAGGTAAAATTATCGTTACGAGAGAACTATTACCGTTTATGCATAGAGTCTGTTCAAAGTCGGCGTCTATAGCTTAAAATTATCCGTAAATAGAGGCCCGTATGTCCAAATACAGCGAGAGGGAATTTGTTCGATCATCAACAAGGGTATTTAAATCAGTTTTTTGATGCCTTCAAAGCCATATATCTACATGAATTTTGAAATCCAAGGTGGCAGACCATGGGCAGAATTCCTAGAATTAATGTGTCTCAACGCCCATACTCAACCGTGACATTGTCCCTAATTATGTTATCCAAAGAGTGTCTCACAACATTATTTGGCTTATCAGGCTTTCAACTGCACTTTGTCGCTCAGTACACATGAAGAAAACAAATTGAATAAGGTTAGTCTCATTATGAAATCATTAGTTAGTAGCTTAAGTCAACTGTGACATGCTCATGTGTTGTGGATGACGTTTATTTATTTAGCGCGGTATAACGTTGATGGTAACCAATCACTACCAGGTTACTATTTAGGGAAAGTTTCTCGGAAAAACCGGAAGCGTTTCTCAATAACTTATGCTAAAGCGTGTGCATTGGAGCGAAGATGAACATGGAACTTTCCCGAATGTAACGTCGCGAAAGCTTAACCAAGGGAAAATACCTGATGGAGGATAGCTACCGTCAAGCACACACAGACGAATAATTCGTATATTTCTCGCGGTTCTTTCAAGCTTAAACATCATGGGAGGCAAGAGCAGGTAATTATACAACATTCATATTCAACATAACTAGAGATGCGAGCTAGATCAGAATATTCATGACCTACAGGAAGCAAACTAGGTCGAAGACCCAGTTTTTAAAGCGCTGCGTCAACATTACAATTTGAATCAAATATTTTGCTGCAGTAAAATAAAAATGTTCAGAGATGGGTAATAATACCTGGCTCTGATAATCAGTTGAGTTGCGAGTGTATTAAAAAACACAAACACTCTGAAGTTGAACCCCATTAGTAAACATCGAGTCGAAAATTTCATGTCATCTAAGTTACGTAGCGCGAGTCAGTTCACATTATTCATGAGACGGTCATAAAAAATTACGACATGAAAGTTGAATGCGAATAAATTTGATTTTACCTAAGCCCTTGCAGAAGGAAAAATTCTTAACCCAGCTTAACATTAAGCGTCGTCGAGACAGCTCGAAACGGAGGAATCAAAATTGCTAAATATTCAAATAGTTTTTGGTCAAATCAAAAGCGTTTGAGAACACCAGACAAGACGTTGTGTCACAAGCGGGTCTATGAGACGGAAGACAGGCGAAAAGACATAAATGCTTTCTTATTCATCATTTTAAAGTATGAGGAGGTAGAAATTGTTTCTGTCACGACTTTATTTCCGTCTGGCCTCCATGGAATAAACACGGGGAACAACATAAAAGAATCCACTACTCATTTGATTTCGTCAATATCTGCTCTGACTTTGTTGCGAAGTCTGTTTCTGTCTATCATCACATAAAGCCGTTTACTAACAATGAAAGATCAACTGAAGCTGTTTGACCAACGATCATGGAACATGTACGATAGCTTGCCTTTCGCTTCTGGCTGCCTTTGCCTGCTCACCACTGATTGTGTTCTTCGTTATAATACCTTTCAGCAAGAAAAGTCAAGATAACGAGTACGCACGGTCGTCTTTTGAAGACGGTAAGTGTTCTTTTCTTTAGTAGAGCAGGGAGGGGAGGGAAGAGAGTGAGTGAAAAGGTATTTGCCTACAATATCCCTTCACATATTAAACAAAAATTAGGAAGGATAACTGTAACAGTAGATAGTTGTAGAGGTGTAGGCTGAAGCACACTTACTCAAATAAGTCAGAAGGTTGGTGGCAAGATTTACCTTAGCACAGAATAAAGAAAGAGAAATGATTGCGAAAAATTATTGGACACGATTTGTTTTTAACGTTTTAGCCTTGGTATACTCTTGCCTATTGATACACACTATCTGTTTTATCTAATTCATATGTTTGTAGATAACAGTATCCAGGAGAAAAAGAGAAACCCTTTCTCACCACAAAAGAACACTGAGGTAGAGTCCTGTGTTCGTAGAAAAAGTTTTACTGATGTTTTTGAGCCTGGAAAGGAAGTTCAGGCAAATTCCGCGGAGGTCTTGAGGACTACATCGTGTGACAGAATTTCTGGCACTCAGGAAATCAGCCTTTCTTTTGACGTTGTTCCTGAAAAAGTACAGTTGGCACTCGAGAAATCACCCGTTCTTTTGCCTTACACTTCTAAAAGAGATGTCTCCGATGCTGCCACGAAGATATCATATGATTATGCTGGACAAATCGTCAGCAACGACGATGCTATCGTAACCCTTCCCGTCAAAACAGGAGAGAGCGTAGATGTTTCAAATTTTGACTCAGTCCGCTCGATAGATGCTTACAAAATTGATGGAGGCTCTGTTAAAGGCGACAGTCCAAGTATTGGACATCAAAGTGTTACCAAAGCTGGAAATAATGGACACAGCGATACAAGAAATTCTGTTGACATCGGGGGTGTTAGCATGACATGTACTGACAATATCGACAGGAGTGGGCAAGTTGTGAGTTCCACAGGGGGCAACAAGAACGTTGGCAGTACGGAAGCATGCAAGAATGGTGAAAATTGCAAGAGCGGCATTGAATTAAATGAAACAAATTCTCCTGCTATGGATGAAAGTGTAACTGTGAACTTGAAACTCGCTGGTAGCAATCATGCCTTCGCGTCTGATACTTGTGATAGAAAGAACATTGGAAATGTTGATTTCAGAGAAGTACAAAAGTGCGCTGACAGTTGTCTTGATAACACTGGAAATATTACTGCTGTTAAGAATAACACTCATGCCAACCTCGAAACTAATGACGATAGAAATGGTGATGATGCTGTTCCATTTGCTTTGGTAGAAAGTGTTAGCATCGGCTCGTTTGCACATACTCGCGGCCTCGAGAAAGACGAGAGCGGCACTGAAAATGTTCGTAATGCCATTTGTGTCAGTGCTGACAATGAAATTACCCCAGTTACTGACAGGAATACCATTGGAGATAATGATTTTGAGGATGACTTTATCGTCACTGGCTTAAGTGCTCGTGCCATTGGACAGGTCTCTGGTAAGGATGCTAACAGCAGTCCAAAAAGCAGCAGTAATAGCAATAGCCACCGTGGGGGAGAATTTCACTCAAGTGCTGAGACTGGAATAGAAAGCATTGTACCTACTGATGGAAAATTACGCTCTGGCAAATATAGTTCTAACACTTTTGAATATGATGGCTCCGGTGGCCGTGAAATTGTTCATGAAGGAACTATTTGTGCCAAATTTAATGACGTCCAGAGCAGCAGAGCACTAAACGTTGAGGTTGATCACGAAAATGTGCGAAACGTTCACCCAGCTCTAGAGAAGTGTGATTGTTATGGGAGTGGTGATGTCTGCTATTCTTTAGAAGAAGGAGTTAAGGATGAATATGGAATCGACGATTCGTATGCAGACTTCTGCTTTGAAGATTATGGAAAACATACGTCAAGGACTGATGAAATACCGGAGGATACAGACGATGACGATACGTATGCTGACTTCTGTTATAAAGACTATTCAAAACGTAACTCGAAGACTGATGAAACACAGGAGGGAGGAGACGATAACGACGGGTGTGCTGACCTCTACTTTGAAGACTACGCAAAACAGAACTCGAAGGCGGCTAAAATTCAGGAGGAAAAAGAAGAAGACATAGAAGAAGAGGAAGGAGATGAAGACGAGGAGGAATGGTCTTGGTTTAACAGCTGCACACGAAAACGAGACAACTTTGCCGATGAAGAGCTTCGAGGAGAGGGAAGGGCGGATGAAAAGGGGGAGAAGAAGGATAAAGAAGATCAGCAGGATGATAATGATGGTGATGATGGTGGCAAAGATAATGGAGATGAAATGGAGCACGAGCAGGAAAAGATAAGAGGAAAAGACTATGGCATTGATGATCATGATTATATTAGCGTAAATTATGTTGTGGAAGATGATATGGAGGATGAGGAAGATAATGAAGGAGAAGAGGCAGAGTACGAGGAGGAAGAAGGAGAGGAAGAAGAGGAAGAAGAGGAAGAGGAGGAAGAAGAAGAAGAAGAGGAAGAACAAGAAGAGGAAGAAGAAGACGACGAGGAGGAAGAAGACGAGGAAGAGGACAAGGAAGTGAAAGAAACCGATGAAGAAGAAGAATATGACGATGACGATAGCGATGATTATGAAGAGGTGCAAAAAGAATTGGAGGAAAAAGGAGAAGAGAAAAAGTATGTGGAGGAAGATGACTTCACAAATTGGTGGTATGATGGGGATGAGGTGTACGACGATTTATATGACTATGAATCTGAATTAGTTTGTGGCCAGGATATCAAAGGGTACGAATCTAACACGTCGCATTTAAGAAATTCCATCATCTATTCGAGCCATCATGTTGAGAGCAATGCGCATTCATCAGTTTCATTAACCAAGCCCTCTTGGCAAGTTTATGATGAACGAAGTGAGAATCTGAAGGGAGAACTGTTCATCGACGCAAGGGCCAGGCATGAGGAAAGTTTTTCAGAAAGTCAATTTATCCCAGGAGACCCTGATGACGCGTCATTACCATATCTGTTGTCATCTGACTCTGAAGCGTATCATACAGACGCGTTTTTGGTCAAAGGATTAAACACGAGAACAACAAAGGATGCATTGTTAAACTTTTTTGAGGTGATAAGTGGTGGACAAGTCAAAGAAATCACGTCATTGAATGAAGGGACCACTTTGGTTACCATGGAATTCCCAATTAAAGGTTTGTTTCGTTAATATATTGTAAATATCGATTGAATCATTTATTATTGATTGGTTAGATTTTGCGCGTGGTATATTTGCATTTTATAGAATCCGTACCGGACTTACTCCCCCTCATGGTAACGAGACACTTTGTCATCCCTCAGTCATCTAGATATGTTTTGTCTCAGATATTTCAAGATTTACTAAGATTTTGAGTATCTCCTGTCTTGATACTATGTAACTTGTAAAGGGAGAAAGATTTTTAATAATTGAATGTATTTTCAGACATTGCAAAGATGAAAGAGAAGTGTGGGGGACGAACGTTAGATGGCAGCAAAATCACAATAACGCCAGCCTCTCCTTACACCAGTGTAATAGTGAGTGGTTTATCCCTCGATGCTTCTCATGATTTCGTGAAGTTGTATTTCGAGAGTCCTCGCAGTGGAGGCGGTCCAGTGGATACAGTTCATTTTACAGAAAAAAGAGGTCAAGCTGTTGTTGTTTTCAACAACGCAAAAGGTAATTTATATTAAAAAAATATTAATGATTATAACGATAACACTTTTCTAAAATCAGCTCCTCATCGCCCACGCTAAGTTGCTGTGCCAACGTTTAAAAGAGAGATATCGGCTTTCATGATTTGTCAGGCCATTTGTCATGATCACTTTCAGAGAAACGACACGCAACGATGAAATAGGTTTACCTAGGAATTTTTGAACTCTTCAATTCACTTCGTCGCTTGAAACATTTAAAAATGAAAATAGCGTTGACATGAGATGATACTTAATCAGGGTTGCCAGGGGCAGGCTAGAATACTGCTTAGTACTTATAAGCTGAACCTTTAACTTACAGACATGGAACGGGTGTTAGCGAGACAGATAGAACGACCACATGTTTTGGATGGACAGGATCTCATAGTAACAGTATTCCATGGGCTATTTCCAAATCTTGACCAGGAAGATATAGTGGGACACGTGGATTCTTCGCCTCCTCGTGACAGATCTGAACAATATATAGCAACCAAACAACCAATTCAGACAGCCAAGCAAACGTTATGTTTAGCTGTTGACCCTGATGTAATGGAGTTTATCCATAACTCATTACACTTTAACGATTTACAAGATTTACTTGAAAAGAGACGATGTGATCTAGATTGGAAAGCTGGTGGCAAGCATGCTCTTATTCAGTGCAATGGAGACCCTGAGGGCAATTGTTGTCCTTCCCTATGCGTTGACGAAGTGCAGGCGTTTTTCGAAAAGTTTGTACAGTGGCATGTTCCAATAGAAGAAGAAATATGGAACAGTCTAGACTCGGGTTCCTTGGCAAATGTTTGCGATTTTATAGGGGATGACCCTCCACTTGTTAAAATTTCTGAGGGAGACTCTGGTTTCTATCTGAGGATGGTTTCTCTCAGATCAGATAAAGAGTCCCATGAAGAAATATTTCAAGAAGCACTATCCCACATCTACCAGCTAGAGAGAAAACAAAACTATCGGACGGAAAATATACCAAATGTCCCGAAAGAAAGAATTCAGCTGCTGAAAAAAACTAACTTCGAAGACAAGCTCGAAGAAGAATTCGAAGAGTTGATAGTGAGGATTGACGACGAAAGCGACGAAATACTATTTAAAGGGCCGACGGACGAGGTAACAGATGCCATAACAAGATATTGTATGCTTGACGCTGAGGTAACTGACAAGAAATTACAGTTTCCTCCTTATATCTTGCAAGTGCTTAACAATGATACAGCATTGCAGGCAATCAAAGACGAAATGGTAGAAAATGAGGCAGACGCTGTGTTTGTCCTCGAGGAGGACGAGTCAACTTCGCGCGTCGTCGCCGCAAAGGTAACTGGAATTTCATCGGAACAAGCGGAGAAGGCGTACAATCTTATTAAGAGATTTACAGCAGAAGCCGTTCTTAAAATCGAAGATCAAGATCTTGTATTAACAACTACGCCTGAATGGAACCAGGCCTGCGACGAGATCGAAAAAGATGGTACAGTTGCAATTCGTAGAGATGAAACTGGCAGAACGTGGCTCGGGGGTCTCTCAAGAGATGTTGAGTTTTCCGTCAAAAAGTTGCAGTTGTTCATCAAAAAGAGAGCCGTGAAAATATCAAGAAAGAACTTCTTATGCCCCTCAAAGCAAATCAAGAGATATTTAAGAGAGCATTGCAAAAGCGATTTCATTGCCATACAAACGAAATATGACATCACGATCCTTGACGGACAAGATGGTGATAAGTTTATCATTTCGGGGCGAGATGACGGTTTGAATCCCGCAAGCCATATGCTGGATCGCCTTATTGAAGGATTCGTGACTAAAAAACTTGAACTAAGCCAAGCAGGCCTTGGAAAGTTCTTTTCCGATGGCAAGGCGGACAATCTTGTGGAAAAGATCGAAAAGGACCTGAAATGTGTAATTTGTATCGAAAAAACGATGGCCAAAATTAGAACAGAGAGTCTTGCAAGCAAGACAGCACTTTTTGAATCAGATTCTACAGAGAGCGAAGATGACGAAGTGACAGAAGACAACTCTGCTTCGAGCTTGGTTAAACAGAGCAGTGCTTCATTCTATGTTACGACCCAGGGACACAGCATCTCATGGAGGGCTGGGGATATTGTCAAAGAGCAGGTAATTTGAGTCTAACGTGACCATGCAGTCATACGCAAGATCGCCATGGACACTTTGTGTGATCTTCTATTTTGTTGCTCAGGGAATACTCTACGTCCTGAAAGATTCCGCCTTGATGAAATAGCTTCCACTTAATTTCCGCCTCTTAAGAGAGTAAAACCAACAAGGGACATCATACACTACAACAGTGATTATCTTACACTTTTACTTTCGCACTCATTTTTCAGGCCGATATAGTGGTGGCCTCCCAAGGAGCATGCGCTAGGTCGATCAGGCGTGCTGCCGGTCCAAGAATGCGATTAGTGACACCAAATCCTGGAGAGATTGAAGTTTCACCGGGATTTCAATTGCCTTGTACTCACGTGATTCACACGTACTGTGCTGAGTGGAATGGAGGAAACGGAGAAACGGTTGGTACAATTTTCAGAGAAAAAATTAATGGCAGCTTAAGACGTTTAAGGACTGATTTAAATGATTACGAATTCCTGCTATGAAAGGCACAAGGCAAATTACTTAGGCTGACGAGGACTATTCAGCATAAGTTGGAGTACGAACAATTCATTTATAATTTGGTTTTATCAGCAAAGTTGATGATGTAAATTGGCCACCGTAAAGAGTTTCTGAAGCAGACGTTTCGAAAGCTAGTCCTGCATCTATTTGTTCACCCCCCTCCTCTTCCAGGGACGTAGCACCTCAGGATCTTTGGAAAGTTTCCCTTAGATTCATTCTACTTAAATCCATTGCTGGGGTACATATGTTTGCCGAAACCACACGAACCATTTCTGATTATAGCCCGGTAACGCATGAACTTTTACGTCTCCCAGTCTTGCTTATTAAGGAAACCACTTCTATCATGCTAATTTTGGCTGTCTTATTTTTTCCCATCTAGGCATTAGGATCCATTGTTCGAAAATCACTACGAAAATCCGATGAGCTCAGTGCAAACTCCATTGCTTTCCCTGTGATTGGAACTGGAAATTTACTATTCCCCAAACGCAAAGCTTCCAGGATTATGTTGGACGAAGTGGTCAGTTTCTGTGACAACAACCCACATTCTTCTGTAAAGGACGTTCGCTTCGTTATCTTTGACCAGGATCAAAATCTCATTACCGCCTTCCAACAGGAGATGAGCAGTTTGCAATTACGCCGTGGAAGTGTTGCTAAGTCAGGAAATACTGTTGAGGCTCAAACATGGTGGAAGAAGATTGAGGTCGTTGAGGGTAATCTTACAGAACAGAGAGTGGATGCCATTGTTAACATCATTGGAAAAGACATGGACTTGTCCAGAGCTGGGGCACTTAGTAAAGCAGTAGCAAGAGCTGCTGGAGGGCGCGTGGTACGAGAGTGCATGGATCTTGGACCCCAACCAGGTGGATCGGTTGTGATGACTAGTGGCGGGAACTTGCCAGTAAGTAATATTATCCACTTGGTACCACGGTCTTCAGATAAACAGCATCTGCAAGCCTGCCTTGAAAAGTGTCTCCACCTTGCTCATTCGAAAGGTCTTCATTCCATAGCCATTCCTGCCATTGGAACAGGAGCATATCACATGACTGCTTCAGATTCAGCACTTCTGACCTTTCAAGCTTTGGGAAACGTAGGTGTAGTTTGCTCAAGTTTTTCCCGAATTAAAATTGTGATTTTTGTAAAAGACATGTTGAAGACCTTTGTTAAAGAGCACAAACGGGTTGTTGATTCAGCTGAGCAGTCTAGCTTGCCAGCAACGACAACAGCAACAAAAAAATCAAACCCACTGAGAAGTGTTTCAGCGAAGAAGAAATCACCTCAACCAGTGTCGTGTACCAGTACTTCAACCTTTCATATCTCAGTGACTGCTGCAGATTATGAGACTGTGAAAACAGCTTTAGCAGCTTTAAAGGAAGGTTTCTCTGAAGGTTGCACAACACAAGTCATTCACTATGAATCTGTAAGTCAGCTGTCCGATAGGCAGGTTCATCGTCTGCTACAAAGCTGCAGAAAACGAGACATTGAGCTGAAAATAGAACCTGGAAATCGAGTTGAAGTTCGTGGAGAAGCCAATAATGTTGCTGCAATTGTCGGTGAAATCTGGGTCGAGCTAAATGAAAGATGCAAAAAAATGAGAACCCACGAGTACGCAAAATTGTTGGCTGGTCACGTGGAATGGAGATACGTCTTACATGGTAAAACGAGACGTTTTAGTTCGACTAAAAACGCAAAGATCGAGGAAGCATTTAGAAAAAAGTCTCCAAATGTGACTGTTGGACTTCGTGGAGATCAGTTTCAACTGCATTTTAGGGACAGCACAGGAAAAGGCAGCTTATCAGGAGAGAAGATAAAAATCAGCCGCAAGGTTGTGGGGACAAGCGAAGGTAAGTGTTGGAACATTTCCTCAGCCGATGACGTCTTTTGCAAAATATTTGAACTATTTATATGCAGATGAGCAAAAAAGGTTATAGCCATTTTTGCCACTTCCTTTTCGAAAGTTTCATTTTGTAGATTATAACTGATTATTTCTGTCTTCTAAAAACCAGTTTTTGCAGCTCTGGTTGAAACAAATTCTTCTGGAAACTACATGTAATTTTTGAAACTTGTTTGTGCAAGAAACAGAATATTAAAAAAATATATATTCCCACACAGAAAAAAAGTTATCGTCTAAATTTTCTAACCTGGTTAGTTTTACAAAGGAAAGTCATACGTCAAATGATTCGATTGTGGATAGACCCGAATATGAAGAAAAATAGACCGACGACTTGCTTGCATACTTCAGTTTGTCAGATTGGAGGTTTCAAATTTTGGACCCTTAATTTAATTTGAAAGATGTTTCTCTTTTACGGGAATTGATTCCTTGAGGATTGACGACAATTCGCAAAATTCGCAAAAATTAGAGAGGCACAAATTTTCATGAAACACGGTATGCGAGTATTGTATATAATTCAATGGCAAGTGAGTCCAAATTATTTAGGTATACATAGATGTACCCTAAATTCAAAATTTAATAATGGAAATTTTATCATCTTGGTATATTTGTCTATTTAAGCTGGAGGAATATCACTGCCAAATCACTGGGAGGCTATGCCAAAGGAGGCAAACGGGAATGAGATCACCGTTCATACAGTAAAACTTCAATCTCAGTCTTCCGAGTTTCAGAGTGTTGTGCAGATGTTTACAAAGACTATGAACTCAGTAACCGTTAAGAGAGTGGAGCGCATTCAAAATCCCCTGCTTTACCAGGCGTATCAGCTGAGGAAACAGAAAATGGACAAAGACAATGGAGGCAACAATGAGCTTCAACTGTTTCATGGAACGGCCTATAATAACGTGAAGAAAATCAATTCTCAAGGGTTTAACAGGAACTTCTCAGGGCTGGCGCATGGTAAGAGTATATACATAGTTTAACAGCTAGTATATACCTCCCCCTTTTTGTTTAGGTAGCCTGGAGAAAACAGTTCCAGACAAACGCCAAACGTTCGAGATGTAACAGTTAGGCTACCCCAGTATATAGTCTCTAACCCCTTTGCTAAGCGTACCTTTCACTTTGCAAATATTAACGAGGTCTTACTCTCTGGGTTTGGAAATTGGAGAAAAATTCCGTCGAAATCATATTCGTAAAATTATCCGGGAAACTTGCTGCATTATTCTTAATGTACTCGAACCGCTCCCACGCCCCTTCTATCTTTTCTAGGGGAAACAGAATCGTACTCTCTCGTTACGATCAGTACATCTATTCTTGCTTGCAGGAACTCGCCTAGGTAAGGGTGTTTATTTTGCCAGAGATGCTTCTTTCTCCCTGCGGTTCACCCCCCCGAGAACTGATCACAGTCGATACATGTACCTTGCGCGTGTCCTGGTTGGAAGGTATTGTCAAGGAAATCCACAGTTAGTTGTGCCTCCCTCAAGGGATCCGTTACGGCCCGAAATTTTGTACGATTCTGTTGTAGACAACACACGAAATCCAGGATCTTTCGTTGTCTTCGCTGACAGCCAGTGTTACCCCGAATACCTCATTAAGTTCTGATTCAGACTTACTAGCTACTGTAAATACAAATACTGGACAACACCGAACACGTTTTCACTTGCTATCTTGAGAAGAAGACCCAGTTTTCAGGCTCAGCTTTGCAGGTCAGGTTAAGCTTTACGTGACAATCAAATGACATGCGGTGTTACCAATCGATAAAATGTACAGGATGAGTTTAAATTATTAATAGTAAATAAATGGTTCAGTGAGTGAAATCGACTGGTTTCTGCTGCACTTCAATTCTCAGTCTACTCCTAACAGGAAAACCGCTCTTTCATGAGTGAATTTCTCCCCTGCAGGTTGTGGTGAATATGACGAAAAGCAAATTGAGGCAAAATTCATCGTCACCGATCTTAGAGTGTTAGATAGTTGCGCAATTTTTTTCGTATGAAAAGTTAACTAAACGATAGCAGTCGATTAGGACTAACTGGGGGTTTACTGTTTTATAGTAGATCAATGAATTTCATTCGATATCGGGTTGTTGATAATTTTCGACAATCTATTTGTTATTACATAATTGCTGAATTGCTAATATATAAAAGATGGTTGTCAAGGTTCCATGTGTGTGAGCTGAATCTTCCGAAAGAAGCTGCGAAGTGTTTTCTGGTTTGATCGACGCTTCCGTGATTAGTGCTTTTAGATAGAAAAATATAGTTAGCGTTCCAGCTCAGAATAAGATCCTTGTGATTAGGACGTTTTTTTTTTGGTAGGAGATAAGTCTAGAACAAAATTCACGATAATTAACGAGACTCGCGCACGCTTTTTTTAGAACTTAAATTGGTTGTGAACACTTAGAATATTTAGTTACAGGCGGAACAGCGCTCGTTTCGTCAACAAACAACATTACTTGAAAGCGAAGAGTTTTCAAAAAGTTTGTTTATGAATTAGTTTGCTTTTCTATATATGTTTAATTTAAATTCCTGAATTATTAGAACCTATCAGGGAGTCACGTGTGTCACTAGATTTGATAAGTGATTGCGACTATTTCAGTGTTGACTGAGGATTGGGGAGGGAGGGGGGGTGAGACAAATGGATCCCTTCCCTTATTCCCTCTTTTGTTCATTCTAAGTCTAGAAGTTACGGCATGTAGTGTTCGTCAAAGTGATAAATTCAAGGTATCAAAGTTAAGAACAAAGAAGTGAATAGTTCTCTTTTTGCTGATGACATGTCCTGCTTTTTAAGTCAAGTTTGAAATGTTTTTCAAAATTTCTCACGTTTAAAATTGAACGAAGAAAAAGCAGAGCTCTTTCACTTAGGGATTTATAATTTGTCTGAATCGTTCCCTCTCTAAGTTAAGCTATTAATTCAAATTTTGGGGTGCGTTTTGACTATAATTGGTTGTCGAAGAAAAAAGCGAATTTTGAAGCAATCCTCAAATCTATTTAAAAACATTAAGTATGTGGAAATGGAGAGGCCTCACTCTAATTGGAAGAATACAAATTATCAAATCATTTGCTATTCCTAAAGTTATGTCCAAAGCCTCCCTTAGTCATATTTCGAATAATCTCATACAGGTAGCCAATAAAAAATTTTTTAATTTCATTTGGAGAGGAAAGGATAAGATTAAACGGTTTTGATTAATGACTTTGTATCTATGATTCTGGCACAAAAAACCATGTGTTTGAAGAGGCGCATTAAAGATTATGCCAGTCCTTGGATAATTTTCTTGAGTAATTATTTGGAAAAAGTAGGAGGAAAGTTCATTTTGCGGTGCCATTTTAATTGTCATAATTTGCCCATATCTATGCTGTGGTTTCACAAAGACGCTTGGATGCAAGGTCCACTCTCATAGGAAAGGAAGCGTGTTCTCATGAAGATATGATGAACCAACTTGTGTGGAATAATAAATACATTCTGAGTAATGGTAAGTCTTTGTATCGTGCTTTCTTTCACGACACATGTGGAATAGGTAAAGTTGGAGATTTAGTGTCTAAAGATACTATTTTTCTAGGAAGTGAAAAAATCTTCAATGCAAAACTAACTGCAGGTCAATATTTCCTCTTACTGGGAGTGGTCAGCGCCATACCGAATGAATGATGCTCCACCATCAAGAGAAAAAAAATGTTCATGTTGAACCGTATCCTTTCATTGGTATTCTTTTCAAGTGCCAATAAAGGGCGAGATGTTTGATATTTCTAGCATCTCCTCCAAAATACTGCATAGAGAGTTCTGTTCCCGTGAATAGACTCCTCCGACCGCTCAAGCTAAATTAAAAGATTAGTAACCTCTGTTGACTGGAAAGAAGTCTATTTATTAGCCTTTAATGTTACTTTGGACACAAAATTTAGGGTATTTGAGTATAAATTGCTGAACTGTATTATTTTACAAATAATAATCTTTTTAAATTCAAGATTCCTGATTCGCCATTTTGTAACTTCTGAAAGATTAATAAATAGTCCCTCGAGCATTTTATTGTTTTTCTGTAAGACAACTGACGTCTTCTGGAAAGAGATACTATCATGGCCGGCCATCAATAAAAATGTGATAGTTTTTCACTCTTTGATGTTTTGCTTGGTAAATTTGACATTAAGACTCTACTTTTGCTTGCAAAGTTCCATATCAGTTCTGTAGGTGTAAGAATCTTCAGAAGTTTTTAAGGCTAAATTGAAAGCCACTCTTTACGTATAATTTTTGCTTGCCAAAAGAAATGGTACACTGGCAAAACATTACGAGAAGTGAGATCTTTTTTTCCCGTATAAGTAACTCCCCTTTCTACCATTCTACCATTAGCATGGTTAGAATTAAAATATATCATGCCAGGAAAATTCGTAAGCTGCACTTTTTGTAATAAGCTGGTTTGGTTAAACGTTCTACTCCCCAGCTCTCCGTTGTATTACGTGCTGTAGTGTTATTGCGATGGTAGCATTGTAAGCGATGTTTAGTATTGTAAATAATGTTACTTTAAGTACATCATGTAGTGTTGGTAGCGTAAGTAAAATTAGTGCTGTAAGTATTGCTACTATTGCAAGTAGTAGTTTTTGAAAGTAAAGTTTATTTTGTAAAATATTGCAAGAACGTAAGAAATCTTCCTTCACATAATTGCCTTGATGCACCTTTCCAAACAGTCTCTTTTAACTCAGTGGTGCATGGAGCATTCGAAGCACTGATTGGGTTGTCGTAGGATCGAATCTTATCGGTAGCATTTGGATTTATTTGTTTAATCCGAGTGTGTCTGTGTCAATCACCGCATAACCTTTTCCTTCTCAACTTTGATAACTAGGCTTAAAATTTATCATCTCCATTTACACTATAATTGCGCATAAACATCACATATCGACATTCCTATCTTCGCAGGAAGTTGGTCACCATGACCTATTTAAACGGCCTACCTGTTACGTGTCCTCTATAGGTTGGTCGTCCAGCGTCCGAAGTACGAATCGGAAAGTCGTTGATTAGACTCGTATTGGCAGCATTGGGAGTTATTTGACTTTGATCATGCTTGCCAAATCCACTCTATAACATGTTTTTTTTTACATAAATAACTAGTAACTTCCTTCAATTACTTTATCATTGCGTATATAAGCATCACATATCCACAATCCTATAATTGTAGTGTGCAAGAGGTTTGTGGGCATGAATCTACGAATCCAAATGGGATAGCTCCAAGGTTTTCTTTGTTTTCTCTGGGTATGCCTGTCTTCGTTACTGAAGAACATCCTTCTTCACTGAAGTCACAAGGCTTGGAATTTAACATCTTAATTCACATCATCATTGCGCATAAAAATCACCTGTCGAAATTCCTATCCTCGTAGTATGCATGAAAATTTTCAACATGGATCTTGCTGACCCTTTACACCCTAACATCAATATAAATATTCTCCATACTGTTCTCTATACATTTCCTCAGGACCTAACAAGGAGAATCTGTTGAACAACCAAGAGCTTCTTTAGTTGGTGATCATTTCTTTTATACTCATGACGTTCACATGGCATTCAGAGGTGATAATGTAAGGATAAAAACTACATGCTAGTCACTTTTAGGGTAAAAGGGTCAATCGGTCTGCATTGCTACAAGTCTCTGCTGTCCCACGGTCTTCATGTTGTTGTGTTTCATGATTGTATCCATGAAATACGCCCAAAATATGCTTTTGATCTAGCTTTACAAGATTTTTAGGATTCTCTATGAGTGCGGTAAACTTTGCTTCGGCGGGACTGGAATCGTCAGTGAGCTGACTCGCGAAGACATAGACATCCGCCGTGTCAGAGCAAGCCCACAACACCGGACACCGCCCACTCTGGAACGAACTTTGATGCCGGACAGATTAAAAACTGATTCAAGTTTTTTTACACCGTGAGTGGTGGCGCAAAGGGAGGAGTGGGCAAGGGTCTGAAGCCTTTTCCGTATTTGTCTTGAGAATATCGCAAGCGTAGAAGAAAATCAAGGTTTCATGATCTTCTCATACAAATAATATTATCAGGATCGCCCCTGTGAAACATGTATGCAAGTGGCACGTTAATGAAAAGCCCTGGCAAAACAAAGGTCTCAGGATACAGGAGAGCTCCTACCTGGCACGGTGACTCAAAGAAAAGTTTGAGTGGAGCTATCTGCTTTGCATGGGATGTGATGAGCACTTCCTCTTATTCTACCCTCCCTCTCATGTTCTTAAACGCTCTGCTGCCTCATCACGCTTTGCTATGTACTCAAGCTACGAAGAAGTAGTGTCGGGGGTTGAGTCACCTTTTGGCCTTATAAAGCCTTATCTTCATGACAGTATGATTACGCGATCAATTCAGACCCTATCTTAATCAATTCATGCAGTGACACATGCCTTCACCCCTTTCTTCACCCAGAAAGGAAATACAGCTCAAGGTTACCTATTGCATTTTCTGACCTAGAAACACTTTCGTGAAATGCAAATCCTGCATCGGTCAAAATGAATTGCTCTTAAAACCACAAAAAATTAAAATTTTAAGAATCATCGTCATGCTCTGAAATTTGCAGTCAAGGAAAATGAACTCCATCAAAAGATCTGGGTTTGGGATGTCCATAAAATCTTATTTTCTGTCATTATAAAACCATTATTGTTCTCCACATTAAAATTATTTAAAATTCAAAAAATTTTTTGTAATGATGACAGAAAAGTTAAAAAAGTAGAACCATCAAAATTTAAATCTGGCATTTGTTTACCGAGATAATGTCATTACACTCCTTAAAAATTTGTTTTTGTTTCTGCCCTTTTTCCCCCGAAGACAAAGGAAAGATTGTACGCAGTCACTCAGCACCCAACCTAAACTCAAATAAAACACAGATGGTGTTCATAGCCATTCTCCTCTAATAAGTGTGTGAAGAACAGGCCGGAAAAAAAATCACTGTTCCACTCCAGGTTGAGATGCATCTGTAAACTGATATTCTGGATTGTTCAGTGGAAGGAGATCAGTCAAAACAGGTTTTCTTGGCTCCCTGGGAATATCAATGGGCACCAAAAGATCCTCAAATGGAGTGTTCCATGGTTGCTGCTTGCCACTTCCCAAAAGCATATAAACGATCCAGCCAACAACATAAATACCAGCAGATATATAGAATACTTTCTGCCACTGTGCCCTTGTTGGCTGAAATGATAAAAATAAATTTTATGGTCAAAAACAACATAACATAATCAAAAGTTGGAATACCGCATTCCTAGAATAAGCACCAAGGTGCTCATTTTAAATTCTGGCTAAAAGGAGGGCCATTTCTTGAAAGGAGGGCACTTCTTAAGAATTGTTAACCTGTACTGATTCCATTGTAGTTGAAGCTTAAAAAGTTACAATTTAAGTAGCAACAGAAACAGGCTTTTTGTAGTACCCTGAGGGGGGATGCACTTATTCAAGGAAGCGCTTGTTTGATATTATCCTAGGGGGTGGGTGCTCTTTTGGGGGAGGGCCTCGGCTCTTTTCTCTCGAACTAGAGAAATTTGAGCTGCATGAAGAAAGGAAATGGTGGAAGAAAGAATGAGAGGATCACAGAGAGCAAGGGAATTGGGAGGTAAAAAGGAAAATAAATTAGAGCTAATGTCAGATATTGGCAATTTCTTTTGTCCTTGTATTTTTTATATTCCCAGAGCATCACGTTTGCTCTCCTGTCTAAATACTATACATTTCAATAGCGTTGAAGCAACAACCCCTGAATTTAAAATTTAAAAAAATGAACTCCTGGAAAGCAAACTTGAAATTTTCCTCTAAATCATGGCTTGCATCTACACCATTGGCTTCAATGATGAGAAACTCAGAATTGTTTTCATCACACAATCATGTACAGTTGCAGGTAAGGCTAAAATAAATGTAGAGCAGGAAATATCTACATAATTGTTGAGAAATGGGAGTAAACTACAAAGGGAACCAACCAGGACTTAATATGACTTAGAGGGTGTCAATTAAAGGACTGGAGTCCTACGTAAAGCTGCAGGGTATGGGAGATACCTGGGCCTACTGAAACCTTTTTCACAGGGAGAGGATAGCTCCTCCATGCAAACACTATGGATTACCACACTTGAAAAATAAAGATATGCATTGAAAAAAAAAGCCCTAACAAAAATGTGATAGACTGCTAGATTCTCTTATCAATTGTCTAGTATTCATTTGTACTACACAGGGAAGTTGATGTTACATCATAACTTACTAAGAACTTCACTCCATCCACCCTTCCAAAAGCAAGTGGTAACCCTTTAGACCCTAATATCAGTATCTATATTCTTCATACTGTTCTCCATACATTTCCTCTGGTACTGACGAGGAGAATTCTTTTAACAATCAAAGCTGCTTAGATTGGTGATCATTTCCTTTATTCTCATGATCTTATCAAGTGATTCAGCAGTATTACTAGATACAGTTGTAAGAAACAAGTGAAATGATATTACAAATAGGAATTAAATGTCACTCTTAGAGTTTAAAGGGTTAATGAATACAAATATGCATTCATTTGGGAAAAATGAATCAAAAAATTGAAATCAAAGTATGATACCTCATTATTGGTTAAATAACCAACCACGTAGGGTCCAACCATCCCAGGAATTGTTGCTGCTGAGTTGGTAATTCCCATGAGGACCCCAGCATATCTTGGGGCAATATCCAGGTGATTGACATTATAGCTAGATGTATTAAGTGCTAACATTCCAAGAGCAAGTGAGAACAAAACAACAGCTAGAGTTGTGTCATCACAACCAACATAACTTGTTGACACCATAAGACATGTAGGAATGAGAAAACCTTGAAAATAATACATAATTATAATTAAAAGGGTCATTCATATCATGGAGCTCTTATCAGTACTTGTGGTTTTACCTATGTTGTGTATTGAATACAAAAACCACTATATGGAAAAATCATTATGTTCAAACACAAGGCAAAATACTGTCCACACTGATCACAAACAAAGATCCAAGGTACTGTACATGTACATAAGCTTGTAATTTTTCAAAAAGGAAGTAAAACTTTGAGTTCATGTACATGCAGATGCATGGAAGAGGGAAGAGGAAGATGCTGTGCATAACAATTCCAAATGGTTTTTTTGGATTTCACCCTTTGTCTTTATGAGAGTGAGTTCCCTTGGTTCCACAACATAGACAATTTCAGCTAAAGTATTACTAATGTAGTAAATGACCCTAGATGTCAATGGAAAAGTGGAACAAATTTTATCATAACTTCACAATAATAAAGTTTTAATGAAGAATGCATCACACAGGATGACAAGTACACACCTCCAGTACCAAATACTTTGCGAACCTCTCCAGTTGTTAATATTTTGCCATAACGCAACCAATCTGCCACTTGTCCCCCACCAACCGAAACAAAAAAAGCTAATAAAAAGGGAATGGCAGAAACAAAACCATTCTGTAACAGAAATAACAAGAAGTTGTTAAATCATTGATGCATGAAAAAATAATTGAAAGAAGAATTTTTAGTCCTTTCAAAAACAAAGAAGTAATAACTGGTGAAAAGAACCCTTGATAATTAAATATTATTGCATAAGGTGCATGTGTACTAGTAAGGTAAAGTGAATGACAGATAATGGTATCCTCTGACAGAGACATGCGTGGAAATAAGACACCTGAGTGCTACCAATATGACTTGAACTATGAAGTTCTGATTAGTACTTCAGATGCTCTACCACTGAGCTACAGGAGACTTGTGGCAGGCTAGGCCGTTTAACTAGGTCACTAGTGACAAACTTCCTGCATACTGCTAGCATTGGAATGTCAATATTTGGTACTTCTAAGCCATGATGATGTAAACGGGGAGGGTAAAACAATACACAACTCTAGTACTGTATAAAATAAGAAACTTCCATTAAACCCAGTTTGAGGTCTGTGCTGTAAGTTATGGACCACATTCAGCAACAAGGTTCCATAACTTTCAGTAATGATTGAAAAGACAAGGTCAGTGAGATATTTAATAAAGTTCTGGGTTGAACTGAGAGAGGGTGAGATTTCAATTCACACAGAATTGTGAAGTCATCAGGCCGAATTACTGTCAACTCGCCAACAGTTCAATTTGCCAACGCCAACTCGCCGACGCATAAAATCGAGTAGAAATGTTGGCGAGTTGGTCTTCAATCCAGTACAACTTATTAGAAGTTAAACATATAGAAAAGTAAAAGATCTTTAGTAAAAGAAAAAAATTTTCTTCCAACAAAGTTTATAAGAACCTCACGGCGAACAAAGAAGGTAAACATCACCAATGACTATAACAGCTTCAGACGCGAACAAGTTATGTGTGATAACAACACCGTAAAGAGTCATCATGTCAATTGTTCAGATTTTTTTAAAGAAAGAGGGGTAAGTTTCTAAAGAAACTGGTGCTGTGTCGGTGGGAGAGTATAGCAGGTAATTTAGTGTTAACAACTGGGTTGAAAACGTAAATTAGCCACCGTAAAGGGTAAAAAAGCTAAAATTTTAAAATTAATTAAAACTTGGCTTTCTAGTCAAGATCTTCATTAACAAAAAATTCTTTTTATTTGTAACAAAGTTTTTAAAGATCTCAAGGCGAATAAAACAAGATAAACATCGGCAATGACTATAAAAGCATCAGATGCAAACAAGTTATAACTTGTTCATGTCTTAAGCTGCTAATATTCATTGGTGATGTTCACCAATGTTCACCAATGTTTAAGCTTCTGTTTGATGTTCACCAATGTTCACCAGTGTTTTTTTACTAAATTTTGTTTACTTTTCTGTATGTTTAACTTCTAATAAGTTGTATTGGATTTAGGACCAACTCGCCGACGTCTCTACTCGATTTTATACATTGGCGAGTTGGCGTTGGCGAGTTGGTGTTGGCAAGTTGAACCGTCGGCAAGTTGACTGGATACCATCAGGCCACACAGTGAAATACTGCCCACTAATTTGACCAATCATCACCCATATACAGACTAGGAGATTCAATGTGGCCTGACATTATCAGAAAAATGAACTTGGCTGTGAAGTTTTAACATGTGCATGTTCATGCCAATCAGCCAAACATTTTCTGTAAATATTTTGTAAGTTGAAGCAAATAACAAAAGTGATGGTATTTACATCAGGGTGAAATGGATAATTATTTCCTTCTGCAATAAAATTATTTCTTTACACAAGTAAATCTGATTTACCTGCAGTATTCACTGTGTATCATTGCAGCTGCATATTCAAGTACATATAAAGTAAAATGGAATTCTCTCTGAATGACAATATTTAATTATGACTAATGCAAAATTTCCATTTTGTTTAATTGTAATTGATATTTAAGCTTTGACATAAATAATGTGATCAGGTATGAAAGACTTACCTCAGAAATTGAAAAATTAAGAACTTCTTTAAAGTAAGAGGGCAAGCAGGTAAGAAAAGTATAAAAACCCCAATTGTTACAAAAGTGTGCCACAGTGATGGCCCAAACAGCTGGTGATGTCCATATATGACACCAAGGGATGCCATAATTCTGTAAAGAAAAGAATGGACATAATTTAAAAATCAGTGAGGGACACTGAAGTGCCACAATAGGTGGTCAGCTAAATTGTATCTCCTGAAATGTAAATGTCTCAAATTCAGGTAAAGAAAAAATTTAAAGTCTGTACTCAAACCAAATGACCCCACAGCTTTTCCTGATTTCTTGAGGTGACTAGGAGTATTACTGTTCCCCTCCTGGATGGGATGCCAATCCATCGCAAGGTTAGCCCCCTGCATTTCATTATGCTTTCCTGAAAATTTGCCAGTACCCATTTATTTTCCTGGGTGGTGAGAGTTACTCTGAGAGAAAAAACTTTTGCCAAAGAACACAACATATTGACCAGGCCAGGTCTCAGACCCAGACCTCTCAACTTGGAGTCCAGCTCATTCAAACCACCATTAAAGTTCAAACTCACATAAGTTTCTGCTAACACAAAAACAAACTACAAGTCTTTACAAAGATAATTTGAAATAAAGTAAAACAACACTTATTTGCCATACTCTTTTCTTGTTGTCCTGTCCAGAACCTATACTTGATATAATGTAATCTCTCTCGATCTTAGATATTCTGGGGTAATTTGCTGGTTTTTCATGAGCAAAGATCATCCAAATAATGAACCAAAGAATACCTAACATTCCTATAAACAACAAAAAAGAAATTGTTAAACCTTTTACAAGTACTGTAAGCATAGTAAGCTTATTCTCCTTATTGTTCTGCATTTCCTGAGGTGCTGACATGGAGAATTTGTTTAACAATCAAGAGCTTAGATTTTCAGATGGTGACCATTCCCTTTATTCTTAGTGACCAGGACTTTGCCGGTCAATTTAGGGGAGAAAAGGTTGAAGCTGATTCAAATTTCCACACCATGAGATCCCCAACTTGGATGTTGCAGTGCCTACTTCTCCATGTTCCCTAATTTAAATTGTTTGCAATTGATCCATACTATTTAATCAAAATTATTACTATTGTATTTCCATCCTATGATAGGAATTAATCATAAACAAAAATCAATTTTTTTACAGCTATTTAAAGTTGGAATTTTTTACCGAACAGTGCTGGTTCTCATTGGTTATTTTGGGGGTCCTATGATATCCAATAAGAATACTGTTTCCCATCCCAAGTCTCTGAGCAAGCAAATGACAAAGTCTACTACATCAGAGGGTAACAGTACACTGTTGTCAGTGTGAGTTTTACTGCGCTTACATATAATTCTTTTTTCTTCAAATGTCTTTGTTGTGCTATATATCAACAAATCACAACTGGTTCCACTGGAAACATTCAATTTTGTTTCCCCATCCAAGAGTAGCCATTAAGTCTTTAACATTACATACAATGACCACAGACAAACTTGTGCTCAAAACTGATGAGCTAGATTTAGAAATTAACAGTTTTAACTTTTATTTAGTGTATTAATCAAAACTATAACATATCACCAGCCTGATTTGAGCACTTATACATGTACGTGTCATGCTTGTAATTGGACAGTAATAATAGTTACAGTTAACATGTCATGTCTGTGTCAGTGGACAGAATGCGTCATGTTTGCATGTTGTTGTCCCATATTTTGCTGAGTTACTAGAAATGTTGCTTTTTTTTTCCCTGAAAACCTATCAAATATGTCTATTTTCTTTCTCAAATTTTGTCATATTTATGATTAATTGATAACAGGACTTTGTGTCATCCAACCCTGTCTGTAATCATACCTGTGATAAACAAATCTGACCCCTGCTTTGTGGTTGTCCAATTTTGTTTATCACTCCTATGATGAAAGACCAAAGTGGACTCCACTTGGTCTTATTACCATTATTAATCAGTTTCAAATGCATACAGGGGTGTAAATGTACATACCAAAAATATAAAATACAGATGGCCATCCTCCCCAAAGATCAGATGAGCACAGCACACCAGCCAATGGCAAGCCAATTACTGTCCCAATATTAAGGCCTGTTGTTGTGGAAAAACAGGAAAGTAAATATATATGAAGTGCTTTAAATACAAAAAAAGGTTTGAACAGAAGCTCACTCCACTAGAGATATGTAAAAGGTGTATGTGCTTTCCAGTAAATACATGTATAATCTCTTAGAAAGTTGTATAATGCATTTTCTATTATAAATTACCCCCAGGGAAACAGGAAGAAGCCACTTAGACACAGGGTTGATGAGGATTAAACATTAAGACATATATATAAATTTAAAACACATTCAATTAAAACTTCATATACAGCCTGGGACATTCGCATTTCGATCCCTCACAACATCAAAGCAATAGTAAAAAAAAAAAAATTTTGAATGGAACATTTGTTTACTTTACCCTAATACTGCTCTGGCCATATGCTTAAAACACCTATGGGTGGTACACTTTTATAATTACAGTAATCATTATTCTGTCTGTCTACAGGACTGCTTCATTGTAACAAGGGCATGGATAAGACAATAAGAAATGTCTACAATTGTTGAAGGAGGGCTGGTCTTGGGGAACAATGTATGCTGTACTGAATAAGAGTATAACAGAATTTTATTAGTTGTATTAATTAACCATGGATCGACATACTGTTATCTTATTACTAGTACAGCAGTGTATTTGTAGAGAAAGGTTATATTAGCCTATCAATTTAATTTTACATGTTCAAGACAGACTTTTCATTATCAATACCCTTGGATATAAAACTTTAACTTTCATGGTAATACTTGTCTAATAAATTATTACCTGAATAACACAAGGTGCAAAGCTTGCTCCTCTCTAATGGTGGAGCCCAGTTACTCCACATGGCATGCATGGCTGGGAACGTCACACCCTGTAGTGATCAATACAGTTGGCTAATAAATTATTATTAATATTTAATTATAATCATGATTATAATTATAATATTCATTGTAATGATCATCTAGAAACCAGTCTGAACTCTTATTTTAGTTTACTGTACAGTAATGCATCTTTTCCCCAAACTGAAAATTCATCAATTTGAACTATTGATGAACTGTAATCACTTCTAATCTATCACCTGATGAGCTTCTTTGATTATTAACCAATCAGAATGTCTGGTTTGTTACTTCTTGTTGCATTGAATTACCTGAAAACTGCATTTATCTTAACCAATCAGAACTGAGTAATTTCAGGTATATTATAAGTGGTGTAATAACCCATAGGGATGTTGGGGGAACATGAGAAAAGTTTGTAAATCACAAGGTTTACAAATTTTTTTTGGTGTTCTCCCAACATCCTCCATTGGTTTTTACCTAGGTAAACTGGTGGAAAGTGCAGCCTTTTGTCCGAAAAAATAAATAACGGGTTAAGTGGAGGAATAAACTAATTTTTTTGAGCGATCAGGACACTTATCTTTCTCACTTATTTCATAAAATTTGTTATTCATAGAAAGAACTAAATAAGCAACTATTAAATTGTCTTTATGCTCTTTTTTTCCTGGGTGCATTAAACATTTCCTTATCCAAAAGTTCCACTTTAATTGTTTGTCTATTTTGTTCTTCCTCCAAAAGCAGAGTGAATCAGTTTCTTTGTGACCTGATAGCTTAATGTAAGCAGTTCCACATCTAAGTATAGCAAATAACTCAAAGTAGAAGCAAATAATTACTCATAATAAATGTGTTAACCTTTCAATTGTCACTACACCTTACCTTTTAAATCAGCTGATAAAAAATGTTCACATCAGTGAATCTGATTTTGGTGAAATAAACACCTTAGAGTGGTTACACTTTACTAAATCCAAAAAACTGACCTCTCCAAACCCCTCCAATATTCTGACTAGAATAAACATCCCAACACTGTGATTTGCAGCAGCAGGGGTAAACAATGTCAATATTGATGTACAAAGTACTCCAAAACCAAATAAGTACTTGGCCCCAACTCGTGCAGCTAACCAGCCACCAGGCACTTGAGTGATAATATAACCATAGAAAAATGACCCCAAAATGAGTCCTGCCAACAGAAATCAAATGAGTTGTATTTACCTAGCTTATTTGCTTGAGCATTGCTAATAACAAATGACCAACATATACATGAATCACCTAAAAAGAAAAATCTCTGTTTACCTAGTGCCAAAAGGAATTAAGGTATTTCTTTAAGTGCACACAGAGTGAAATTAAAAAACACACAAGATATATGTAACACATACCATGTTATGTACATATTTAACAAAGATTCCATTTTGCTGTATGGCTGTTCAGTAACAGATCACAGATTACGTTGTGGCATATAAGGTGCAGCTGAGCATGTCATTGAACAGAATCTGTTCTTATAACATTTTGGAGTCTTCCATGATCCATTACAGTACAGAACCACCACAACAAGATGTTTATTTGTTTAATAAAATGAAAAAGCAAAATGTGGTCAGAGGTGACCTCATATACTGTATACTCCTGTCCTTAAATAGATCACCAATAGAAACCAATCAAAATTTGCAAATAATTCAGTTTACTATATAAATATGGAGTATCCAAAACAACATGGATGTAGAGTGTTATTGAACATCTCACAATCCAATTCAACAACATTTAACCCTTTAACTCCCAAGATCAGATTGTTAATTCTCCCTGTAGCTGCTACACATTTCGTCATAAATTAGTTTTGAGAACTTGGTGCTAGATCAAGATAGCAGCTTCTACCTGATAAGTTTGAATTTCCTTGTAAATTAGTTAAAAGAATTTGACATTAGATCAAGATAATAACTTCTGCCCAATAAGTTTGAATATTCTCTTAACATGTTTGCTAAATAAGATATGGATATTATCAGGAGAAGTTCCATGTTAAATATTCTAAGGAATTAAAGTATTAACTTTTAATAGGGAAGATCTGATTTATAACCCTTTAACTCCCAAGATCTGATTGATAATTCTCCCCTCTAGCTGCTACACATTTCCTTGTAATTAGTTATGAGAATTTAGTGTTAGATCAAGATAACAACTTCTATCTGATAAGTTTGAATATTCTCATTACCTGTTTGCTAGATAATGTGAGGATATTATAGGGAGAAGTTTCGTGTTAATCACATCTGGGAGTTTAAGGGTTAATTTACTGATCAAGTCATAATCCCACCTTGTGTCTCCTGATCCCACTCAAACTCTCCCTCCTGCAATATAACAGCATGCAGTTCATTTGCCATCAGAACAGTAAATACTATGTTAAAAGAAACCTTCACCGCTGAAAGAAGTCTTCGTTTGATTATAAAAAGATAACCTGTGAAGTTAAATTTTGTTGTCATACATGGGAATAAAGCAACTGTTGCCAGGTCTTGTCACGCAACGAGATGTTGCTGACGCGCGTTGCGTGACAAGACCAAACCATAATTACGACGGAAGTTGAACATTGCCGAGATTTAAAGACATCATTAAATTCTTTTTATCGTTGATACCTTCACATACACATGTATTTTTCACACAAAAAATCCCACACAATCACACACGGGTCGGGCCAAATCGATTAAGTCCTTTAACGGTTGCATAGGGTACGTACACCTACCTTTTCTGTCGATGTTTTTGATGTGTTTCTTTGACATTCAGGATTATTCGCGGAAGCCTTCGAATTAGCGTAAGTCGAATTAACCATTGCAACCAAAGCCACACTCAAGTTCACTCGTAACATGTAAACCACAGAAAAACCTGCGCAAGCCAACATTGCTAGCACGTATCGACAGGGCAAATAACATCCTGAATTTCGGCGAGATTTGCTGGAGGTTTGATCACGGGTGAGTAAGCTTTCATCCATTGGTAAGCTGTGTTCTCTTGAAAGTACCTCGTGTTAATCACGGGAATGACTGAATGATAACATTTTTTTCGAAATCCGCGGCCTATCCTGGAAACTAGTTGTCACTAGTAGGATTATGGGAAATATTTCGGACGACGCGCTCTAGACAACCCCTGTTGGGCAACTGTCTGTCTATGTTCCTCTAACTCTCCCCGCGGATAAACTGTAAGTATGCCAAATCTGTCAATGAATTAATCCAGTTTATTTCTAGCTTCTTTAAGGCGACGAGTGAAATTGCAGAAGAACGACGCTTGGCCGACAAGATCAATCATTTTCCGCTGAACTAGCAGTCAAACGAATGTGCATGCGCGAAAGTTAAGACACCCATAGAACCAGAGACAGAAAGGAATGGAATGGACATCTAACTTTTAGGCTTTCGGAACCAAGTTAATGAATTTCTTAAGAAACCCACACGGGTCGGTAATTCAAGGTGAAGTCAAAGAGAATGACTTTTGATTTGGCTTAAATTTAAAACAATAATTCAACAATACCTCAAATTTTAGTGTTCCTTCCTTTTCTTAATATTCGTTAGTTTTTATATATTCCGGAAAAACCGAGCTCGACATATTTACGCATGAATAAAGGGGTAAGTTTCTAAAGAAACTGTAGTGCTGCGTCGGTGGGAGAGTATAGCAGGTAATTTAGTGTTAACAACTGGGTTGAAAACGTAAATTAGCCACCGTAAAGGTTAAAAAAGTTGACGTTTCGAGCGTTAGCCCTTCGTCAGAGCGACGAAGGGCTGCACTAAATTACCTGATATTTACGCATGCTTTGCGTTTGATAGTTGTGTTGTTTTTTCGTTTGCTTGGTTTTTCCGCCATCCTATGATCTAAAGCCTGCAAGGATGTCAAGTTTTAAGTGCCCCGCAGTTCATTTTTTTTTGATAAGAATTAAAAATACGTAAACTGTGATCAGTTTTTGTCAATCTCTTTTCAACTGAAAGTAACGAAGTCGGCTTATGTATGCGGGAGGATTGGAAACCAAATACTCACGGATTGGGGATTTTTGCAAAAAAGAAAAAAAAAAGCAGATTTGGCAGAAAATTTCAACAAGAATTCCACATTCTGTCTGTTTAAAAGTTGGGAATGTGGATCGCATCGTTATTTAGTCGGGCTCACTCGGGCTCACTCGGGCTCGCTCGGTATGTTGGTGTTTAGAATTAATTTCAGTAAGTTTTCAGCCTTATGACTTAGAGCCCTAGGCTTGCTAGCTTGGCAGGTCAGTTTTTAATAGGTCTAGTATCCTAAACATCACTTTAAAAAAACCGAAAATGATTATAAAAAGGGTAAAATCGAATGTCGTAGAAGAAAGGCAAAACAGATATGTATTTACAGTGGGCGGAACTTAACTGTAAGTGGCAGTGACAAAGAATGTAATTATTTTCCAATTGGTATGTTAGCACGTGGGCCGCTATGGCGTTAATTGAGTCTTTTGTTGTAGAGCGTATTTAACGTTTGACATTTGTTATGTATTCATCTTAGCTTTCGAGCTTTTCTAGTTTTACCTTAAATTTTAGCTTGCACGTAATTAAGCTGTTTTACCTCTAACCCTCAGAGGTTGGTGCGCCTGCATTTGGATGGAGAATACGTTCCCATTTTTCCCATTGGGTTTTGTGAGTTTTCGTATCAGGCGGCGGCACAAAAACGTTTTAGCCCGAGAGGTGATGACTAGTTGTTTACTATTCTGTGTAGCTTTGTCGAACAGCATTAAATACTCGGGCTCCTAGTTCGAGCTGCACATCTACTCTTGTGTATGATTCGTGAATTTAAATAGGAAATAAACATACATTTAGACTCTCATTTTGCAGTTAATTTATATCACGGAAAGTTTTAAGGGTCTTTTAATGCAACAAAGATTTGAACGAAAATGAGGCTGGATCGGCAGATCTAACAGTTCAAACGATTATAATGATGGTAGCCGAATTTACATACCCCTGTTGACCCCCTGTTGACTTCTCTGTTGATCCTATTGACCTCCCTGTTTTTCCCCCTGTGGACCCTCCCCTCGTTGATCCCACCTGCAACTGTGACTAGAGGTTGTTGTTCAGGAGGGTCTCAATGGGGGGACAAGTTTAACAGCTGACGATTGATTTTTTCGGATTTTGACTACTGCTGGTTAAATTTTAGGGCTTTCAGGATTTATCAAGGCAGTTTTCTGAAGCTGTTCCATTTGGCGATCAATAGCAACCAAGAGTTTATAAACTGCTGTTGACATTTCATTTAACATCAGTGCCTTCTCTGAGCTTTTGTCACCCAACCTGATAGCATGGCCAAACTGCAAAGTCGACTCCGCTCCATTTAATTCCTAGCTAGTCCAAACACTACTTCATTGTTGATTCCATCTGATCTGATTCGTTATGGCGGGTAGATGAAGTTGACGTACGATGCAAAATGTCCTAACTTGCAATTGATGATGGTACAATTCTATGCTTTACTACAATATAAGAGTACTCTCTAGTTTAATCGTGTCAATTAGCGGTGGGGTGGATTCAAAGATCAAATTTTGCTGAGTCTTTAATTTGCCGTCCGGATTTTGTAGCGGAAAGTCTAAGAATAGGAAAGTCCCCTAATTAACTCTTCATCTTCATTTTACGTGAATTCAATTTCTGAGTCGTTTTCCTACTCATCAACCTGTGTTGGTTCAAGTCCAACGCTAGTATGGAATTGTGACGTGGTGTACTTGTGTCGTTAACAAAGGTTATGGTTGGATCTGCTTTCTGGCCTTAGTCAGTGATCTCTGCTCTGACAGTCCTCTGTCTCACTGGTCTGTAGCTCTCTATCCACTCTTTCGTAAAAACTTCCCTTTCTTTGGAAATTGTCTCACAAGACAGAAGTTCCTCAAACGGACAGAATGGAAATGAATAACAGACTGGGGCAGTGGGTGTTAAGAGCTAGGATGAGTAGAGCACTAGCCGCCCACTTTGTGACTCGTCTAATATAAGGGACTCCTTGGAGATGCAACCAATTCCACAGCACATTGTAGGACGCTGAAAAGGCGTGGAGGTTCACTAATTTTCTAAGCTGGTAGAGCTCATATGAGCTGAGTTCAAGTTTGTTGGACTAGTCGTTGATGACATTGATCCTACAGAAATTCTTGCTTTGAATCGCTCTAACGCTTTATCTTCTCCTTAACAATAGAGCTCTCGACGGCTCTCAACAGGCTCGACATGACATGACATGACATGACGTAAACTTGTCTGCAGTGACTTGGTCGAAAGGCAGGAATAACACTGCGTGGCGTGGCTTGGTCACTGGCCAGGAAAAATAAGTTATGAACTGAAGAAAGTTAGCCCTTTTAGATACTAGCTATCAGGATGTGATGTAACAAAATTGTCAGTTTAGGCGAAAATCAGTACACATGACCATAAGGTGAGTATATATGGAAACCTGGACTATGGTTTACCAGTCTGAAGATCCTTTAAGATCTTCAACTGTTCGCGCTGAGAAGCAGTAATGGGGAAAATAGTGAGATGCGAAACATCTGCAAAGCGTCTGACGGTTAATATTAAGCTGCTTTTATGACGGTTGACGATAAAAATGCATGTGTCGTTTTTGACGGCTGACGGTTAAATTTTAGGCCCATTGACAGCTGATGGTTAAATCCCTTTGAGACCCTCGTGTCATGCATCTGAAAAAAGCTTTAGAAATACTCATGCTGGATTTATGTAACGCCGACCTCAAAATCATAATTTATTACTTGGCTAAAAATTCTGGGTTTCGATGGATGACAGACCGCCATTACTGAAGCAAGACACCTCAAGATTTCGTTTGAACTTAAAATGTTATTTTCCATGTCGTTACGTACTGGCGATCCTATCCTTCTCCGGTTTCTGTGTTTCGAACGCTATGAGAGCGAGCTTGAGTGTGGCTTTAGTGGCGATGGTTAATTCAAGTTATTCCAATGTCAAGGCGGTTACGGCGAATAATCCCGAGTGTCGAAGAAACACATCAGAAGAGCCTTCGAAAGAGGTTGGTGATATATTACCTTGTAATGAACTTTCTCACTCAAAAGCTGTTTTATTACCGCACGAACTGGCCGAACTGGCTCGGTTTACCAGGAGATGATGTGGAAACCGAGGAAGCCCCGTTAGCTTGGATACCGATCATCTGCACAGTAATTTTTTTTTCAGATAACAATATATGTAAGTGTACCGGACCAAACTTGCTAACAACTCGAGCTATTGCTCGTGTGCACCGGTCCAGTCTCTTCTATTCTTAAACATAATTGGCTGCCTTCGTCCATGTTATATCGATTTTCTCGGCAACCAGTCAGGCTATTTCACATAATCGACCTCTTAATGGAGAAATATGCTTTGAAAACTATATAATTTTTATCTATTACCAACTTCGTTTTTAAAAAATTGTCTTCATTGTTCCCAAGAATTAATTCAAATTTGGATGCAGCCATTTTGAAAACATCACAATTAATTTAATTCGTTTTTGAAGAATCAAAATAGCGGTGTCCCGGATGGAATTAAGGTTCGTATGAGGAAAATTTTCGAGACGTTATTTTCCTCAGCACAACTTGGGTTAGCCCAAATCCCTTTTTTCTATTCATGATTCTTACGATTGATGATTCATGAAAGGCACGTAAAACACAAAAGAAAGATGAAGAAATGAGACGTTTGGCGGTTCTTGTAATCGTTTCACATCGCCCAAGTAATATTGGTATTGAATGGTTTTTTTTAGAGCGGAATGTTTAACTGGGATCAAGAAATGCAAGGTAGGAGTTAGTTCATACTGTGATCAATTTAGACGTCTTGTTATGATGCAAATAGAAAAATGTTAAGGTACAATTAAAAAAGATACAAAAGGTCATGAAAGTGAATTGCTTAGGTCTATCTGGAACCTGAAGAAAGCGGTAAAAAAAGATCCCCTCCGAATCGGTGAAGAGCCGTAACCAAATGAGATGCAAGGACCAATAAGTTTACAAACCGCACCCCACGTTGAGGCGCCATGAAGTGTGAAGAAAATAAAAAATTCCAAGCTTAATCAGGCTAAGGGCATTTGACGTTACCCTGAGCCAAATTTCACTTGGCTGAAATACATCAGTTTCTCACTAGTCTATGATGTCTATAATTTAAGCGGCTTAGTATTCAACATGCAAACATGTTTTTCAACTCCATGCTACTTTATTAGTCGTTTATGTGTATTGCTCTCACTTCAGATACTTTTGAGTCACAAGAACACTGGACTTCGAGGAATAAATATAAATATATTCTAAATGATTTTTTTTATTTTTCTGGATAAGAGGGGGGAAGGGGGGAGGGGGCTGGAGCATTTTTGTTGTGTCACAATGAAAGTTAATCATCCCCCATATGGCTCGGTAATATTTCTATGATCCGCGTGTTATTGGCAGTTAATTGGCGGTCAATTTTCTATAGCACCTCCTTTCAAGTATGCTCTGTTCGCGACGAAAACCATGTGATCCCCCAAAATCCTCCACCCATCCCCTATATTCTTTGACGTTAAATAACGACTGGTCCTTAAGTAATACTGACTTAGAAACAAGCACATTTTGTTTTGACAGGACTCATCTTGAGCTCAACTTATTATGGTTACATTTTCACACAACTGCCAGGCAGTTTGTTGGTAAAAAGAGTGGGTCCCAAGTATTTGTTTGGTGTCCCTATGTTCATTACATCAGTGTTCACGATACTTACACCTGCTGCGGCACATCACAGTGTTGAAATGCTCATTCTGGTCAGAATTCTACAAGGACTTGTCATGGTCAGTTTTCTCATCAATATTTGCTTTTTTTCCCTCTTATTTTATGTCAAGAATGTTATGATTTATTACAGAAATCTGGTTAAGGATTTTCAGAGTCGGGATACTGGACTATCTTTAGGAGTTTTTCCCCCTGCTGCTGTGATCCAGGTTCGACTCCCTCAACTGGCGTCTTATTAAGACCTGGTGTAAAGTCAATTCCCTATCTTCTGCTCTGAGAACTCCGGTTCTCTGGTTCAGCTTGGTAGGATTGGAGAATAAGAAGATTTTTATTTTTACTTTACAACATTTAGTAATCTGGGATAACTCAGGGAATAATCAATACGTGTAGCAAATAATTGTTACTCAAGGTTAAAGTAGCTGTATGATTTCATATCCAAGTGTTATTTTTATCTCCATACATAAGGCTACGAGAAATGAAAGTTTGTTTTTCAAGATTTTTCTAAATCATTAGACAGAGGTTCACATTCACCAAGCCCTACCCTTTTCTTACTAAACTATTCAAATTAGTGAAGTATGTACGCATGTCTGGTGAAATACACGTGATCAATTTTGTAATGACAGGGTGTGACGTTCCCAGCCATGCATGCCATGTGGAGTAGCTGGGCTCCCCCTCTAGAGAGAAGCAAGCTTTGCGCCTTGGCCTACTCAGGTACTGTTGATAACTACAGGGAAATTTCTTCCAAGCTAGTGCTTTTCTGAGAGGAAAACCATTTTATAGCCATTTTAAGACCGTTTTAAAATTAAATTGCTCGAAGTATTTTGAATGAAAGAAAATGTGACTTATCGAGTGCGGAGTCAAGTAAAAGACCCTGTGGTTGTGTGTCAGTTTCAAGAATACTTCCAGCGTAGTTGACAGGAAGACGCGATGGGTTATTTTACCAAAAGTTTCAAGTTCGAGCCTGAGAGTGTGTTGTGTACTTAAGCAAGATATCTCACTCTCACAACGACATCTTCACCAAATGGTATATACAGGTACCGGAAACAGTCATCAAATCCTAAAAAATCCTGACTAGCATCCTGTTCAAAGGAAATGGGACACTCTCAGTCGCTTCACTAATGATGCTATGGATACCGGTATAAGCTCTGGTACGAACTGGGACTCGTGGCTCGTAAGCTTATTTTTTACTCTTATTAGCTTGGACTTAACTGAATAACCCTTTTTTTCGCACAGGAGGGCATCATCAAATTCTCAAACACATTTGTTAAATTTTATGTTTACTTTATGTTAATTAGGAATTCCATTTGGTGGGTTTCTTGGTATGTATTTGTCTGGTTTGCTGTGTGCCTCTGATCTCTGGGGAGGATGGCCGTCAACATTTTACATTTTTGGTACGTGATTACATAAAAGGTAACAGCTGGTTTCGCTACATTCCGAGTTAGCTACGTTTGAATTTGCTTCATTTTTGCTACATTTCACATCGAGTTCGCTACTAACGTCACTGAATTCCTAGCCTGTTTGAATTTCATTAACGATGATAATTGGAAACTCACAATACCTACTACTCGAAGCCTTTGGTCGCTGAAATGTACGATACAGCGAGAAAGTCGACTCGATACTTGCAACACAAGCTTCGACTTACACTCACTTGGTCCCCGGGACTTGTCACGGGAACTATTTGCAGGGACTATAGTCTTGACTAGGAGCGGTCCCACCTTTTCGGCGAAGTCCGTCGCGCAATCTTAAAAAATTAAAAAAAAAAATTGACCTTGCACGATGGAATGGTTTTCAGCCGTCAAATTATAATCTCAATTGAGCGTAACCAATGAGATTCCTTATCTTAATACCAGTCAATGTTCATGTCATCGCAAGACGCGGGTGTAAAAACATTACAAATTTCGGGGCGCCCAATAAACTTGAAATTTATTAAGTGCTTCAAATAGGTGAGTCTCGCGAACTAAACTCCTAAGAAGATAATTGGGAAGGGCAGGCCGGTCAAGGAGCCATCGACTTTTGCTGGGTGTGTTCTTGTAATTTGTATTCAAAGATAGCATTCATGAAGTCTTAGTCCTTTTTTGATAACTGAACGGCTTCTCCCCGCGGCGCGCTAACGTCAATTTTTTCACGTGTTTTTTTATTCGACTCCCGCGACCGACTTCACCGAAAAGGAGAGACTTCTCGTAGTGTTGGAAATTAAAGTTCCTTCGTGGTGCGGTGCCGACCACAACGTGTGGCTTGCGTGGTGGTCTTTCTTTTCCGATGCATCTTGATTCCAAATTACCCGCATATTTTCATCTTATCGCAGGCTCTGTAGCTCTTGTTTGGTTTTTTACTTGGATGATATTCGCTCATGACAAACCAATACATCACCCTTGGATATCAACGGAAGAAAGAGAGTACATCTTGTCAAGTCTAGGCGCCAAACAAGAAAAGAAGGTAGTATGTATATGACAACAGCTTTGTGTTTTATTCCGTTCTTTAAATCCAAAATCGGGTTTCCCACAAATCTGATCGGAAAGACTAATTTACAGTGCGGACCTCGAACTCGGTTAGTAAGAGATATAGTATTGAACATCAATTCTTTTTTTGTTGCAAATTCTGTTGCGGGAAGTTTGGGTAAAGTTGGCGAGAGAGCGTCCAGAAAATTGCTCATTCGTCTTCAGATATGCTTATGGCCGAAAATGCTCGGTCTTTACAGATGTACTTTGTTCATTATTTCAGCAAACCAAAAAATAGCTCTCAATATCAAGACAGCACGAGTCATTAACATTTCTCATTTCTTCTCTATTTATTAGCGACGGAAAATTCTCTGGCGGCAGCTTTTAACATCATTACCTGTATGGGCCATAATAACCGCACATTTTTGTTTCAACTGGGTGAATTTCACTTGTATTTCTTTACTACCTTCTTACTTCAGAGAAGCCCTCAATTTCGCCATTTCTAAGGTAAGTGTTATTTAAATAGGCCCTACCATATTTGGTGTTACTAAGTTTTATTGAAGAGTGTGAGAAATTACTTGTAGGGGAAATACTAGTTGAAACAGTGCAATATTGTAGACAGGAATATACTAGATATCTCCCGCTGGCCAATGACTGTACGTTTAAATATTTTTCCTTTCTCTTTTAGACGCTATAAATGTATGTTCTTCATGTGACAAAAGGCAGTAGCCGTTCAAACCTTAAAATGTGTGAAATTAGTGACAAGATACGAGTGTGCGGTCAAAATGAATTTGTTATGAATTGGTGCTTGGCAACTCCTCATCTTTCAGTAAGAGGTCTGTCGCGTACGAAGGCATACTGCGTAACAAAGCCGTCGCAAAAGGTGGTTGTTTAGGGAACAGATCAGGAAAAATTTGCAAAAGACCCATCAGCACGACTTGTTGCATAACCTGATCATTACCTGAACGACCACCTTCTGTGACGGTTTTGTTAGGAAATAGGAATTTGATTGGCCTTACACTTGCTTTCAGAGACCAGATATATATAATAAATAAATGTCTTCTGTTACTGAAACTGAGAGCTAATCAGCGATTGGGCGTAAACGTACTTCACGTACAACATTATCTCTTGTTTCTCTGGTATTTAAAAAAGGAGACCTCTTCTGACTTAAACGTTTAGAACCTAACGACTTGAAGAACGGCAACTTAAACTTAGAATGTCACTCGAATTGCCTCTTCGTAATTAGAAACATCAACTTTGTCCTCTAAAGTAGCCAAGGGAACATCTGTTCTTTGAGAATCTCGAGGCCCAGTACTGTGATAAATTCATGTGTTAAGTAATGAATTTCAAATTTTTATTCTCTAGACTGGTTTCGTGTCCGGTCTTCCATATTTACTGCATACCATAGTTGGTGTCGGAGGTGGGCAACTGGCGGACTGGCTTCGTAGCAGAGGAATATTAACTACAGGACAAACGAGAAAAGTGTCTTTGACTGCTGGTAATTTCCTTTCCTTCGGGTCGGCGAAATGTCTTTTGATTGCAATCAAAACGGTAGAAGTGCAAAATTCGAGCGCGAAATTTAATAATAAGTATTAAAGGATTTTATTAAAATGTTTTTGACTTCTAAGTTCATCCATTCATTTTAGGCTTCCTCATTCCTGCAAGTCTCATTGTGTCAACAAGTTATGTGACCTGCGACCAACCGACTCTTGCTGTTGTCCTATGTTCTCTGGCTACGGGAATATCAGCCCTTTCGTCAATTTCTATTTTTGCCAATATCTTGGACATAGCCAATAGATATTCAGAACATGTTATGGCAATCTCCAACTTGGCAGCCACAATTCCTGGGATAGTTGCACCGTATTTGGTTGGGATCATAACAAACAATCAGGTATCGACTTTTCATAGATTTCAATTCAAAATGGTAGTAGGACCAAATGGAGTCCAATTCGGTCTGGAATCATCCGAGTGATTTGTTAATTACGAGCATGATTACAAGCAGAATTGGACGTAACGAAGTCCTGTTATACTAATTAACCATAACCATTTCAATTTCCGAAAAAAAAAATGCATTTACTTCAGAAAATATCTTCAGTAAAGACATTGTTCCTCAAATTTGGAAATTCCCCAGGTTTACGGGGTAAGTGGTTGTCGCTATTGTTATCGTAATCAATTCTGTGAGCCTTAGTATGAGTGGCTGCTTGAACTGTCCATTGCAAGTGTCCGACTGGAATTGTCCGATTACGACTCTACAGAATAATTAGTGAGAAATAAAACAGTTAATGCACCAATCGCATTTGCAGAAATTGTAATGGTTATGATTAAATGTATTATGGATTTCCCATTTGAAAAAGATTCCTCTCAATATAATTACGAAAATCCGTGAATTAAGAACTTCAAAACTGACATTTGGTTACCTAGGAACCATAGCAATTCATGTAATGAAGAAATACCATATGATATTTGTTCAGATTCAGTTGTGCATTACTTTAGAAAGTGAGCGGCATAAAAATGTTGCTTCAGTAGCATGCTGTAGACTGCAGATATCTTGTAAAAGATCTCGATCATAAATGGTTATATCCCATATTAATTTCACTGTTACTACTTCAACCACTGCTTTACCTTTTACTGTCATAATTATTACTACCACTAACACCAATGTCATCACCAAATCAACCACTTCCTCTACTATCAACAACACCATCACCTCTACCACCACTAACATCACTTCCATTACTAAGACCACTTCCATCAACACAGCTGCCACCGCTACCAGTACAACCAGCCAGCACCGCCGCTAAACAGCATTACCACAACCAATTCAAATACTACTAACACCGATATGCCACCTTTACTAACATCACCAATACTACCATAACCGCTCTACTAATAATCTACCAACACCACCGTAAAAACTATACTACCAACACCTTTATACCATCAATATTACCAACACCACTGTACCACCAACATTAACAACACCACTATACAACCAATACTACCAACACCACTATACCAACAATACTACCAACAACAAAATATCACCAGCCCAACACCACTAACACCAATATACCACCTATAATACCAACACCACCATACTACCAATACTACTAACACCACAATACCAACAATACTACCAACAGAAAAATGTCACCAGCCAACACCTCTAAACCACCAGCACCATAAACACCAAAATACCAGCTATAATACCAAAACCACTGTACCAATAATCTACCAACACCACTTTACCACCTATAATACCAACACCAATATACCATCAATACTACCAAGACCACTATACCAACAACACTATACCAACAATACTACCAACAGCAAAATATCACTAGTCCAATACCACTAAACCACCGGCACCATTAACACCAATATACCACCTATACTACCAACACCAATATACCACCTTTACTACCAACACCAATACACCACCAATACTACCAAAACCACTGTGCCGATAATCTACCAACACCAATATACCAGCTATATTACCAACACCCATATACCATCAATACTATCAATACCACCATACCACCAAAACTAAAAGCACCACTATACCACCAATACTACCAACATACTATACCAACAATACTACCACCAGCAAAATATCACCGGCCCAACACCACTAAACTACCAGCACCTTTAACACCAATATAACACCTCTGCTACCAACACCAACATACCACCTTTACTACCAATACCAATACACCACCAATACAAAACCACTGTGCCGATAATCTACCAACACCAATATACAAGCTATACTACCAAAACCACTGTACCAATAATCTACCAACACCACTATACCACCTATAATACCAACACCAATAAACCATCAATACCGCCAACACCACTATACCAACAACGCTATACCAACAATACTTCCAACAGCAAAATATCACCAGCCTAACACCACTTAACCCCAGCGCCACTAACACCAATATACCACCCATACTACCAACACCAATATACCAGTTATACTATCAAAACCACTCTACCAATAATCTATCAATACCACTATTCTACCTACACCAATATACAATCAATACTAGCAACAACAATATGCCATCAATACTACCAATACCACAATACCATCAACGCTACTAACACCTCTGTACCAATAATCTACCTACACCACTATGCCACATATACTACCTACACCACTATGCCACCAGTATTACCAGCACCACTATACCACCGGCACTACCAACACCACTCTGCCACTGGCACTACCAACATCACTATGACACCTATACTACCAAAACCACTGTACCAATAATCTAGCACTTTTATTTCTGCCTCGCTTGCCACCATTTCTTCTATAACCACCACCACTCCTACCATAAACACTACAACCACCACTACCAATACCACCATTTCTTCTGTCACCACCTTTACTGCTACCATTATCACTATAACAACCAGTACCAATACCACCTCCGCCACAACTGATACTATTACCATAAACGCCTCGACCAACACTGTATCCACAACGACAACGGCAGCCGCCACAACGACCTCCATCAAATTCGAAGGCACTACGTAAGACTAACATTCGCATCATCACCACCTCCAGTACTACCACTACCATCAGAAATAGAGCTAAAATACCAAAACCTTTACCACTACCAACACTATCTCTGTTTCAAAGGGCTTACTCGACCCCAGTCGTTTTCATGGCGTGGTTGATCAACCAGCACCCGTGCCGCGCAGGGTGTGAAGAAGCTGGGCTAACCAGGGCAAGAATACTCTTAGTTTAATTTTTTTTTTCATTAATTGTTCCCTTTTATTTTCGCAGCCAACAACTATTCAGTGGCAGAAAGTATTCTTTATCAATGCAGGAATTTTCGTTCTCGGCTGGATTACTTATATCTTTCTCGGAAGTGGAAAACCGCAACCATGGAACACTCCATTTGAGGACCTTGTGGTGCCGGTTGCTATTCCCAGGGAACCCAAGAAACCAGTCATGACGAATATTCTAACCAAGAGTGAGTCAGGATTTCAGTATTCACCCTTTCCTCACCATGAGAGTGAGATTTTCACCGACAACAAATGATAAATTATTTAATAAAGGAATAAGTTTCTAAAGAAACTGTGGTGCTGCATTGGTGGGGGAGTTTAGCAAGATAAGTTGATTTTATCAATTAAGTTGATGATATAAATTTATCACCGTAAAGAGTTTGTAAAGTTGAAGTTTCAAGTGTTAGCCGTTCGTCATAGAGAAAGACCAAATACATCATCAACTCAGTCGATAAAACCAAATTGTCTTGATAAATTCTTTGCTCCAAATTGAGATAACTAAAGTAAACAAAAGAGAGATAAAGAAGGGAGGATTGCAACATAACTGAAGAACTGTTGTTTATGTCTTTTTTTGCCGGACGGTCTAACCAGCCAACTTTTCCTATCCGAGTTGGACAGATGAGTCAATTTTGCCAAGTAGCTGGCTGTAAATACTGTATGCTGTTGAGCAATATTTTTTAATTGGACCTTTTGAATCTAGCAAGTATCTTAACTTGGGGAATGACAATGTTTATGTTTAAGATCCACAACAGAAAAGGTTAATGAAGATTCTGCAAGGGCATCGTCTGCATAAATGTTCAAATTTATTTTTGTTTCGCCGTAGAGAAAGAGAAATGTTCATTTCCACCCTTTAGTCCTAATTTGTTTAGTGATCACACTGGACAAAAATCAGTCATCAAACCCTGATCCTTTAATTCATTGAACATTCATGAGTAATTTGACTGACTCAAAAAACGGTTCTTTAATCTAAACTTTTGTTTGGGTTCTCTGATTCATTAAAGAAACTTTTATCTTTACACTTCTATGTTTCATTCTGAATATAACATGAACTGCTGAAGAAGGGAAAATCTTACTAACTATCCTATAACTTTAACAAGGGTTCCATTTGAGCACCATAATTACAAATAGGTTAAGAAATGTTCCGGCTCTTTAGATAGGATTTGTTGAAATTGTACTTAGTTACTCAGAATCTAAGGAACTTCACCATGTTTGTACTTAAAAAGCCAGATTATCTGGAGGAATATCAGAGCTATGTGCAGATTTTATCGTTGAAGGCAAACTACGATGGGTTTCTTGGTCATCTAGGGTTCTTACGCTGCTTGGTCTAAAGGAACAATGATCAACTAGGGCAATGATGAATTAGATTATTTCTGATCCATATATATAAATTTTAGTTGGAGGATGTCTCCCTCCTTCAGAAAAAAACGCTCGTATTTACTTCTACATAACACATTTATAGTTATCTGTATTTTAATTTTCAAATGTTCATTTCAAGACCAAAAAATTAAACTAAAGCATGAAGGTAGTGGGTCACATACTCGTAAACTCCTCCAGTAATAGGCATTTAATAAACTATCTCGTATATAATAATATAAAGCAAAACAGATACTTGACTGACATTTAAGCTTTAAGATAGAATCTCTCACGAGAAAAAAGCTTCATTTCAAAGTGCTGTTTTGTTGCACATCTGAACTGCTCGTATCATCGCAGTTGCACACAACTAGTATCTTTACTGTAAGATAACGAAGCAATTATGTTTTCCATCGGATTGCAAGAGCGCGAAAATTTGGAACGTGGCATCATAATCATAAAATCGAGCGATGAATCACATGGGCAGAGTCGTTGCTGCATGTTTGAGATTACACGAATGTACGAAAAGGGATTTCTATACGACAAAAAATACAACCATATACAACCAAATCTTACTTAGATTCCAATAGCAACTTTGCATAAGACTGAAAAAAGATTTACCGACCTTATTGTTCAATAAATGTGGCGCCTTCTCGTGAAGATGTTCGTACTGGAACTGAATCACTTACACTTTCAAAAGTGTCTGCTCTTAGTCGGACGGAAATGTTACACAGATCTGACATTTTTACTCCCTTCCTAAATGTTGCTTTTCTACAATGCTCTTAGAGAGCTCAGAAGGGAACATGTATTGTGTCTGTTGGAGTAGGCGCCATTTTGGAATATTCGATGACATCACCTTATATCTATTTTTGACTTTTACGCATGCGCTATTATAGGTATGGAACCTGAACTTTTTTAAAGGAAAACCGCTGCTTCAGTTGCAATGGCTGCTAGCCAGAAATGAATCCTACCCGGAAGTTGGTCCGTCTTAAACAGCAGCCATTTTTATTAGATTAGACCAACCGTTTCTGATATCTGATAACAGAATACCAGACCACAGTCATTTTAAAATGGCAATGTTTCAATTTCAGACTAATTAGGTTACAAATTCAGAGAAGTTGTTCGTGTATTTAGCTAATCCTGATCAGCTGCTGGAATCTATCTCTAATTGACATTTGAGACTCATTGGTACTAAACGGCTCTAGATAAGCGTTCTCTACGAGACAAAACTTAAAAGCTTATGTTGATGGGATTGTTGAAGTGCAAAGCCTTCTCCATAAGATGAAGATCACCTTTCTAGTGCTAGTTAAGGGCATAGGGTGAAATAAAGACTGAACCATCGGACCCTTGGACCACTGGACTTTTTTTGGACGATTTTTTGACCACATTTGGACCATTTTTTGAAATTTTTTTGGACCAATTTTATCGGGCGGAGGCAGACCATTAGAACTTAGGGAGGGGTGGCATGCAGTCTATCAGTACTCAGATAGGGGTGGGAGGCGGATTTTTGTCACTGAGGGAGGGGTGGAGGACGAGCTATAAGTACTCAGGGAGGGCTGGGCAGTTGTTGTATTGGTAAATGCTACTGATAATGGAGTTTTCACTGGATCATACAAATTATTTTGAGCGCCTTTTCGATTGACTATTTTTATGTCAAAATTTTTGCGCTGGGCCGTAGCGTTTCTTTATTTTTTGGTCATGCGAATGCGAAACTGGCACCTAAACACTGGACTATAATTGCTATTGAAAGTATCACCAATTTCCGTTTTCGATCCTCCACTGTTGAGTCGTGCGTGTGCCTTTGTGGTCGAATTGTGCCGGTGCTAAATAACACTCACGGGTTATCACGAATCATCCATCAGTTGCTTTACGTTTCCCTTTGTGTGTACAGTATATCACTTCTAAATTTATCTATCTTCTTCTGGTCATTTATCTTACCAGGACGACAGAGATCCCGAAGTTTCCGATCGTTAGCTCTTAACTTAGCATTCACAAGCGTTATCGCAATTTTAGTGTTTGCACCTTTACTATAAAAACATTTTGGTAGTTTCATAGAAAGTAATCTTCTCTCTTTTTAGATACACAGTTTTCCGGCTTTAAGTGCTATTTCCTCATAGCCATCGCACTTTAACTTTCTTTGTATAGTTGGGTTTCTTCCTTTTTCTGCATAATATTTTGATCTGGTCTGAGGTTAGCAGACACTTGTCAACTTTATCTGTTTCAGAAATTGGAAAGAGATTGTAGGTTCTCTCAAGTCATTGCCAAACATAGAAGTCGCTTTGTCATGGTCTCTGAGAGGGCTTAGTATAATTTACGAAACGAAACGGAATGAAAAAATGTAATTTGTAAAATTAACTCACATCGGTAATTTGCGAAAAGGAAAATTTTAATTTGTGAATTAGAAATCCGTAATTTTCGAGAGAGGTAATTCTGTATTTTGCACTTGTGTGGATTTAATGAATCAATGCAACGGCTATGTGAAAGAAAAATTGCGCCATTAAGCCATAAAATGCAAATCTGGTATTTATAAAATGATCCAGCGCTAAAGCTGTGCTTTCTTAATCGTCAATTTACGTAGTGAAATGCGTGACATGACAGTCAACTTAAGGCGTGAGTTGAGTGTATCTAATAAGGAAAACTGTGTATCTGAAAAGAGACAAGATTGCTTTGTGCGACTGTACCAACAATGTTTTATGGCAAAGATGTAAACGTGAAAATTGCAATAACACTTGTGAATATTATACTAAGGACCGGAAATTCCGTGATCTTTGTTGTCTGATAAGATCAATGACAAAAGTAAGATAGCTAAATTGAACGACCTACCGTATACACAAAGGGAACCATGAAGCAACTGATGGATGATTTATGCTAACCCGTGAGTATCATTTAGTGCTGGCACAAGTCCAGTTAACAGGCACATGCATGACTCAACAGTGAAAGATCGAAAACGGGAATTGGCGATATTTTCAATAACAATTTTAGTCTAGTGTTTAGGTACCAGTTTCTCATTTGCATCACAAAAAAATCAAGAAACGGTACGGCCCAGCGCAAAAATTTTGACATAAAATAGTCAGAAACCGATCAGAATAACTTGTATACTCCAGTGAAAACTTCATCAATCAGTTGTATTTAATAATACAATAACCTTCCACCCCTCCTTGCGTACTAATAGTTCGTCCTCCACCCTTCCCTCAGTAACAACAGTCTGCCTCCAACCCCTCCCTGAATACCGGTAAACTGCATCCCACCTCTCCCTAAGTGCTAATGGTCTACCTTTCCCCGATAAATTGGTCCAAGATAAAAAGGTCTAAAGAAAGGTTCAGAACATAGCCCAAAAATAAGTCCAAGCTTCCAATGGTCCAGTCTGTCTTTTACCCCATGCCTTTATTACGTGGTCTGAAGTAAAAGTAATTAAGCTAGTGGCTAGTTGGTGTCACACGAAAGGGGCTTTACAAAACTTTCAGTTTCAATTAATCTATTTCAATCACACGTGCGTTTATGCACTACAAGAAGGCTAAATGACGGAATAGATAGGCAATCGATTGTTAGTGATTGTTCATCGGAATTTGTATCTTTCAACTTTCAGAGAGGAAGGGCCATCTGTTTCCTCAGGGATTAGAAGGAACTTTATCAATATGGCTCCTTGGATTTCTCTTCCTTCCTTTCCTTGAGAAAGGGTATAGTTTCTAGGGGTGAGGATTGCCTGTCATCGTGTGTTGGCCGGAAATTTCTCACAGTTTTTCCATAACATCATTCGGTACCTTTCCAGGCAAATTAAAGATATGATTAAATAATATACTCTTTCTGTTAGTGTATCAGTGTTAGTCGAAAACATTGATCCTGCTTCAAATTCTTTTCAAAATATTATCATACAAACATTTTATTGCACATTATAACATATTGCAATCATTGTTGGATACTGATTCAAGTAGCTACGTGATTCAAACATTGGAAGCAGGCAATATAAGAGAAAAACAGAACGGCATTTCATAAGAAAGGACATTCTAACCATTTCATCATCGATTTCCCTTATAACCCTAAGGACTGACTAAAGTTGCATTGCTCCTTACAACATCCATATATTTTTAAGAAGAAAGGTAATGGGAGACAAGAGAAACATCAACCAGATCTTAAATGTATGGAAGAAAATGTGGAAAATTGATGCTTACCATGATCTTGGAAGTATGATCATTGCTCTTGTGTCGATGGTGAGTTGGCATAAATTCGGGAGTTCAACTTTACGCTTCAGTATCGCAAACACTCCGTAGTTTCGATAAAATGCCTGAGTGCAGAATGTGAAAATATGGCTAATTTATTTAAAGTTTGAATTTCCAACAGGAAAAACTTTTCTCTGAGAATGAAAGAAAAAGAAACAAATATCTACATATATGTCAATTTTTTGCACCCAAAGGAGTGCAAACAATTTTCAAAATATTTTGAAATTTCGGTGGCATCTGAGCTCAAATTTTGAGGAGCATTCAGCATGATACTACAATAACAACATATATGGATTCTGCTAGTATGACTTAGATTGTATTGAGTATGTTTGTGATGTTAAAACCACTGACTTTTATTAATAACATTGTTGATACTGAATGCGACCTTGATAGTCTTGATAAACCAATGCACAGCTAAATTTACCATACTCTTGTATTCATCAATTCGGTTTGCAACGCAATCATTGCTTTCAATTAATATATATATATATATATATATAGTGGATGAATAATGGTTTCCGTGCAAATGAATACAAGTGCAAATTACCTTTTTCGATAAAAATGCCAGCATTAAATGTTTTTTCATAATTTTTCTCGGTTCTCGGTCGTTTGCACGAAATTAAACGTACGTTTCACAGTAAGACCAGTATGAGATCTATTCCCTGCTATCACCGTTTCAGACTTAAGATATCTCTATGGATTTTCAAACACACCAAAATCACCATCTTAAGTCTATTGGGATCTCCTTTCTAACGCGAACTGTCTCATAACCAGCGAAAGCGTGCAAGAGACAAAAATAAATTCGTTCGCTAAAAAGGTGTATTATATAATCATTGTGGTCGTTTAAAGAATAAGAAGACATTATCATTACGCAATAACGTGAAACACAATAATGAAAAAAGTACACGACTTATCTCTGTGGCCGATTTTTTTTTCCATGCGGTTGTTTCTTCGCTCCATGCACTCGATCACGTGTAAGCTCATAATGCCTTCACGGCACAATATCTCATCTGCTGCTCGTCCGGATATCTGTTTATTCTTGATCTTGGGAAGTCTTCAGCTAAGCACCTGATTGTGTCAGACATAAGTACTTGGCTTTTCATCTGAGTACCTTTTACTGCTTGAAGCTCAGTTGAGTTTCATTGGACTTTCTGTTCACCTTTAAGTTTTCCTCAAATTTCTCCCTGAGTTCGTGGATCAACCCGCTATGAAAATGACGCTCCGCAGCTTCTAGCGTTCTAGCAACATGTTGCGCCTCCCAGGCGAAAACTGAAGGATTCCCCATTCACGACACTAAACTCATAATCACTAACCAGTGCTTCTGAGAAGGACTTTGAACTAAATAGAATCACCAGGGATGATTATATAATAATGTAACACGTGTGATCCCTTGTATGAAGGCAAATTATGTAATGCTTTACATTAGCACATTGATTTCCTTGCACGCCATTCTATCGCCAAACCACTTTTTTGCATTCATTATTGCGACCCATTCATGCCTTTCATGTTCCTAGAGCCAAATTATCTCGTCTACCATAAGTATATAATCATTTTCTCTAAGTGTACACTGAAAAACGCCAAACTATAAAGTATGCAATCAAAAACTCTTAAGATACTCTCAGTCGCTTACTTGGCTCGAGTGCCAACTGCCTTATACCTATTCAAAATCGTCAGCCATTTTTTATTATGTCGTAAAAAACTCAGCTCGCACTGGTGTTTGCAAAATTCGCCTTTTTCGCAATTTTCCAGAAACTATTTTGCTCTAGTTATTAACATACTTTACATCTCTGTCGGACAAGACCAGGAACGCAGACTGTAGTGAGGAGTGTGGAACATCTGCATCTTCTTGGAAAGAGAATTAAAGGATTCAAATTTTAAAATATCCTTGAAGTACCAATTTGAAGTCTGGAGAGACCTTAAAATTACTAGAAAAAATTTATGACAGCTGAGCTGTTTAAACAAGTAAAAACCCGCTTTTCCAAGTAAATAACCAGTTTTGTTCGTGGAATTTTGGGCAATCAAATGTGGCTGATTAGAATTAAATCAGTATTGTATTTCAAGAACATCACGTAACACATGCATTTTTTGCACGTAACTGGAAGATAATCACTTTTAGAGATTAATACAAATCTATAGGAATTTAAGAAAGAAATTGAAATTGTAAAGATGGTTTTGTGTAGACGAAAAGACGAAAGATGCCCGAGCAGTAACGAGACGCAACAACAAATATAATTAGGATTCAAAATTAAACCAATGAAAATGAACTTTTCTGCGTCCTTTTCTTGCTGATTGCTCGCAGACAAAGAAGGTCACCTTGTATGCTGTAAAATGAACACAAAAGTGGAAATTACAATTCAAATAGCGTGCTGGACATTTCTTGTGTAACTGAGCACATTCGTGATGTTGTGTTCAACGATACAAGGCAAAACGGTAAAGGTAATCTTCATAGGCCATAAGAATTTTCGAGTTAAAAGTCTGACTTATTTCCTAAGCCATTTCTGATCACTTAACGACTAACTAATAGATTGTAACTATCATACATGACTGTGATGATGAGGCCTCAACAATGCGCAGTAAACAGCTACATTTCAAGAAAATTTGCACCCTCTCTTTCCCTGACTTATTCCGATCTGTGATTTATTCCGTTTTTTAATTCGTAGAGTACGTGATCTAAATGATATGATCTCATTATCTTGTACTCTAAATGTCCTTCTTGCGGTTTAGCATTTGGCGTCACTTTTCGCCTAAGTGCTTGAAGGTTAGAATTCCATTTAACTAAAGTGAAAAACATCAATGTGATTTTTGATTGTAGTTATTTATCATGTTTTAAAACCCTCTTTCCCCGAGCCGTCTTGAAGTCGTTTAAAAATTTCAAGGCTTCCCTCTCTAAGAAGTCTCCGCAATGAGGGCATGATCAATATGCCACACTTTATTGACAGTCTCTGATGTGGAGCAATTGAAAATGTTTCGCTGCTTAATATTCTTCAAAACATTCCAATTCAAGTAGTTCTAGTTTCCTTTATTCCAGATCGCGCTGATGACACATTTTAGGTTATGAAATGAAAAATTTAACAAAATAAGTCGAAAATTTGTAACATTGAGATGTAAGTAAATAAAATTCCCTACTGAAGACTTCGTTCCAGTTCTCCATAAATCTTAATCGTGTTCAAAAAGCAGTCACGTTGGCTTCTTTCTTGATGGCTCCTGTAAATCAGCGCTCCCACCGAAAATAGGTTCATATACTGTCGCGTGACATTTGGCATTAGGTATTGGTATTAGCATATTTGGGGTGATGTGAGTTAGATGCGATGATGAAAGAAAAAGAGTCCCACACGATCCTCTTCCATCTTGTAGAACGTGCTTGGAATTTTCGAAATGGGGTCAATTACAGCCTCTTATTTCGGTTCCCAGACCATCAGTGATTGATTGTTTTCTGATAACCTCTACGTTAGTGGATGATAATCTGATTGTGGTTGACATTGAAACATATATGCAATATTTGGGGGATTTTATTACGATCGTTTGGTTCAAAGTATCGAAATATTTGAGTTTTACAGCATGTTTGTTGGGCTTGCAAAAGTCAATCTTTCTCACAAATTTAGGAGTTTGATTTTGAAATGTATACTTTTCACTTGACAAACCTTGGTGTCCTTATTCGTCGATAGATTTGGTCAGCTTTTAATTTTTGACCAAAGAATGTTTGCGACACAAGATTAGATTTACTCTTCCTCGCTAGTTCTCTCTCCTTCCACTCGCGAAATCGCGTTGTAATATGATAAGTCTTTGCAGAAATGCTTAGATGCGTGCAGGTTGAAAGGTTATACATCGCTCGAGACAAGATATTATGAACTGTTTATATTCTCTTGCTCGAGAGGATTCAGGTAGCTGTGTCACTGAGTGGATTGAGGAACGGAAAGTAACTCGTAGTAAAAGCCTTTTCGTGCAGCATACTAACTTACATAAACGAAACATGATGTCTCTTTTTTCTCCCGACCCGCTCTTTCGGTAAAACTCTTCTTGAACAGAAAGAACTGGGGGCATTATTCGGCAGTGCACATTTTAGCCTATTGAATTGAATTCGAGTGTCAACAGGAAAAATATCATTTAACGTCAATTCTACTTTAAGGTTTTAAAACTACTTTTTAGGCTAGGTTTCCGAGATCTCACCTCACCAACATAGTGGACGAATGTAGAGCATACAGAGGGGAATCAGTTTCGGTTAGTTGCATGCAATCACCGCCCAAAATTTTATAGGAAAACATACAAAACTACCGTTGTCAAGCAGAATGTATGAGGAAAAAAGGAAACTCGAGACTTTTTGAACACTGGTTTGTGTGCTTGTTAATACTGAACTCCTGTGAGACAAGTTGATTCTAACGGCCTGAAAGTACGCCACTTACCCACGATGAAATTCGCAAATGTTTGTTCAAACTTTTGGACGCTTTTTACATCCCACCATTCTTTTCTCAGAAAAAAAAAATTATACATCATGTTTATGAGAAGGGTATCTGGTTATCTAGTCACGGGAGTCGGAAAAGAAATTTCTGTCACTTATTGGGATGGACCTCAAAGATTTCATGTTTATCTCAGTACTGGGCTAATATCTCCCCCAGATATGAAAGGAAGACCAAATTTGCGCCGCTAACCGTGCCCGAAGCCCACGCGTTAATTACTCATAATACTAAATTTCTTAAAAGTGACAAGATTTTACCAAAGACATTTTTATCAATTTATTATTCATTTTTTCCTAGAGGAAATAGTTTTTTAACAAGGCCAACACATGTTCATCAAATGTGCTCGGTCATTATCTGCTATGCCTGTATAAAACTGCAGAGCGTAATAAAACAGAGACAGGGTAAAATACTGCTACTATCAATCCAAATAACAGGTAATGCAGCTTGTTACAAAGTGCGAGCTCTCAAGATTATCTGAAATCGTACGGACAAATCACATCTATGGAAAATATCGCCTCTAGATCTACATATACTTTCCTCTTGGAAAGCAGTCGACGAACGTGTTTATAAGCACTGTCAAGTTCATTGTTTGGTTGTATAGATGCGGAAATATAATATAAAATAAAACAAAAATGTGGGTTTACTGTGTCACTAAAACTTGCAAGCGATGCATTTATGAGCCTGACACTAAGAAGCAGCTGAACGTGAAGACTAAAACTCGAAGTGCTTTTCTCAATGAAATTGCCTCAGCAACATAAGGCCTAAACTATTTATCTATAATGACGAGAAAATGCTTTCTTAAGGTGAACGGTTTCCCTTGTTATGACCTTTACGGTTTTGGTGGCTTCTTTTCCTCTGCCTGCAGACTGTAACCGTGTTGACTGGACTCCCTCGCCTCTCCTTCATGAGTTTCAAGCCACATTGCCTACACAGTGACCTGCAGTGACGTGTTTTTCTTCCATCATTTCCGCAGACCCTTCCTTCCAGGCCTGGAGAGCCAGCGGTCACATTACGCTGGCAATAATCAGGCGACGAATCCTGATAAGTTAGTACCAGCAGCTGCATGTGATTTCTCCGGAAAACCTTTCCCATACTGAGCTGCTGCTGCTGCACATTATTGCTCTTGACGGCAGATTGATATTTGTTTTTTAGTTCTTTTGCAACTTCCTGCCATTTATCGCATTTTTTAGGCACTCTACTCAGACAATTCTTGTAATTCCCCTTGAAAACCTATTTGAATACGAAAACATTGGTCAGAATAATCAGCGGGCATTGTATTAACCATACAAACCATAGCTTAGTGCCAAGGCTGGTTGTATAGGAAGCCCATAGGCAATCACTATGGTAGCGATCGCAGAGTTTCGCCAATAGCTACGAGCGTTAAGCAGGTGTCTTTGCAAGTGAATATGTAAAGGCGGTGTTTCCTCCCGGAAGAAAAAAAAAATTTAAGTGTTTCCAAGGAATATGAGATTCTGGAATATAGATTAACAAGAGTTGTTCATGCCACTCATATTGATAACACAACGCCAAGTTCACGCCTTAAATTAGTCTAGTTTCCATGCTAAACTGCATATCCTGTTTGAAAACACATTACCCTTTAAGCCAGGTTGGGTCTTCTTGTCGCTCCCAGCATAGAAACAATTTTAGAGTTCATTTGGTAAAATAACCCCAAGGAGAATGCACGTAGAGCACAGTTAGAGGAGACGTGACCTCTTAATCGATTCCTCAAAAATGAGATGCCATTATTGTCTTATGGTTGAAAGAGACAAATGATAGGTAAAATTGGCAAAATTGATAGATAAGTGAGCAAACAAAAAATGAAATATTAGAATTAATAAAATAAGTAAATCTCATTTACCTCTATTCCCACATTTTGATTCTTTTCGTCGATTTCTCTTCGATCGTTGTTCCCTTGTGGTCGAGTTCTTAAGAGGTTCAGCGTCACCTCCGCGGCAAACGTCAGGTTGTTCCCACATTTAGAAGTTCGTTGTGCTTTTTTGTCACAGCTACATTCGGTGATTTTATTTGCAGCACACTGAGAAACGATTTCTTGTAGGATGCCAGCAGTTGTGATTGCATGTAGAAACGCTGTCTCTTTGTTCGCTGCAACAGAAAGAAGTTAGCTGTTTAGAAATATAAGTTAAATAGCTTAAGACATTTGAAAAAAAAGGGAATAATACCACGAGGAAAATCTCTTTATTTTCTAAATCTATCTACAAATCTCAGGTCAATGATTATTTTTATCAATATAATGTTTATCATCATGGTTTTTACCATTATTCTTTGTTATTAATTTGATCATAAAAGTAGAATGAGAAGGATCCCGAGATAGAAGCTTGAATAAGAAGCTTGAATATCCGCAATGTACTTAGTCCTGCTTAAAACAGAGTCAAGTTACCTTGTGTATGATGCATGCATGAAATGATTATAAGACCTCTTACCATAAGGCAAAGTTCTTTGAACAAAGTCAGGTAAATTTCCAGTCACGCTTTTGTTATAAAAACTGCAGTCCCAGAGCTCGTCTTTATATAGCCTTTGGCATTCCCCCAGACCCCTGCTCAATCCGGCTCTCATGATTTTCATTCTTTTGGTAGCATCCTGAGTTTAAAGAAAAAAGCCAAGAAGTAAGTAATACAAAACATCTTCCGGTCGCTATTCTTTTAGTTGTAAAGAGGCCAACCATTAAATGATCTTGGTTTGAAATAGATTAGAGATAATAAACTGAAAGTAACATACCTGTATGGAATTAACGATGGCTGATCCTGGGTCAGCTCTGCCGAATAAAAGGGAAAATGTTATCTTGACGAGGAAAATGTAGAAAAATAAACTGTGAGGTTAAATATAGAATAAATTTAGCTTTCACGAACTAACGAGACTTACTTTCGACCTTCTGTTGTTGTGATCATGTTTAGGAGAGCCAAGGTGACCATGATTGCTGGAAAAATCATCAAAAACTTCATCTCTGACATCACGAAGTTCAGTCGAATACAAATCAGCGAAAATTAGGTTGAGTCTGCAAATAGTATAAAACAATGATGGAAAGCGACACGTTAGCAACACCTCAATTGATCAAATAGCCATAAATAAGAGTTTTACGCGATGTTAGGAAAAAGATACATTGGCATGAGATAAACAAGTCAAGAAACTGCCAAGGATAAATCACTGAACCTATCTTAACAACCTGTCCTCATATATCGCTTGAAGTTGTCGAAAGCTTCAATATAGCAACGGGAGCCACACAGAGTCCCACTCAGATAACTTACTCTACTGTAACGTCGCTATCCACGTTGTGTTTCGCAAAAAGTGACACTTTTCATGCCGAATAGATTGGAATTGTGACCATAATGCTTCCACACTGACCGAGAGAAATGCCAAAATGTTCGTCGTTTATCTTATTCTTTTTTGATGCAGTAAGAGAACTAAATTCTGTGTAGTGACCGTGGGAAAACATGTTTATTTATAGTTTCCTAATGAAAAATTATCAAAGACAGTGAGGCAATCGGGCATTAAAAAGTGCACGCGCTATTTTTTAAATTACGCATTGGACTTTAATTACGACCTGGCAGCCTAAGTTACCGTTCCTAATCAAAAATGACACCCTAAATGCTGTTGTTGGGGGAAAAATTGGAAGGAAAATTCACAATTCAACACTTTGGAGTCGCCTTCCTTCAAAAAATGGCGGTATGTGAACAGTGCGTTATACAAAGCCGTTTTTTTCAAGTTACGCAATATAAGAGGATGCGTTTCTGGTGATTGAATACACGGTTTGAAAGCAGTAATCAATGGCAATCAATTAGTGAAAAAAGTTTTTTCAATAAGGTCTCATTTTGATGATTAAATGCATACAATTTTTTTTTACTCTGCACATTGTGAAACTCAAGGATACGTTGGACACCCAGCAGTATTAGAATAATTTTATTATCTGCTTGTAGTTCTGCAATGAAAGTTGAGACGCGACTTCTTCCCAAGTGTTTTGGACTTTGTCCGATAAGACTGTGGCCTATGTCTGAAGAGAGTTTTATTGATTAGGAAGTGTTACTCGATTATAAGAGGGTTCTTCAGGTACATATCAATCCAACGAAAATCGACCTCTAATTTCTCATATCTCTGTCTATCCAGTCACAAACAGTACGACGAAGTCACCACACATAAACAGGAAGCGTTTATGTACCTTGAGAAAACAATTTCAGTGCAATGAAAAAATGATCTTAAAATAAAAAAAAAAAAATAGCCGAGTTTTTCTCGATCTTGTTAGTGCTCCCGGTTGGAGAAACTAGCTTCAGCTTTTTATCTTGTTCATTATGGTGTTCAGGATTATTTTTTCTTATTTTTACACCTATTATGTTTTCATGGTTAGTGCCGAATTAGGACACAAGTGGTAGATAACGACAATTGTCCATCGATTTCTCTCACATTCTAGCTTTTCCCAAACCTTAATCGTCAAGTTAGGTTAGTTTGGCTTTCAATAAAGTGTCCCCATTTCAATTTTTCTATCTACGCCCCATGTCGAAGGACAAAACACAATTAGAATTGAAATTAGCTTAAGTGTTGTATTAACGACATCAAAACGAGTTGTTTTTTAGTTCCATTTGGCGCCACGACGATAGTCCAAAGGTCTCCCTAGTCTTAACTATAATCTCAATAATCCATCTTTCATAGAGAGTGCTGGTATCGGATATTTTCCGGCTAAAAATAAAACTCTTTTGAAAGTGGATATGCTTGCCATAAACACTTCAGAAAAAATTGAATTGAATCAAAAGTTGAAAGATAAGCGATTTTAACGATAATTCTATTTAAACTTTCACGCATTAGATTGTGAAAACACAAATCGTTTTAAATTTGATTTTTTTCTTTAGTCTACCAGAGGAAAGAATACATTGAAACAGACATATCAGCTAAACTTGCAAGTATAAAATTAGTCAGAGAGCTGTAATTTACACTCGTTTTGAAGATCTGAAATCCATACAAATACTCGACTTCGATAATAGTGTCAAGAGCAGTAATTCAGATGTATTACTTTTCTGCAAACAATGTCACAGCTAGCCAAACGGAAAATTTCTGAAGTTGAAGTCTACTGAGCTCTTCATAAGTAATGTTGGTTTGACTATTTGATTACTAGCACTGAAGAACAAGGCACCTTTACGTGCCATCCTAAAGTCTTTAGAGCTCCTGCATGTTCGCATTGAGACAAGGATGCCTCAAGCATTCTTTAAAAACAATGGCTATAAAAAATCTATAGGACGAAAAGTGAACTCCTTAGTTTCGCTTTCGACAGGAACCCAGGAAGACCGAAAATCATCTTCATCAAAATCTGAACTCTCTCCTAAACTAAAAAGAATCAAGAGCCACACGCTCTTGGGCGGCGCAGAACTATGTACATAGCATATTTTGTATAGCGGCCACCGGCTGATTGTCCGATCACAGCCCTTAATTAACTGTCTGTTTGCACCGAATCAGACTTTCAACTACAAAGAAGTTATCGGGAGTTTACTGAAAATCTTTTACTAAATTCAAATAGTTTTCATCCCAAAGAATTGAGAATGCCAAAAAATGATCGGTAGTACTCGCAAGGATGAAAACAGTCTAACAATAAAACCAAATATCTTACCAATATAGATTGTGTTATGATTGGACTTGCAGACCGGCTGCAGACACAGTTCTCGAGAGCTCTGCTTCTTCGCACGTCTAGCACACCTTGTTTTTGGCGTCAACAGAACACTCATTTAAGTAGCAGCCTGACAATTTGACAAAAAGGGATTTCCTGGGACTTATTTGTCATTTTCCCATTGTGGTTTAGTATCATTCATGACTCAAGAGGATATAAGAGAGTATTTTGTTATTTCTCGTGGACACCACTGACTTTAATGAGCTAAGTTTGAACATCGAAAGCTTCTTTTTAATCAATTCTAATTCGTTCTATTTACGTTAAGCTTTGCATTGACGCAGAAACAACTGTTAATAACAAACACGGAGAAAAAAAAAAACAGCTCGGAAATCGATAAATTTGCGAAAACATGATTCCCTGTATGTGTGAACAGCAAAAAATGTGCGCGAATAATTTCCCATATGCGAATCAAACAAAAATGGCACGAAAGGAAAAATGATTGAACCATTTTTATTCTAACTTTTGATATCGTGTTCGTCCGTTTACGCATGGTCTTCCGTGTGGATAATGACATAGAAAGGAATTTCTGTTGAGGCAATTATGGAAAATGCGGATTTCCAAGTCAAAACGTGCGCTCGGGACTTTAAAGGTAATATGACGTCTAGGAATAGCTATAAACAATGGGAAAGAAGGAAGATCAATGTTATTCAAAAGAGATTAGTTGAGAAATAAGGACCAAAGCCAATCATAGATCACTCTTCTGATCACGTCTCCGAAACGATGTCTACAATAATGAGAAAAACCAAAAACTGAGTAACGACGAAAAAAAGCAAGCAGACAAAATTTCTGTGTCAGTTTCTGAGGCCACCATAGCAACTCTGAAATAGCTTAGCAAGTCAGAATAAAGTTTATGTAGACCTCCTTGTCGGAGTCGGCTGTGGCCGTTCTAACTTGGTCAACTGAAAACCCTTCAAGCTTTCAAACGAAATTCAGAGCCACGCCTAAGAGAGAGAGGGAGAGAGAGAGGGAGAAAGAGAGACAGCAACAAATAACCAAAAAAACATACAGAACCTTGAGCGTAAAGTTGTAATTCAGAGCGAATATGAAAACAGATTACTTAGATCATTGGGTGGCCGAGAGAAAAAGAACGAAAGAATGGTAAACGCTAGAAATTGCATATTCTGCTCCATATTAGAAAGATTGCGTGGTTTCAATCGAAACCAACTTAAAGAGAAAAAAAAACTGTTAGCTTATAACTAGTTTATTTAACAAATAAAAAAGCCTTGACTGCGGTCTGTTCTGTTGTAAAGCACGCAGGAAGCGGTTGGGGCACGAAGGAAGTTTAAGAGGAAAGACGAAACTTAGTTTCTACTTACTTCTTGACGGACCAGAACACAATAGAGGCTTCTTTATTTGTTTTAAAATAAAGAATCCGTCAAATTCCTCAGGCACTTCCTTATATTTTCAAGTCAAGATTTTTAATTTTTTAAGGGTACAAGTGTCGTCAGCATGTTCTTTACTCTCATTTAACATGCTAAAATAAGACAATCAGAAGCATTTTTTGGATGGAGCAAATGTTAATAATCTGATTGGTTGAATAAGACTACAGCTGTCAAAAATGTCAAACCATCAAACTTCACAGTCCGAAATAGTTCACGGATTGAAAACGTTCAGCAGGTCTGATTCAAAATTTTGCTTCTTTTTTTTTAAAGTCGTAATAAAGAATGTAAAATTGAAATTTTCAGGGAAATCGGTTCGAATTTTAGCTCATGAAAATACGCAAGGTTTTTTCAATGTGAAAATTAGAAAACAAACTGATCATGGCGTGTATTGAAATGAACGACGGCCAAATCGACAGGAACATAAAGATTGCTGTGGTAAAAGCGTCCTTAAAACTCGGCTTCAGTGACTGATGTCGCCCTCCACTCAACACATCGTAAAGGATATCAGAGCAAGCTCTTCACTGCGATGCTTGGCATGTTTACAAGCCAAGAAGTTTTTTCTTGTTCAAACATTTCGCTTTTAATTAACAAAAAAGGCTAGATAGAAGCCTGGAAAATGGTCGGACATTGTGTTAATTGACAGATGGCGTGAGAGTTTCAGCTCAGCTCTGTGTTTTGAACTATGATGAAAAACATTCTTTCAACCAGCAACTGCGCTCTTTTTTATCCGCAAATTATTATAAAGAAATTTATAAACAGTTATTAATTTGATTAGGATTAATCAGGATTAATTTGATCGCAAAATCTTTGATCCAACAGGGATAAAAGTCTTCTCCGTCAAGTCGAAGCTAGAATACGTTTTACAGCATCAATGAAGGAAAC